TGAGGATTGGTTGTCGCCTTTACTTTGCAATAAACAGAGATAGGCGAACGCCCACAGGAACGTCGGTTACGTCCCAAACACAGGGCAGAGTTGACACCACCTGAGCCCTCTGCAGACCTAGGCCGATCCCCTAACCGCTGGGAAAAGGTGGCTGAGCAACACCCATATCATATCCTTTCTTCTTACCCTTGGCACGGCTCTTCCTCCTACTTTTACCCAGGGGTCAGAACCAGCTGGGAAAGTCACACATATACTAAGGAAGAACCAGCCATGGGAGAGAGACTGACTGACCGAGTTGGGTTTTACGCCGCTTTTAGCAATATTCCAGCAATATCATGGCGGGGGACACCAGAAATGGGATTCACTCATTGTACCCATGTGGGGATTCGAACCCAGGTCTTTGGCGTGACGAGCCAACGCTTTAACCACTAGACTACCGCACCGCCCGCATGGGAGAGAGAGCGAGAGCTAGCAGTGGCTGCTCCAACAAGGCCTTAGAGTTCTCCAAGGAGCCCTCCGCCTTCTCAACCTCCATTGACTAGTGCTCCGAGTCAGAGCCTGTATCAACAGGAGACTGCTTCGAGGCTGTCAGGGGAAGGAAGGGCTCCAGGAGACGCTCCTCTCCGAAGACCAAGCAGGGAACAGAACCCTGGTCCCGAGACTCAGGAGCCAGTCAAGCTGGGGATAGACAGTGACCCTCTGACTAAAACGCCGAGAGGGACTTGGCGCGAACCCTCCCCTTTCGACGGGAGCCGAAGCTACCGAACCCGTACAATGGCTGCACTCAAGGCACACTGTACACTGTGGCAGTCTGAGCCCTACCACCCTTAGAGTTTTTAGCCACGCTGGGATCACCCAGAGTATTACGGATATTAAACGCAGGTGTTTTTTTGTACATAATTTTATTTAAACATTGTTATGACTGTCAGAGGTCAGTTTTAGCTGTAGAAAATGCATAATGTACCCTAAGGAAGACCTCTTCTGAAAAAAAATGATATGAACAGGGGCGGATCCAGCATTAGGGAGAAGGGGTGTGCTGTCAACGCATAGATACGTGTCGACTGGGGAACTAGCTCATAATTAAGATGAAGCGTACGTTGATGAAGACGATCGAATACGTTGAGTTCAAACTTCTTTAATACATGACAAACAAATATACAGACATAAATGAGGTGAGCGGAGTTCCTGCTAAACCCCAGGGCATCTCCTACAAGTGGCATTATCCTGCTCGTGGTCATCCCAACACAGACAGTCGGACTACCGGATTCTTCCTCTTTCACAATGTATATGAGAGACCCCAAGCTTAAATAAATTGATCCCCATCTGATAGGAGTGAAGCTATATAAATACCAACAGTGCGAATCACTAAATAATCACTAAGGAACAATTCTTGATGTCGTTCACATCCCGTGCAGCAAATATATCTATGCAATAACGGCATGACAGTTATTATCTTCACAGTCTGACTTATCAGAAAAATAATCAAACGATCGTTGTAATGTACATTTCACATCCAGGTATTTACCACATTGGACAGATTCAATAAACATTTTAGGAAAAGATCTTCGAAATCAGGAGTCAGGCTTTGCGAAGAGACTCAGTACCAAATAATAATTAGCGTCATAAAAAGTACACATTAAACATTTCAGCAAATATTTCGCATTAAGAAATTTGAAACCAGGAGTCTAACTTTACCACGCTACTCAGACGGTACTTGTGGGTACAGCACTCAGCAACATTCGAAAAAGATGATGTCATGGACTGAGTGGTCAAGCTTGGTTACACCCGTGAAGATCCGGGTTAGAACTGATCTTCAGCAACCCATGCTTGTCTCCACCGATGAAGATCCGGGTTACAATTGGTCTTCAGCAACCCATGCTTGTCTCCACCCGTCAAGATCCGGGTTACAATTGATCTTCAGCAACCCTTGCTTGTCTCCACCCGTCAAGATCCGGGTTACAATTGGTCTTCAGCAACCCTTGCTCGTCTCAACCCGTGAAGATCCGGGTTACAATTGGTCTTCAGCAACCCATGCTTGTCTCCACCTGTGAAGATCCGGGTTAGAACTGATCTTCAGCAACCCATGCTTGTCTCCACCCGTGAAGATCCGGGTTACAATTGCTCTTCTGCAACCCATGCATGTCTCCACCCGTGAAGATCTGGGTTAGAACTGATCTTCAGCAACCCATGCTTGTCTCCACCCGTGAAGATCCGGGTTACAATTGATCTGCAGCAACCCATGCTTGTCTCCACCCGTGAAGATCCAGGTTACAATTGATCTTAAGTAACCTATGCTTGGCGTAGGCAGCGACTAACAGGATTGGGTGGTCAGGCTCGCTGACTTGTTTGCTTGTGTGCTCGTATCCTAGTTGTGTAGATCGATGCTCATGCTGTTGATCACTGCACTATCTGGTCCAGAATAATTTCCTTACAGACTGCTGTCATATAGTTGGAGTATCGCGTATATCAGCGTTAAAGCAAAACCTTACAAGCAACGCCTTTGTCCAACCTGACTCTCAATAAATACATCCTCAGTGAACTGTAAGTGTTTGCCCAAAACACAAGATGTAGCCACAACACATTCTTTCCATAACTTTACTGGAGATCTGAACAATCTGTCCCTTTAACTAAAATACCAAATGAAGTTTACAATTCATTCTTTCTTATCCCATTTACCAAACTCTTTTTAAAAATGTACTAAAAATTCAACGGTTTCATCAGATTTTTATTTGACCACAGTTTTTACTCAAGGTTTGGAGAAATGAATCTGTTAAAGATCAGAAAAAAGGAAAGACCAGATACTCTAGATAAAAACATATCTATGATCATTTTGTTATTGATTTATGTGCGCAAAAAAGTACAGCAAAAGCTTGGACATGAGTCAATTTCCAAATTCGTGCATATTTATGTTATATGTTTGTACCTGACAAACTTAAATCAAAATCAGTAATTTGTTTAAGGTAACCAATTTATCACAGTTTATTCCACACTTTACAGTAACAAACTTGGGGAAAAAAATACTTTTATATTTATTTTAAACCCCCCAAATCACCCAATTTTACTCAATTTTCATGTGTCACAACTCCAGTGGTCGCTGTGCAAATTGATTTTGGGGGGTCTTTTCCAAGTTTTTCAAAAGAAATTTTTTAACATATCATAATTAATGTTACAGCTACATGCTTGGCATGGTTTGGCCTTTTTTGTATGGAAAATTATTTTCTAAAACGATGTCAAACTTTGTCACAAGGTTTGATGTCACTACCGTAACATCCCCCCCTCAAATTGCAATAAAGATTACTCCCTGTACTGTCTTCTAATTCTACTTCATATTTGCAAGCAGTGGCAGTGAGGAAACATGTCTGTCAAACACTGACATAAAACATTCATTTTTCTGAATTTTATCGCAAAAAATGTGTGTACAAAATGATATCTGAGATTTTTGCATGTCCTAACCGTTACGGTGGTTACCCCTGAAACCAGTAAATTTTGTGGAGCCAAACAATACCAAGTACCTTAGACAGTAGTTGAAATCATTTGAAACCATGTGCTCAGTAAACTTTGGGGACCAGTTATTGTTTTAAAACTGACATTGTTAGTGGCTGTCACTACCGTTACGGTCACTGTCGTTATCATGGGTTTTGTTACGGTAAGGACAGATTTTGTGACGGCAGTGACATTTTTCTAGTTTAATGTTTTTTGTATATATATAGTGTAATGGCTGTGACATAGAAGAACACAGCTTAGATAGGGCCGTTACGGTATTGACATTATATACCGTCACAATGTCACTGCCGTAACATGCAGTCTTTACCTGTTTTTTTTACATGACAGGGACATCCATAAGTGAATCTTTTGCCTATTACATATTCTTCAAACATTCTAAAATATCTGACTGACAAATTTAATCAAAATATCATTTAAAGTAAACATACAAAACTGGCTATTAATAAAAATGTCACTACTGCCATTGTGTCACTACCGTAACAATTAATGCCAATGTCCATGCCATAACATTATCATTTTCCTTATTTAATTCAAATTGATTAAAAAAACAACTTGAGAACTGGCTACATGCTAAAGCACAAATAAACCTCAAAATTGAAAAGAAACATGTAATGCTTGGTTACCCAAATAAAAACAATGATCCAATAAATATCATCTTAATTCTCTTCAAGGAACTAATTTTTCGAAATAAGTTTAACAACATTATGCCATCTTTTCAAGTTTTTCAACATAAACTGTTTGAATATTATATGTTAACAAAGTGTTCATCAATAATTAGTTGCAATGTCAATGCTTTCTACATGTTCTGATCGTCATGTCATGATTTATTCTGCTAAAACTATTTGATTGTTCATCATGTATACTGGAATATCACTGTTATTTGTTTGTATAAAATGTTGAAAACTGCAACAAAATATAAACCTATAAAAAAAAAAAAATTGATTCATCTGTTTCTGTTTAGAACTTGTAGTGCAAGTATGTTTAGTAGTAGAACTCCCAGTAAGCATAATATAATTCATATTCTCATTTTGAATTTCTTGCTACACATTACTTGATATTTGCAAATCAGAAAAGAAAGGAATTGTTTGTCTTGTTGGCCCCTTTTAGCAATAAATATAAATTTTCAAAACTCATTAGCTATGTTATGTTGTAAAACTAGATGTTTTAATATATATGTACATTAGGGAATATCATCTTTGGATATTTTTCTTTTCAAAATGACGTTACAAATTTCATGACGGTAGTGACGCAATTTCGTGAAATTTCTAATAAAAAGGGTAAAATATCAAAAATGAAATGTTGTTAAGCTTGCATAATTTATGGTTTGTATATTCAGAATACTATGAATGTAATCAACAACATGTCAAGGTAAAACAAGAAAATAAAATTGACAATTTTTGCCTACATTAAATATGCACGAACTTTGAGAATGACTAGCATTCAAATTAGTGTTATGATGCAGTTGTTTTCGCAGACCAATAAGGAACAAAAAACGATAAGAAGGCATACTTCTTTTATTCACATCCACTCAAAATCAAACATGGTTAAATAAATAATCCCTCAAGTCCTGTTTTCTTAAACGGAGGGGTGGTGAAGACAAGTGGGTAAAGCGTTCGCTCATCATGCCGAGGACCCGCGTAATTGGTTACAATATGTGAAGCCCATTTCTTGCTAAACAGGCATAAAACTGAACTCACTCAACTGGTGGTTAGTTGAGTTTAATATAGATCCCAGGATTAGGGTGAGTGAGTGAACTGAGTTTTACCCACTTTTAGAAATATTCCAGCAATATTATGGTGAGGAACACCAGATATGGACTTCACACATTGAACCCATGTGGGGAATCGAACCTGGGTCTTCGGCGTGACACTTTAACCATTAGGCTACCCCACTGGCCCCAGGGTTAATATCCACAGCTGAGCATCCTTGTATTGTGGAGTTTTAGGCTTGTGAAACACCTTCTTTATGAGCAACTGTAAAACATTTCACGGACTTACCAAAGACATATTTATTTTAGACATATGTCATTATCAGAGCACTCTGAGTCTGAAGTACTGCGCGAGTGAATACTGTCGTCTGAAAACATATCATTCGATGATACCTCCACATTACTGCCCATCTCCCGTTGTTAGTTTCTTGCTAAAATATCCAGAGTGAGTGTATTAAAATTTACACTGCTTTTAGCAATATTCCAGCAATATCACAGCGGGGAATACTAGAAATGGGCTTCACACATTGTGCCCATGTGGGGAATCGAACCCGGGTCTTAAGCATCACAAGCGAATGTCTTAACCACGAGGCTACCCTACCATCCTAAAAATATCCAGAAAACCGATCAGGTTGGACCATAATATATTTATTACAGTCAAACACCATTGGTCATAGCTGAAGCGACCTACATAAATGATTTGAGTTGTCCAAGGTTCGACACAACTGGAAAATGATGTCCAAATCAGCATTAAGCAGGAATCAAGCTTTTACTTCGCAACAACTGTACATTTCATACATTGAAGTTTGACACAAAAGTGTTTGACTGTATCTGCTTTTTGCATCAAGGTGTTTAACTAAAATCCGACATTAGAAAGGTTCTTCTTCATCTTCATCTGTCATACTTCTTTGTTGTGTCTATGTATTCTCCGTCAACAGGGTCATAATCTTTAATTGGTGGAGTCTCCACTGGTCCTTTCATCTCGAGAGGAAGAAACATCTCATCTACCTGTGGAGCAGAGGCTACAGTCAGTGTATTCAGGGCATTATAGGGAGTGGATTATATATTCCTTGTATCCAGGGCATTATAGGGAGTGGATGATATATGCATTGTATGCAGGGCAGTATAAGGAGTGGATGGTATATTCATTGTATCCAGGGCATCATAAGGAATGGATGGTATATTCATTGTATCCAGGGCACCATAAGGAGTGGATGATATATTCATTGTATCCAGGGCACCATAAGGAGCAGATGATATATTCATTGTATCCAGGGCACCATAAGGAGCAGATGATATATTCATTGTATCCAGGGTATCATAAGGAGTGGAAGAGATAGTCATTGTATCCAGGGCACCATAAGGAGCAGATGATACATTCATTGTATCCAGGGCACCATAAGGAGCAGATGATATATTCATTGTATCCAGGGCATCATAAGGAGCAGATGATATATTCATTGTATCCAGGGCACCATAAGGAGCAGATGATATATTCATTGTATCCAGGGCACCATAAGGAGCAGATGATATATTCATTGTATCCAGGGCACCATAAGGAGCAGATGATATATTCATTGTATCCAGGGCACCATAAGGAGCAGATGATATATTCATTGTATCCAGGGTATCATAAGGAGTGGAAGAGATAGTCATTGTATCCAGGGCACCATAAGGAGCAGATGATACATTCATTGTATCCAGGGCACCATAAGGAGCAGATGATATATTCATTGTATCCAGGGAATCATAAGGAGCAGATGATATATTCATTGTATCCAGGGCATCATAAGGAGTGGATGATACATTAATCAGTTCAGGGCATCATAAGGAGCAGATGATATATTCATTGTATCCAGGGCATCATAAGGAGCAGATGATATATTCATTGTATCCAGGGCATCATAAGGAGTGGAAGAGATAGTCATTGTATCCAGGGCACCATAAAGAGCAGCTGATATATTCATTGTATCCAGGGCATCATAAGGAGCAGATGATATATTCATTGTATCCAGGGCAGTATAAGGAGTGGACGATATATTCATTGTATCCAGGGCCTCATAAGGACAGGATGACATATTCATTGTATCAAGCGAATTATAAGGAATGGATGATACATTAATCAGTTCAGGGCAGTATAAGGAGTGGATGATATATTCATTGTATTCAGGGCATTATAGGGAGTGGATGATATATTCATTGTATCCAGGGAATTATAAGTAGCAGAAAAAAGAGTGCGACACTAAAGTATACCTGGATTGCTTTCTGGTAAAGTTCCTCTGATTCCTCCCGAAGACTATCCAGGGCCCTCTGCTGGGATTTCATCGCTGCCCTGATGGCTGACAATTCATGTTGGTGTCGAGTCATGCAGTAACGGGTCCAGTCTTTTGTCAGTAATGCACGGTACTCACTGTCCTCAAAGGTCAACACTGTCTTCTCACGTTTACGTGACCTGGCGACAGAATGTATGAGTGAGTGATTGAGTGAGTCCACGTATGTGTGTAAACTTGGTTTTGTTGTTATAATATATGGGTGAAATAACGCTGTGACATTAGTGAGTGAGTGAGTGAGTAAGCTTAGTTTAACACCGCTTTTAGAAATATTCCAGCAATATCATGAGGAGGGGACACCAGAAATGGGTTTCACACATTGTAGCCATGTGGGGAATCGAACCCGGGTCTTCAGTGTGACGAGTGGACGCTTTAACCACTAGGCTACCCTAACTAAAAGTATGCACGCACTCATGAACACACACACACACACACACACACACACACACACACACACACACACACACACACACACACACACACACACACACACACACACACACACACACACACACACACACACACACACACACACACACACACACACACACACACACACACACACACACACTACTAACTCTCTCATTCAGTCTTCTGACTTTTCAACCTATCAAAACTACTTGCTGTCAATGTTCATTAATTGAACTGTTATCAATGATGTCACCTGCTACAGTTTTACAGGCTTTCATATTTAAACTTGAGTATGAATTCTTTCAAATAGTATATTAATAGTTAAGTGATAGGTCTAATCTATTTAGAGTCATCCCTCGCCATAATGCGGATATCTTGGGGTCCATGGATGACACCCCACACCGAAAATATAACATCAAAGAATTTCTATTCCATTATCAGAATAATTTATATGTCAAACAGTTATTCAAACAGAGATCTTATATATTGCTATCGTATAAGTATAATGCATGTTTTCTACGAACATATTTAACATAATAATTAGCATTGCTAAGCACTTTGGGTTACCTGGCTTGATACATTTTACGTAGGAGACAGTTTGACAAGTCACTGCTGACTTCCCGCAGTACGTGCCACTTTCATTGTAAAAGCAAAATGTTGGCAATTATTGTCAAATATGACTTCAATGAGTCAATAACGCGGGACTTGGGGTAAATGACAAGTCTGTGATTGTGAGTGATTGCTGAGGAAAATGTGAAATTGGTGCTATCGCGGTAGTCGCGAAAAAAGGAACCTCACGAATGTGGTAAGCGGGTGTTGTATGGAATGAGGTAATGCCATTTCACTCACGTTTTCTCAGTTGTTTTAGTAAACAGTTTTAATGAATGAAACTGGTATTGAATTTCATCAAATAAAATGTGTTTTCTGACATCATACATTCTCGGATGGCAGTGTTCACCCACGCAATTACGCGGTGTGTTGCAACATAGCAAACGTTGTAAGTACTCGGCTGATGACATGTCTTCATGATAAAGTTATTATGAAGTTTCGCTGTTCATCTATTATGATTGAAAAAAACCCTGCATGTTTTAAGCATCTGAAAAACCATGAATATGTATGATAAACACTGTTAATTGCAATCTACACAGAATTCCACTAGTTTACAACGTGATTAACCAGAGCTCAACAGCGGATTTGCTCAACAGCTAATCCTAATCCCTAATAGATGGGATTAATGAACATAGGGCTGGGTGAACTGGAATAACCCACAAGACCTGTGTCTCATTCCACAAAGCGATTGTAGTGCTGAGGTGCTCGCAGCTATGTTGCACCAGTAGTGAAGTAGTAAGGATTTATGGTGCTTTTAAGCAATATTCCAGCAATATCATGGCGGGGGACACCAGATATGGGCTTCAGCCATTGTACCCATATGGGAAATCTTTGGCATGACGAGCATAGATTGCTTCGAACACTTATTCCCATGTGGAATCAAAAGAGGGTCTATGTGAGACAAGAGAACACTTTTACCACTGTGCTACTAATGATTCAACCATCATTATCACAGAACGGATCCTCACTCAACATTATCCTTGATTTGGAGATCCCCGACAATTTCTTCGATTGGTTTCAGCTGCCGGCCATACTTCTCCAGCCTCTTTATCTGACGTTCAAACTTCTTCTTCCTCTTTGTTTCTCGAGCTATGATTGTTGCCGAGTCAGCTTTTTTCTTCTTCTTCATTGGAGCAGCCCTGTTAAGATCCAAGGCAATAATTTATCATTAAGAAATACTTTTACGTTAGCAGTGATTAAAATTTTCCCAAACCTGCAGAGGTTTTCAATTCTTTGAAGAGAGTCGTCCTTGGGGTACATATTATGCATTTTCCGGCTGTAAAATGTCCTGTGACAGTTGTATCAATGTTTTTTGAATAAAAAGATTGTACAATAAATAAACTCTTTTATTTATTATACGACCCCTACCTCACGGAGTTACCTCCCTTAGCGCATGCGCACCAACTGGGTAGGCTCCTAGACCCGTATCATCATTCCTTCTGCTGAATTCTTTATCAGTGAACAGAATTAGCGGGAGGCTGGGAGGCCCTACCCAAGGGCGACTCTCTTCAAAGAATTGAAAACCTCTGCAGGTTTGGGAAATTCTTTTCAGAGAGATCGTCCTTGGGGTACATATTATGCATAAACACAGACTCCCAAAGACCGGAGGCCAGGGAGGAGGAATTCTGTCCAAGCACACACAAAAATATAGCGATCATTATCATGGAAAAAAATTGAACAGACGCCATAACACTCACCTGTCACTTTCGACCCAGTTTAAGCTTCCGCGAGAGGCATTATGGGAGGGGAACTGACAGGGAGGATTTGTGCTCAAAGACGACCTCTAGCATAATGAGACATTGCACGTGGTCACGAATGTCAGTGAAATCCGACCCACTAAGTGGCTTCTTCATGAGAGCACCGTAGGGGAAAACAAAAATACCACTCACTAACGATATAGTAACTCCTTAGAGAATCGAAGGGGGTACAGGTTCTCTGAGTGCTTTCCGTAGCAGACATGTCAATAATGGAATCATTGTACAGTAAGCGTCAACACAAACCAATAAACCAAGACTCACTTGGTCAGGGTGGCAGGACACTGTCCACTGGAAAACGGTGCGACCAAAGCTCGCGACGATTGCGTGAATGTGTATCGAGCTGATAATGGCGTATAAAAGTGCTTGGCGGCTCCAAATAGCGGCAGAGCAGATCTCTTCAATGGGGAGTGCAGCTGCAAAAGCTTTTGATGCGGCTACTGCCCTGACCGAGTGAGCCTTCAACCCCTCAGGGGAGGCTTGCCCTTAGCCTGATAAAGCGGCACAAATACGAAACAAGCCAGCGAGACAAAGTTTGCTTGCTGCGGCTGGCAGACCAGCCTTCCGCCACCGTAACAACAGAACAGCTGGGTACCCGTCACGGATCCCCTGCGTTAGTTTGATATAGACTTTGAGCGTCTTCACGGACATCCAGCGGGTGAGTGCTCGTAGGAGTGGTCCCCGATGTGGAAGGCTGGGTAAGAGTAGGAAGTTCGATAGGAGCTGTCACATGGAAAGCGTGATCGACCTTCGATTCGGTAAAGTATCTGGGAGGCAAATGCTGACACGATCTGTGTGAAACACAGTCAGCGCCGGTCGGACGACATAGCATGTATATCGCCGACTCTTGACCAGATGTTACCGCCACCAGAAAAACAGCTTTCCAGGTCAACAACTGAATGGAAATAGCCGATAGGTGTGAGAAAGTGGGACCGGACAGCCAATGGAGCATGATCGACAAATCCCAAAGGTGGACTGGTTAAGCCTGAGAGCAGGTCGAATCCGTTCAGCGCCAGCCAGCTAAGCTATGCGAGAGGGTGCTGCCCCAGAAGAGCACCATCGACAGGGGTGTGAAAAGTGGAAATAGCGGGTGGAGTAGCCGCGAATGGTCGGGCCGCCAGGCCTTCTTCCAAACGAGCTTGCAAAAACTCAATACCGGACTAAATCCGCGAAAAGGGGATCTGCAATCCCCTTATCTGAACACCAGCGCCGCATAGCGGGACCACCTATCCTCGTATTGAGCGTTTGTCCGATCCCGCCCGAAGCCAGAATTGTGTCTGCAACTGCTGCAGGAATTCCAGCGTGCCTCGAGGTTAGACCTGACAGAGGCCAAGCCACCCACTGAATCCGTGGATTTGGGTGGGTCGCCCGCTCCGTTCAGTGAGAATGTCCGGTCGCCGAAGGTAATAGAACAGGAGGCTGAGCCAGAAACCTGAGAATTACCGAAAACCAGCTCTGTGGACGGCCAAAGCGGTGCCAGTAGCACAAGTAGCCGAGCTGGCTGGGTGGACAGCTGTGAAAGGACACGGGGAATGAGTGGTAACGGCGGAACGCCAGAGCACTTTGCCCGTCCAATCCAGCAGGAAGGCGTCGGCAGCCAACGCCCTCTGGTCCGGTATCCGAGAGCAGAACACGGGTGTCTGATGCGTCCCGCCGACGCAAACAGATCCACCTCGAGCGACCCGGCACAACTGGGAGATTACTGTGAATATCTGCCTGTCGAGCATCCACTTTCGTGCGGGGGCCAGGATCCGCGCGAGAGCGCATCTGCTCGCGCGTTCTCCAGCCCGGGAGATAAACAGGGAGTACCTGACAATCGTACTGAATCGCTCCAGAGGAGAAAGTCCCACGCTTCCGGAGGAGCTGGGGACACCGCCTCCCTGCTTCAGGATGTGCGACATGGCCGCCTGGTTGTCTAACTGAAGGCGGACTACCTGGCCACGGACATGCTCTCTGAAGCCGAATACCAACCGCGCTGGCTCTCAGCTCCAACACGTTGATGTGAAGGTGAGCCCGGCTTCGACCAGAGTCCGAAGCCGACAGACTGCCCAGAACGCCCCAGCCCGTGAGGGGGGCGATCTGTCTGAACTGTGAGAGCTGGCGTCGGATTTTCCAAGGGAACCCCTGGTGAGATTCCGACATTTGTCCACCACTGAAGGTGAGGTGTCAACCACTTTCGGGGGACTGTGAGACTGCGCTCCAGATCCTCCGTGTGAGTCCACAGCCGAGCCAAAGCTTGCTGTATGGGGCGCATCCTCAACAGCGCCCGCCACACTACAGAGATCGTCGCCGCCATATGGCCCAGTAGCAGACGGAGCCAAGTCCGTGCTGGTGCCTGGGGCTGGGAGAGGAATGAAGATACCATCTCCCGAACTCTGGTGACCCGGTCGGGCGACAAGGAAACGAGATCCTTGTTCGTTTGGAATCGCGCTCAAGAAAAACCAAGTCCTGGGTGGGTACCAGGTCGGATTTCTTGAGGTTGATGATCCACCCCAGTCGAAGTTAGAATGTCTATCACTGTGTGAGTAGCATCTTGACTCGCTGGCTGTGTTAGTGCTCCGAGCAACCAGTCGTCTAGGTAAGGGTAACAACGCCTTCCTTGCGAGCGAGCTAGGGTAGCTGGGACTAACATGAGCTTGGTGAACACCCTTGGGGCAGTCGATATGCCGAAGGGGAGCACCCTGAATTGGTAATACATCCCGTCGTAAGAGAACCGGAGGTACTGCTTGAACGAGGGATGTATGGGTACATGCAATCGCGATCCTTTAGGTCGATTGGCGTGAGCCAATCGCGGGCTGAACAGATGAGATCACCGGCGCAGTAGTGTCTCCATCTTGAAGGATGGTACTTCGAGCATGCGATTCAACCCCTTGAGGTTGAGAATCGGACGGAACCGCCGTCTTTCTTCGACGAGGAAGTACGTGGAGTAAAATCCGCCTGTTCCTCTCCCCGGTGGAATGCGCTTCGATTGCGGACTTGTCCAGCAGAGCCTGAACTTCGCATTCGCAATATGTCCGCCCTGGCTTGGCATGACGGCACCGAGTGCGTCGTATGCCGGTGAAGTCGGGCGGACCTCCGCTTCCACAGTGGGAGATGGCCTATGCTGACCGTGGCCAGCACCCAAGCGTTGTTGGTAGCCTTCTCCCATTCCGGCAGGAATAGAGAGGCGGCCTCCCACTGGGATATGGGGTAGGAGCGTCGCGCGGACCCTAGTAGTAGCGGAGCTGACTGGGTGTGACACACGGCTTGAGCGGCAGCCTGTTGGGTTAACGGGGAGGTCGGGCAGACCTCCCGCCAGCGCTGCAAGGCTGGGAGCTAGTCGAGGACTGCTCCTTGCCCCTACCCTTGGCGGGACCTACTCCTCCGCCTACCCCTACCAAGCGGCCGGGCCAGCCGGCAGACTTCGGTGTAGGCTGCACCCCGCGAGGAGGAAGGTGGCATCGGAGCGCCCGGGCTGAGACACCCAGGGGTGCTCCAACAAGGCCTTAGAATCCTTGAAGGAGGTAGCTGCAGCGGCAGCCTCCCCGTATGACCTGCTGTGCCCCGGGAAAGAGGGTCGCTCCCCAGACGGAAAGGGAGAGCCAGCAAGGTCTGCTGTGTTGCTGCCGAGTACCTAGACGTCGACAGCCACAGCCGGGCGATCCCCATGACTCGCGCACATCACCGTCGACGCAGCAGACCGCAAAGAGTCGCTGCAGGTGAGCCTGAACTTCCGACAGCTGACGGAGTAGCAGCGACATGCGGCGATATCGCCGCCAGCATGCCCCTCCGCCTCCAGGGCCGACCTCTGAATCGAGGAGAGGTAGGCCTCATGGACCACCACCCGCACCTGCTGCATCAGCGTTCCGTAGACCTCCTCAGAGTCCGCACGCGCGCAGCAGGGATGCTCGCCGAGGGCAAAAGGTGGAGTGAGGCGCCTTGCCGAGCAGCCGGAGCTGCTCCGAGGAAGCCGAGCCTCCCCAGGGTGACGGAAGTGAACACATTATTCGTCAACGATGGGTACATCGAACAGGGAATCCTCCCCAAGCTGGTAACGCCGCACGAGTTCAGGTAAGTCAAACCTAACTCGGGTACCAGACAAGAGGGGATCGACCACGTCCGAGACCAACGAAGGCAGAATGCGGAGCTGCGTCTGCGAGGGTTGCCTAGGGGCAAACGCCTCGCCTGGCAAGCAGAACTCAGTCGAGTCCATGCAACCAGCAGGCACCGCGGCCTGGGGTAGGCCCTCGGCAATTCTCTGCCGGACCTCCCGCAAGGCCGAAGCAAAACGGAAACCTCCGTCGTGCTCCTCTACCTCCCCAAGCTCCATTGCCTCGGCGCCCGAGCCCGAGTCAGAGGCTGGGTCTCCTCCGTAAGAGGACCCGAACCCCGACCCGGTGGACTGCCTAACGCTAGGAACCACAGGGAGGGAAGAAACGACAGACGGCTCAACGTCAGCACCAGCCGCCGCCAGCGGGACTCCGGTCCCGAGGCGCTGGAGGCAAGCCAGGCAGAACTGGTGCCTCCGCTCTCATGGGCTGAGAAGTGTGCGCAAAGGACCGGAATACCAGGAATACTCAGCGGCCCAAGCGCCAAGCTCGAGAGGGGACTGGGAGCACCTCCCTCTCCGGAGCAGCCGAGGCGTCCGGATCCGAAGCCAGAGGCAACGGATCGACAGACGCCTCAAGGCTGAGGGATCTAGCCGAGGCCGGCGATCCCACCCCCGGACTCTCCGCCCCCCGTCCGGAGTGGGCGAGGAACTCCTGGCGGAGACCTCCAACCGACTCCCGAACGAAGGACTTCATTGAGTCCATCTGCTGCTGAAACATCGACTCCATTAGTGACATGTCAAAACCACTCGAAGTGGTAGTAGAGGGGGAAGGGCCACGGGATTTTTTTCCCTTTTTGGACGCCCGTTTAGATTTTGACGGGGGAACCTGCGTCAGGTCCCCTCCCGCCTCACGCATCTCGCGGTAGCCTTCTCCCATTCCGGCAGGAATAGAGAGAGGCGGCCTCCCACTGGGATATGGGGTAGGAGCGCGTGCGTGGACCCTAGTAGCGGAGCTGACTGGGTGTGACACACGGCTTGAGCGGCAGCCTGTTGGGTTAACGGGAGGTCGGGGCAGACCTCCCGCGCCCGCGAAAAGGCTGGGAGCTAGTCGAGGACTGCTCCTTGCCCCTACCCTTGGCGGACCTACTCCTCCGCCTACCCCTACCAAGCGCCGAAGCCAGCCCGGCAGACTTCGGGTGTAGGCTGCACCCCGCCCGGAGGAAGGTGGCACGGAGCTGGGGCGCGTGAGACACCCAGCTGGGTGCTCCAACAAGGCCTTAGAATCCTTGAAGGAGGTAGCTGCAGCGGCAGCCTCCCCGTATGACCTGCTGTGCCCCGGAAAGAGGGTCGCTCCCAGGCGGAAAGGGAGAGCCAGCAAGGTCTGCTGTGTTGCTGCCGAGTACCTAGGCGTCGACAGCCACAGCCGGCGCATCCCCATGACTGCGCACATCACCGTCGGCGCAGCAGACCGCCAAAGAGTCGCTACGAGGTGAGCCTGAACTTCCGACAGCTGGCGGAGTAGCACGACATCGCGGCGATCGTCGCCAGCATGCCCCTCCGCCTCCAGGGCCGACCTCTGAATCGAGGAGAGGTAGGCCTCATGGACCACCACCGCACCTGCTGCATCGGCGTTCCGGTAGACCTCCTCGTAGGTCCGTGCAGCGTGCGCAGGGCGCCAGCGAGGGCAAAAGGTGGAGTGAGGCGCCCTTGCCGAGCAGCCGGAGCTGCTCCGGAGGAAGCCGAGCCTCCCCCCAGGGTGACGGAAGTGAACACACATTCGTCAACGATGGGTACATCGAACAGGGAATCCTCCCCAAGCTGGTAACGCCGCACGAGTTCAGGTAAGTCAAACCTAACTCGGGTACCAGACAAGAGGGGATCGACCACGTCCGAGACCAACGAAGGCAGAATGCGGAGCTGCGTCTGCGAGGGTTGCCTAGGGGCAAACGCCTCGCCTGGCAAGCGGAACTCAGTCGAGTCCATGCAACCAGCAGGCACCGCGGCCTGGGGTAGGCCCTCGGCAATTCTCTGCCGGACCTCCCGCAAGGCCGAAGCAAAACGGAAACCTCCGTCGTGCTCCTCTACCTCCCCAAGCTCCATTGCCTCGGCGCCCGAGCCCGAGTCAGAGGCTGGGTCTCCTCCGTAAGAGGACCCGAACCCCGACCCGGTGGACTGCCTAACGCTAGGAACCACAGGGAGGGAAGAAACGACAGACGGCTCAACGTCAGCACCAGCCGGCGCGCGTGGACTCCGGTCCCGAGACGCTGGAGGCAAGCCAGGCAGAACTGGTGCCTCCGCTCTCATGGGGCCAGTGTGCGCAAGGACCGGAATACCAGGAATACTCAACGGCCCAAGCGCAAGCTCCGAGAGGGGGACTGGGAGCACCTCCCTCTCCGGAGCAGCCGAGGCGTCCGGATCCGAAGCCAGAGGCAACGGATCGACAGACGCCTCAAGGCTGAGGGATCTAGCCGAGGCCGGCGATCCCACCCCCGGACTCTCCGCCCCCCGTCCGAAGTGGGCGAGGAACTCCTGGCGGAGACCTCCAACCGACTCCCGAACGAAGGACTTCATTGAGTCCATCTGCTGCTGAAACATCGACTCCATTAGTGACATGTCAAAACCACTCGAAGTGGTAGTAGAGGGGGAAGGGCCACGGGATTTTTTTCCCTTTTTGGACGCCCGTTTAGATTTTGACGGGGAACCTGGCGCCAGGTCCCCTCCCGCTCCACGATCTCGCGGTAGAACAGGGTGTCGGCCGCCCGCCTCTTCTGTGCCCGGGGGGAAAAGGCCAGACAAATTGAACATGTTTCAGCCACATGGCCCGTCTTCTCTAGACAGGCCACGCATTGGGAGTGACTGTCAGCCCGGGGGATACTTCCCCCACAGACCGAACAACAGGTAAAAGCCTGAAACAAACACGTAAACATGTTAGTTAACTGTGGCCAGCAGCAGATAAACACGTAGAAAACATTGAAAAATACGTGAAGGTTACCACGGAAAGTAATAGTTGGTTTTAAAACGCAATATTACGACCACGCGGCACGCTAAACTTCCCGCCATGGCAGAGCAAACTTTATGTAAACCACGGGAAAGTTTGCGTATTTTTTTGATAGTACTTATACAAAGTCACAATATGAAACAACCACTGTAAGGCTTTACTGTTATTGTTTTAGACAAATAAAACCAAACATACAGGTGGTGTCTCAGACATCTTAAAATACAGCGCCGTACGGCTCATGAAAGGTAATCTCAACGAACGTCTGTTCAGGGCCGTGACAGCAGAAGGAATGATGATACGGGTCTAAGAGCCTACCCAGTTGGTGCGCATGCGCTAAGGGAGGTAACTCCGTGAGGTAGGGGCCGTATAATAAATAAAAGAGTTTATTTATTGTACAATCTTTTTATTCAAAAAACATTGATACAACTGTCACAGGACATTTTACAGCCGGAAAATGCATAATATGTACCCCAAGGACGATCTCTCTGAAAAAGAATGACCATATTGTCATGACAGCCTTTCATGACCCTTAGCATGTCCTTGATGGACACTAAAGCTCGAGGAATGTGATGACATGACATATTTTATAGATAACTTCTACATTCTTTATAACAAAATTTCAGACTAAACAAAATTCAGAAAGACAGATTATCTAATATATTCTATCCTTCATTAATACTCTCTGTTCTTAATTATTGGCTTGGGATCAACACTGTTCATTCAATGGGGACTGATAACCCATCATTCCTTGTAGCTTTTTAGTTATTTATCTGTTAAACTCTGGATGATGAGTATACCCTTGAGTGGGGCATCTCAGTCTTGTGTCTCACCAGACTTGACTGGACGTCATGAAGAGCAGAGGGCAAACCTGAGTGTGGACACATCTTGATGTCTGCAGTCCACCCAAACTTAGTCTGAAATGGGAAGTTAGAGAGTAGGGTACAATTCTTTACTTCATTACTACGTTACTTGAGAATATAGGCAAGGAAGGATACACAATGACATCTAGAAAGAGGATTACACTTTCTCAGTAAAGTAGAGATTTTAGCACTTTTGGGGTTGATTCAGACCCACAACTGTCAGACTCAGGGAGGCACATAATCGCCAGCACACCAATTCATTGATCTAACCTCCTCAGCCACCAGTTTCAACAAATGGCAATGCTTCTTAACTGTATGAATCATCAAACACTCACCAGATGCAAAGTAATTGATCACAGATGCATAAAAATTTAAAACATAAACAAACCCGAGCAGAGGAACTAAACGTGTTAGCTAGGTTGTGCTGAAGGGTCTTTTAGTTATGTTTTCGTATGGATTAGCCGAGAGCGTCGTTGCGGTCCTATACAGTCTTGACTGTATAGGACCGAATCGCCACACGATCAATACTACTATAGTAGTTTACAGGTATGGGGGCTTATACCCCACTTCCGGTCTCGTTGCCAAGGTTTCCTTTGTTAAAAGTGTAGGTGTATTGACCGGTACACCTGTCAAAAGTGTAGGTGTATCAATGATACACCTACACTTTTTCACTAGGGTATACTGAAGCAATAAAGACACAACAAACGGCGAAATATAATTTTATTTCAATGGACTCACATTGAGATTTCGATTGTTTCAAAATCTTCCTTATCATCCAGGTCGAAATGTGACGCTAACTAACTGTCAATTTGAGAAAGAAAATCCTCTGTCCACTCTTCAGCATCCATGACAAACTTAACGCGTGTGATCTTCCAAATGTTTTCTATGCCACATGCGAAGTCAGAGAACGCATGCGCATTGGTCTGCCCATACAAATGTCAATTATCAGCAATATTATGGATATTTGGGGCTACTTGAAGTCATTCTCGCCCCAACTGGTGTTTAAAATTGTGTGAAATCGCGTGCAAGCCCGCATGCACGGTAATCGATTGCTTATAGTCTGTTTGCAGTGAAAACGCATCGATGAATATCACTTTAAAAAAGTAAATCAAATAAAGTGAAACTAAGATTGCAAATCCCCATAATTTGACCTTGCCAATTGAACATTTAAATCTCAGAATTATATTCAGCTTAGGATAAAAGTTGTTTCACAAACGATCATAGTTTCAAAGCGCTGTTATTGGTTTGTATTACAATGGGGTATGTGCATTAAATGAAACACCCAGAACATGCAGGTTTGGTAGAAGTTAACGCTTGTTACGTACTGCACGGGCATTTGTTTCACTGTTCCAACTACTGCTCTTACCCCCCTAAAATTGTAATACAAACCAATATTATTGATTTGAAACTATGATCATTTGTTAAACAAATTTTATTCTAAGTTGAATATAATTCTGAGATGTTCATTTGGCAAGGTCAAATTATGAGATTCGCAATCTTAATTTCACTTATTTGAGTACTTTTTTGTTTAAAGTGAAATTGATCGGTAGGTTTCACTGCAAACAGACTATAGACGCGGGACATTTGAGGGTCTTAACCAGTGGGCTAAAAATAAATGAAACAGATGGAAAAGAAATAATTTTTTTTGTCATAATAAGAACATAAAGTGTTATAATAAACTCTTAACTCGACCAGAAGTGAGGTATAATTCAGATGTACCCACACTTCCTCGGTGTGTCGCCCAATACCCCTAGTGTTTGAGTCGTGTGGTCTCCTCGGCTAACGCCTCGGAGGCCACACGACTCAAACAGTAGGGGTATTGAGCGGCACACCTCGGAAAGTGTGGGTATATCTAATACATATCCTCTACATCGATCGCCTGTGCGCATCGCGGCTCTCGGCTAGGTCAGGATAGGTTATCCCCAATCCTTTCCCCTGGATATAACATGTCGGCGAACGTACTCCATACATTTTGTTAATATTTTGCGAAATTAAGTCAAACTCGAAGAAATATATCAGGAAAACCTTGAAAATGTTGACAGAATGCCAGGCAGTGCTTTACTCATGGGCGCCGCCATGTTGGAAATACCCTATCATGGATTGCGAAACGAAATTAACAAAACCTGATGTCATATCTAATGACTGACAACACATTGCGATAATCACATCATAAATAGTAAATCCATTTGAAGATTTATGGAAATAATGATTCAAAGGAAAGTTATTGTTATATCTCAAATTGATTTAGATTCATAGTTCGCAGTATTTGCCGAATATATCTTTTACAACAGTTAGCCAATGTCAAGGACTGTGTCTATTTCCCGCCAAAGTTGAAGTAAGGAAAGTGTTACGTTCGTAATAAAAGGATATGTAATGAACGTATAGAGACCAACTATCACAAAATGGTACTACAGAACTCTGGCCGGTTCAAGAACGAGAGGGGCCAAGGTTCCGGCGAATCAACTGGGTAGGATCGCACTTTATGATGTTTGTTTATGTGGACCCTAACCCTAACTTAATGTTTGGACTTTAGTCATTTTTGTGAGTTCTCTAGTAATTGTTCTCTTAAGTTTTGTTAATAATTTTAGTATATGTTAATTTATAAGCATTATTTGGGATGGGGGAACGGGAGGAACTCTTACCCAGATAAGGTTCCAGAATCGTTTATTTACACGCCATCGTCATATAGTTGAAATATAACTAAGAGTAGCCTTTTGAGTAGACAAAGTCAAAATATTCATACTGCATGTATCATAGGAACACTATGCTTAAAAAGCCACACAAAATCTTTATTATTTGTCATCTGGAAAATATCACATTAAAGAAATATTACCTGATGTCAAAGTTGTTATGAAACAAAACATACATGTTTCTGTATGCAAAAGTACAGCCCTCTTTTCAGCGATCGATTTGGGGAAACATTACCGCCCGTAACCCCCATAATCGACAAAAAATCATTCTATATACCTACGTTTTTTATAAAACCTAACCCTAACCCTAAACCTAAACCCGCGAAATAATCCTAATAAATAGTATATACATTTCAAGCGGGGGTTGAATCTTATTTGATTTGGTTGAATATTGATTTGACATTTTATTGTCGCATAATATACATGGTTATGATGCTTCCCTGGATATACTGCCATATTTTCTTCTTGACAAATAGTGGCATTATAACCAGGGTATAGTGTACCCACAAACATTCTGACCCAGCTGTTTCATGAAACATAAAGATGAACTGATTATAATAATAATGATGATGTGTTATTACCGATGTTCTTATCAGGTCACATATTCACGATCTTATGGCACATTTGAAAGCAGGTATAACTGCGCTTCACTATGTTTTCCCCAAAGTCTGAGATGCCAACTCATACGATTTTGTCGTATTCGTTACAAAAAAAACCAACACAAAATACATGACTACAATAGCAGTAAAAATATACGAATTTAAAAAAATTACATTGAATTAAATTATGAAATACCTTACATACCATGCACAAAAAATTTCAACCACATTTTATTCAGTATCAAGCTATATGTGAATACTTACTACTGATTTAGGTGTGTACAATGTAAATAACAAGTTTTTAGAATATCTATATATATTTTATTAAATATGAAAATTCTTTAGAAAAGATAATACTAATTTTGGCCCCAAAATACTTATTTTTGCATCAGTTTTTGGCCAAAATACTAACAAGTAGGGTTGGCATCTCTGCAAACTGCATACCTAATGCATTAAATATAGGGTGTAGTGGTAAAAGCGTTCGCTCGTCACGCCAAAGACCTGAGTTCAATTCCAAACATGGGTACAATGTGTGAAGCCCATTTCTGGTGTCCCCAACTGTGATGTTGCTGGAATATTGCTAAAAGCGACATAAAATTATACTCACTCACTGAATATAATGTGTTCCAAGTTTGTTCTGAAAACCTTTAAACCGTTAAAGAAAGAAAAATACATGTTGCGAATTTTGCAAAATATTGACCTGGATGTGGGCTTTGAAAGAGGCCAATTACTGGGAATACCTCACATTTATTACTGTATTGGTTCATCTGTAGATCCAAGGATGTTCAATTAGGATGCCCAACTATGAAAACAAAAAGCAGCTGAAAACATATATCATAAAAATATAAAAAAACCCATGTAAAATAAGTTCAAAACATGAACAAGACATAAGTTTAAATATTTATGGTTAGGAAGGGATACTGGGTAGCCCAATGGTTAAAGTGTCTGCTTGTCACGCTGAAAACCCAGGTTCATTTCCCCACAGTACGCTCTTACCACAGTACAGTACATATTGCTGTACAAGGCCTTCGGTTCAGTCCGTTTCGGTTCAGTATATATATGTGAACTTACTTCCGGGAAAATAGTGGCCATCTAGCAAAGCAGTGCATAGAATTTGACAAAATGATTTGATTTCTAGACATTTATGAACAGTTTGATAAAATGAAGGTACGGAAAACTGAAAATACCGAATGTTTGGATTGCATTATGGTATAAATGAACCGAAGGCGAAATACAACGGTTCTACTAATAACGTGGTATACTCTTGCACCCCTAGTATTTTAACACGTTGACTGCCGCTGAAATTTTATTTTTTTTCGTCCCATGGCCAAACCAAAACTTCATATGCGTTTTGATTCTCTATCAATATGTAATGTTTTGAGATAGGAACAGATAAAAAAATTTCAACTTTGATGGAATAAGCAGGGCTACAGATAAGGGCCGTATTGGCGTATGTACGGATAAAAAATATGCACGATACGGTAGGAAATAATTTAGAAAACGTAGAAGATACGCACAACGGCAATGGTGTATGGTCTTAGAATCATTTACAGACGTATTTTTCTGAAACATTATTGTTTTATTGTTTTTTTACCTTTTTACTTAAGCGTAGCAATGTTGTGGTGCATATATGAAACGAAACACAAGATTACTGATACTCCATTAAATCCATTCAGTACTCTAAATGTACTCTTATTGTTTTCCAGTACTCCTGTATTGAAAGAATATGGAGTACGTACTCCTGATGTTGAAAACTTATCTGGAGACCTAATAAAAACGTCTCGTATTATCTCGTATCTGGCAAAAGGTAATAGTGAGTTGGTTCCTTTTGCCAACCTACGATTCGAAGCTTGGCAAAGTGAAATATTCTTTCTACAATGTTTGCCAACTACGAGTCGTATGAAGGCAGTGTAACAACATCGTTCAATACCCGTTGCCAGATACGAATCATGTGTATATTACATCAGCATCAATTATACTTCTAAAGTTCATTTGAGAGTAACCTCCCTTTGTTATTTCCAAAGATGGCACTTAAATGTATGTCTGCTGATGAGGTAGCTGCCAATTTGTGGTCTGTGCCAGTTCCTTTGTGGTCTGATGTTGCTCAAGACCCTCCAGAATTCCCCTTCAACGAAGTCTCCGGTCTAAAAGCTCAAGTGCATAGCGGTACCCCTGGTGCTGATTTTGATTTCTTCTTGACTCAGGAATTGATCGGGCTCATGGTCTCAGAAACCAACAGACAGGCCAACTCAGAAATAAACAAAGTAAGACCACTGCGAAAAGAGTCGTGACTCAAGGACTGGAAGGATACTGATGCCACAGAAATGAAACCGTTCATTGCCTTGAAGCTTCATATGGGTCACTACAGCCCAGATAGCATTCAGACGTTGGCCCAACATTGGCGATGGTTTTGCCAACATTGCCAATGTTGGGCCAACGTCCGAATGCTATCTGGGAGACTGCCTACCATAGAGCACTATTGGAGTGCCAATGTTATGTACAGATCGCCATTCTTCTCTGGTATCATGAGTTGAAATCGATTCCAATTATTTCTGCTTTTCTGGCACTTTGCTGACAACCACACTCCTAACACTGATCGCCTGTACAAAGTACGCTCTGTTGTCGATCATTTCAATGATGTAATGCACAACACCTATTACCCTGGAAAGGACCTCTCCATCGATGGTCCATGGTACTATGTCGAGGCAGACTGCTATTCCGCCAGTATATCAAGAACAAACGTCATAAGTATGGCATCAAACTTTATGAACTGCGCGAGTCTCAAGGTCTTTGTTAAAAGTCCGAATATACAGTGGAGTTGGTCTGACCGATGATCTTGGCCTGGGTCTGTGTGCTGTTATTGGTCTTAATCTGATGGAGGGCTATCTTGACAAGGGACATGTCTTGTATGCAGACAACTACAACAATTCTGTCAGTCTTGTGAAACAGATTTGTGGGACGCTTCGCCACGACAGAAAAGAAAATGCCAAGGATGTTGCCAAGCACAAACTGATGAAGGGGGAACATGTATGGAAACGGTCAGAATCTGTGGTTGTCTGTAAATGGATTTTTTTGTAAATGGAAAGACAAACTAACATCCTCACGATCAGCAACATGCACGGCATCGAGATGGTTGATGTCACAAATAGGAATAAGAAAGTGTCAAGGAAACCTAACACAGTTTGAGACTACAACTAAGGCATGTCTGGAATAGACAGGTCAGATCAAATGCTGTTCTATTATTCAGCTCTACGGAAGACGATGCGATGGTACAAGAAGATCGCCCTTCACGTCCTAGAGATGTCAGTTCTCAATCTTTATATCATGTACAATGCAAACCGCATGGAGCCAATGAAGTTCCTGCCATTCCGAGAACTAGTGACGATTGGTCTCCTTGGTGAAGCCTTTGAACGGGTTCATGGCCGCACTCCAAGAGTTTGTGAGGTTCAGGAATTCCATCTCCTCGCCGCCCTGCCACCCACAGAGAATAAGCAAGACCAACCAAACCTTGTCGCATATGCACAAAGGCCGGTCTGAGACGTGAGACATGCTACATTTGTGAAGTCAGTCCAGAGAAACCAGCCCTATGTGCGGATAATTGCTTCAAGAAATACCATGTCCCATAGTAAAGTCCTGAAAATGATTCCCGTCTCTCAGGGTGATGTCTGTATAATTGGTTATTAAACAGTTCCTTAACCAGAGTATTGACGTTTTGTAGTTCTTTGTTACGGCCAGGAAACGATTGCTGCTTGTGGCTCTATTGCCAACATGTGAAATTTGTGTTAAAATACCACTGATGTATCTATGAGATAACTCGTAGTGACAAATTCTGTTACATTCGATAATACGTGTATACTTGTAGTAGGTAGTCAACGGGTTAACATACCTATGTAGATGTACTTTCACATGGGAGAGTGTCTGCATTCAATCTAATGTGAACTTTGCCAGCAAGACCAAAGATTTTGAAAACGCAAGTTAATGGTATTTTCCAAAAAGGGACACATGATCCGTACTCATTGGTATTTTAAATTGTATACCAATGACCATACTGCGCATCTCTAACAGTATCAATAGTCATCATCTGTTGTTGTACTCTTACGGGCGGTGGGGTAGCTTAGAGGTTAAGGCGTTCGCTAGTCGTGCTGAAGACCTGGGTTTGATCCCCACATGGGTACAATGTGTGAAGGCCATCTCTAGTGTCCCCCGTCATGATATTGCTGGAATATTGCTAAAGGCGGAGTAAAAGTCAACTCACTCCAGGGATAGAAATATTTTTTTTCTAAGTGTGCCTTAGGGCACCAGGCAAATATTTTAGGTGTGCCTTTCAGAAATCAAATGTGCCCACATGTTTTTAGAATCAATGACTGTAGCAAGGATGATGATCTTTTGAAATTTATTGTCAGAAAACAACAAATGTAACCAGTTTTCTGTTATCACTGATATGTCTTTTGTTTAAGATGGCTTTCTTATGTTACATTTGTTCTGCTTTCCCATCACCTTTAATAGCTAAGAATCGTGTGAGAGGTTCAGTTTTTTCAATATGTCTAACATACACAATTTACTCTTCAAGTCTACAACCCGCCAGCCCCAGTGTCTGACTGTATATTTCACAATGACTTTGACTGAAGTTGTTATATGTGACATGTGACACCTGTTTGCTGTTTATAAATCTTATGTTTGTTAATAATTTCAATGTCAATTATAAGAAATGTTAAATCTGAAATGTGTGTTTAATTTTATTCTATGGGTCCTGTGAATTTTCAATGGGTCAGACAGACATCTGAAACTTACAGGACCCAATGTCCTGTTACATTGAAACACCATTCGTGAACACTGTTCACTAACCGAACTATCAGTACTCACAACACTCTCAATGGAGTGAGTGAGTATGGTTTTACACCGCTTTTAGCAATATTCCAGCAATATCACGGCGGGGGACACCAGAAATGGGCATCACACATTGTACCCATGTGGGGAATCGAAACCCGGGTCATCGGCGTGACGAGCGAACGCTTTAACCACTAGGCTACCCCACTGCCCCCACTCTCAATGGAAAAACAACCAGATTTTTTACATCATCCATCATAATTCCAGTGATTTCCTGGGCGTAAAAGTCAATAAAATTTGCTTGTTTGTCATTTGCTTAAGTGTTTTGTTTGGGGATTAAATGACTATAGGTGTGCTATGTCTCTAAAACATTAGGCGTGCCATAAGGGCACTAAGAACACTTTTTATCTGTGCCATTTTGATATTTACCGTGCCATGGCACGTTAATACATAGGGTATTTCGAACCCTGCACTCACACTGTTGGACTTTTAACAATCATTGTCCATGCTCTGAAAGTGAAGTTTTAATTATTTTTTTCCAGCCGAGAAGACAGCACTGAAAAACGATTGAGCAGAGCGACCTTGAATGATGAAATTGACGTTCGATTCGGGTTTGATAGGTACAAGGATCCCCAGGAGAAAACAGGATGGCTCATCAATATGCATCCAGTAAGTTTCTTGTTTCACATAGTTCTCAGCCTTGTGGATTGTGTAGCGTTTTAGAGCGGAGTTATGTTTAACACATTAACTAGGGAATGGAGTGATTGAAATGTTGTCGAACACATGCTACATTTAGTCCATGTTACAACTTACATAGTCGTTGCTAAGCCTTTTTGGGATTTCAGGCTGAAAAAGGTCCCCGGCAACCCGTATTGCTCGTAAGAGGTGATTAATAATCGGGTGGTCAGTCATTTGGTTGATAGCCAGTCATGGTGATTGGATCATTTGCTATCTTCTGTCATATAGCTAGAATTAGGACTGATGTAGGAGTTCCTCTGCCTGGTATTTAGGAAAAATAGCATGATATTGTCAAAAATTCTATTTTTTATATATATGCATTTATTTTCTTAAGTTCTAAAAAATTGGGAAATTTTGAATTTAGAATGGTAATTATTACACGATTTTCATGGTTATTGAAAGTAAGATGTCAGATTCAATTTTCAGTGAATGGAATCGAATCGTTGCCGCCCTATTTCCTGGGAATATTACTGATTTCGGCTTTAGACATGTCAAACAACAAAACAAACATCGCCATGGTAATCTAATGTCAACAGAGGCAATTACGTAGCCTAGTGGATAAAGCATTTGCTTGTCATGTCAAAGACCTAGGTTTGATTCCCCACAATATTCGCTATGTAAATATTCTGTAATAAGTGTATAATTCTACTCACTCAAACAGATATACAGTTTTACGTAGGGCTGCAAAAATTCACCCAGAGCTCGATTCGATTCGATTTTCAATATTAGACCCTCAGTTGGATAATTTTCGAATCGATTCTGATGTAAAAACATCAGATTTCATTTAACTCTCAGAGTTGGGTTTTTTAGCGTGAAATCCATCGTCAACTTGGGGATGTCTACTAACAACTATTCTCATTTGATAATAAGCCTGGCATCAGCCAATCACGTTTGGCCTTATTTCAGAAATTGCTCGAGTTGGAGTCAAAATTACGTTCTCGCTGTGGGGAAATGATTTAAATAGATATTCAAATATCCAATCGAAATAGTGATAATGGTTATCGAAAATCGAAACCAAGGTGTCAGATTCGATTTTCGATAAATCAAACCGAATTGTTGCAGCCCTAGTATTATGTATACAAAGTATGTTGGCAAGCCATCACCATCTATGTGACAACAACAGGGATTTACCTTGAGTGCTGTATTTGAGGGTCCCTGGGACTCATGCTTATAATTTTCAGGGGTCCCGGACAACAAAATGGGGGTCCCAGACACTTAAATATTATTACTAATACTGTTATTATATTGTGTATCGTGATCATCACATTGTTACAGTAATGAAATTGCAAATGATACCAAAACTTAGCTAGTAGCAAACTCAGTGATCACTTATTGTTACTTGATTGGAATATTTACAAAAGTATTTGGACTTTTTCTGCGTCCCTGTGGATGCGCTAATAAATTTCGTTGCATCCATTGTCAGTTTTTATGTGTATAGGACGCAGGAATTTGCGTCCTGTAAATCCCTGCAACAAACTACGCCTCCTGTCAACAACTACTTATTACTCTATTGATAAAACCTGGTGAACAAGTCTCGTGCTGTAAAGTATTAGCATGTTGGCTTGTCACGCCGAAGACCCGGGTTCGAATCCCCACATGGGTACAATGTGTGAAGCCCATTTCTGGTGTCCCCCGCCATGATGTTGCTGGAATATTGCTAAAAGTGGCGTAAAACCAAACTCAGTCAGTCAGTAAAGTATTAGCATGTAGGGCCCATAAGTAGGTCACAGAACTTTGCGAGACCTTACGTTGTCTAGTACTTCTGGTTTCGAACCATGTTTCATACCTTTTCCAATGGTCTCATGGTTGTCAGTTGACAATAAGGAACTGAAAATCCTTGCAGGAATAATAAAGTTCCAATTTAACCTTGGCCAAATCAGCCAACTGTTACAACTGTCAACAGCTGTGACAGCCAAGCATGGTTGTACACTTGGTCGGGTCTGGTAAAGTCATATTTGGCGGTAGCGCATTGGATCCAGAGCTGGTTGAATAAGCTTGTCACTGGAAGTAAGCTGGGCCCTCTCTCGCATATCTCAAGTTGGAAAGGGAGCCGGGAACCAGCTTTCATAGTACCGGAGTAGTGTCTCACAAGACTTACAGGCCTTATTTGCAGTGTTCACGAATAGCGTCTGACCCTCTGACAAATCCGGCAGATTCACCAACGGTCCCATAGAAGTCTACAACCCGCCAGCCCCAGTGTCTGGCTGTATATTTCACAATGACTTTAAATGAAAGTGTTATATGTGACATGTGACACTTGTTTGTTGTTTATAAATCTTATGTTTGTTAATAATTTCAATGCCAATTATAAGAAATGTTAAATCTGAAATCTGTTTAATTTTATTCTATGTGTCCTGTGAATTTTCAATGGGTCAGACAGACATCTGAAACTTACAGGACCCAATGTCCTGTTACTTTGAAACACCATTCGTGAACGTTGTATTTGTATCAGTAGTCTGACCCCAGTCGGAAAATTATAATTAAACATCATGTGGCCTTACAGATTACTTACCTGTAATCATGTTTTGTTTTAGACTGACGTCCTTGATGAAGATAAGCGTCTGGTCAGTGCTGTTGATTATTATTTTATTCAGGAAGATGGATCACGGTTTAAGGTATGACCCGCCATAAAGCATTGACATTGGAGATTCCTGACTTCTAACGTCAACTGTCCTCTTAGAATAATTTTCAGTACAATTTATTGTTAAATTCTTGTGAATGGAAGACTCCAGTATTTTGGCTCTCAACACTATATAAATCTTCAGCTTTTCAACAGATGTTCCTTTGTCTGTCAACCGTCCATAATAATCAGTTGTTTGTGTAATATTATCTTCCTGCCTAACCCTGAAGGTTTTATATCGTGATGGTAGCCAAAATTCCGGATTTAGGGCAATGATGTAAGTTATATGTAGCATTCGCCTAATTATTACTTACGACAATTTGCTTGATGTGTACAAAATATGCAAAATACGCTATTAAGCAATTAATTTTTAGTTGGTTAGATACAAACACACATAAAACATGCCACATACCCCGCAGAAGCCTTTTCAGTTTGCATAAAAAATTTTTCGATCTTTTTTGGCCAATAAAAGATGGCATGACATCTGTGTAAATTCTGCAGTTGTAAATAATGCACAAATGGTCACCTGAAACATGTCAAGCAATTTGAAAATTTCAATAAAATATTGGTCATTATTGATTAAAAATTCTCTTCAGACAGGAGTAGGGGTGAAATGGTATACTGCAGTATTAGTAGAACTGAGGTATTTTGCCATCAGTTCGATATACCGTATGCAATCCAAAATTTGGTGTATTTTCGGTTTACATACCATCATTTCTATTCAGTCATAAAATGACATTCTTTTTCAGAAGAAGTCCTCCTTGGGGTACATATAAGCATTTAAATGTCCATTTAAAATACCTACAACAGTTGTAACAATATTTCAATAAAATATTTTACAAAACAAAAAACTCGTTTTTGTCTTGTGAGACCCTCATTTAAATTAACTGTCAATACCCAAAGTAAATGATAACATCTGTTTGATTGGCATTTTAGAAGTTTATGAATCATAAGAAAGGCATGATACTTTGTGGGTGAAAACTTCTTGAATATACACTCTTGCTTGACAACGGTATAAAAACCTATACCTAAACGTCGCGTCATAACATTATGAAGAAGTTGTCGTCCATAAAGTATTATATGATAATATGAGTAAATATTTGATGACTCAGACGGAATTTACTGCACTGAAAAAGTTTGAACATGTTGATATTTTTTCTTGCTTTGTGACTGACATTGATTATTTGAAAAGTCCATGATTACTAATAATTCAGCCAATTGTTTGTTGTTTCCTAGGTGACGCTGCCTTTCAAGGCTTACTTCTATGTGGCCACGAAGCAAGACTGTGAGCGAGAGGTCGCCTCTTTCTTGACACGCAAGTTCTCTGGGAAAATAGCCACTATCGAAAGTGTTGTGAAAGAAGATCTTGACCTGGTAAATTGTTGTACTGTTTGTAGAGCGGAGTTGTGCCCGTTCATTGATGCCAAAGAAATACAGTGAGTGAGTTTAGTTTCACGCTGCACTCAGCAATATTCCTGCTATATGGCGGTGTTCTGTAGATAATCGAGTCTGGACCAGACAATCCACTGATCAACATCATGAGCATCGATCTACGCAATTGGGATACGATGACATGTGTCAACCAAGTCCCGAGTTTGACCACCTGATCCTGTTAGTCGCCTCTTATGACAAGCATGGGTTACTGAAGACAAATTCTAACCTGAATTTCCAAAGAAATACAGAGTACATCCACTAGCACATAGAGAATGGGTCTGCATGTTTAGGATTTAATGCTGCTTTGTCATGATTTAGTAACACTGAGGGGGCGGTGGGGTAGTCTAGTTGTTAAAGCGTTGGCTCGTCACGCCGAAGACCCGGGTTCGAATCCCCACATGGGTACAATGTGTGAAGCCCATTTCTGGTGTCCCCCGTCGTGATGTTGCTGGAATATTGCTAAAAGCGGCGTAAAACCCAAACTCAGTCAGTAACACTGAGCATGCTTAAACATAATTTCTTATATAATCATGATAATCATATAGAAAAGCAATACCCATTCTTCTACATGAGGGGGTGTAGGGTAGCCTAGTGATGAAGTGTTCGCTCACCGGGTTCACTTCCCACACGGGTACAATGTGTGAAGCCCATTTCTGGTGTCTCCTTCCCCCCTCCCCCCACCACTATGTTAATTGCTGGAATATTTCTGAAAGCACCGTAAAAGTATACTCACTCACTTCTACAGGTGATGCAGGGCTCCGGATAAGGGCCGTATCAGCGTATGTACGGAACAAATATATGCAACATACGGTCGGGAATAATTTAGAAAACGTAGCAGATACGCACCACAGCAGTGGTGTACGGTCTTAGAATCATTTTGAAAAAGTTTTGTTTTATTGTTTTGCTACCTGTTTACACAAGAGCAGCAATGTTGTGGTGCATATATGAAACGAAACACAAGACTACTGATACGCCATTAAATTCCATTCTGTACTCTAAATGTACTCTTAAGTTTTTCCAGTACTCCTATATTGAAAAAATTAGGAGTACGTACTCCTGATGTTGAAAAATTATCTGGAGCCCTGTAATGGATTCCTTTTATTTGGGGAACACCATGTCATTTCTTGACTAACAGCTCCTGAGGCTGTACAACTTTTCATCTCTTGCAGTAGAGAACCGTAGTCCATCTGTCTTGGACCCTAATTTGTTTATTTTTCCTTATCCTGACTCATGCTCTGTTGCTTGTCTCCTTCCTCTTGCGAACATAGTGGAACACTTGTATCTCCCTAATTGAAGTTCCCTTCAATGTCAAATGACTAATTAGTACACCACGAGTTACCTCCCTTCCACAAGCTCGGGAACGAGGGCGCCACCTCTACCCATGTGCCTCACTCTCTCCTTCTTCGCCCAGTGAGCTGGACGTGAGAGCGCCTGTGTCTCCCGACACACTATATCCTTTGATTATATTTAGTTAGTTACCTCGTGATAGACATCTATAGAGGTTTAGCTAGTATCTTCAACAATTATATATTGATATTTAGTCGCGTGTTTCTACTGTTTATTCACGGACGCCGTGGTTGTTTCAGTGGATTACGCTGATAAAAATTCTGTACTGTTGCACATTACGCTTTTATTCTGCTGCTGATCCGCATTTAATATGTCCTAGCTGTACTTGCGCCATGTTTCATGTTATTCACATTGCAGTTGGCGTACTAATTTATCCAATTCTGCCTTTAATAAATATTACTTTATGCTTTGAGACGCAGCAAATAGGTCGCAGATGCAGAGTCTAGCCGCGACTGATACACCTGAACCCTCGCCAGTCTACTGTTGTTGGTCGACCCTCCCCGCCTGGTGTTCCGTAGAGTGGTGGAGAGGCTTGGGGCGTGTCCGCTTCCAAGAAGCGCCCTGCTTCCCCAGACATCCCATCGCCGCAGCCGAAGACTAGAGGGTTTCTACTGCATCTCAACGCGAATTCTGAGGGGAATCAACGAAGTCTACTTGAACTTTCTCAGCCGAGATTGTTCCTGTCGCGAGATTTGGGCCTGTATGATGATCAGCCGATCATCATACCTGATGTACATCAAAAGAATGACCGATGTCCACAACAGTGATGTCAGCGCGAGATCAACATGCAGCCTGATGTACCAACGCTGATATTCTTCCTGAGGGTCCCGCCGCTACCAACACTCAACGCAGACTTCTCGCACCCCCAGGGCAGCGTGCCACCTGAGGGGAAATCAACGGTCTACTAGGACTTTCTCCGACGATTGTTCCAGCCGCTGAACTGGGCCTCTACGATGATCAGCCGATCTTCATTCCCGACGCATCGCCACAAGAAGCGACCGGAGACAGCTACAGTGACATCAGCAGAGATCGCCATGCAGCCTGAGGTCTCTACACTGACGCCAGACGACTTCCTGAGGGCCCCGCCGCTAACATCGCGAGAGAGGGCACCGACTAATTAAATCGCGAGACCATCCCAGATGAACTGTTGCGGCAAATCATGATCATGATGGAAGGCCACTACAGACTGGAGAAGCAGCCAGCCCAAGGCCTGAGCCTTCGAAGGTTCCAACGCAGACGACACCCCAGAGGCACCCCCATCAGCGCAGCAGCCACACGACGGCCACCTTCGCTAAGGAAGTCGCAGACCACCTCGACGGCGACCCAGATGTACAGCCTTCGGGCGGGATAGGATCATTACCTTCCTTGGCTTCATCCTTAGATGCGGACTCAGACCATCAGACCTCACGGAAGCCTTCGCGAAGGTCAAATCGCCGTTCCCCAGGACCGGACGCAGAGGAAGCTTCGGCAAGGACACCTGACTACACAAGAGCCAAGCGAAGCTATCAACATTCTCCTCACAGGTCTCCGAGAAGGTCAACCCATAGATCGAGATCACCAACACGATCTCCGCGCCGCTTCACCGCTACCAGATCTCCTCATTACATCACCACGCCGATCGCCTCACAGGTCACCACACAAGTCTGCACATAAGTCTACAGTCAGGTCTCCCCGGCGTCACCCGACATAGAGATAGAAATACACAGTCCACCATCAGAAGAGCATCAACCTCTCATCAGCGATGCTGGGATAGAAAATGATGGAGGCATCATTTTCAGACGCTGAGATACGATATTGAATGGTAAACAACCTAGATCTCTTCACCTTCCAAGAGTGGCAACTCGGCGCAGACATACCTGATAAAGGAAGACGGCGAAGGCAGACGCCATCACCTTACCTCCGACGACGACTGATTGCTGCGGTGCCACAGTATGTGGACACAGCCTACCATAAAGCCATAACAGTTCAAACGCCAGAGGCATATGTTCTGGCCTTAATAGATATAGAACGATCAATGAGATTCTTATCACCAGATTTCGTGACACCTACTTCTGAAGATGATAGGATGATCTACTCGGCTCTACTTATGCAGAACCAGCAAGAACCACACCCTGTATGAAGCTAACGGCCATATATTGATCGGGATTCTAGACACTTCGCTAAGGAAGTCCCAGGCCACCTCCGCGAAGGAGCTAGAGCCTCACCAGTTACAAGGGACGCCACGGAGGAGAAGCGCTTCACCGACCCCACATATTGCTGAGTGCGGTAAAACAAAACACTCACTACTCACTCCTGTTGAACACAGAGGTCGTCAAGGGCAAGCAAGCTCATATATATTATATATACTGATCGGCTCTGACTCGATACCTTCGCCGAAGATCGCGAAGGCTAAAATCAACTCCAAGTCTACCTCACACAGAAAATCTAGAATGGATACTTCGAGAGCTTCATGAAGTCTCCGGGCGCCCACCGAGGAAATCTCCTCCAAGTCTCCATATATTAGCCACTCGTCATATATAGCTACTCGCCAGTCCGTTCAAGACATCGCATAAGTTGTCTATCAACTGTATGCCATATGCCGCCTATAAGCCTAATACGCGAAGACAATTGCACAGGCTATTTACAACACAGAACGCCGCTATATTTATTAGTCAACGACGTTTCATAGATCTTCACAGAAATCAACCTTTCGTGATAGATTGCTAGAATATGCAACCCGACTACGATACGACGATTATCTACATGCGACCATTACGCAGATCTGCAGACAATTCAATATCGAAATTGAACAGCAGCCTTGTTACAGCGAGTATAACTCATAATCGCCAAAGTTTCTGAGAAGAAATATGTACAACAAGTTCAGCTTTAATTCTACAATTATGAAGATACATTCATGTATACAGCTCTACAAGCTGACAACTTGCAAGTTTATTGTACCTTTATATAAGGAAGTCGAAATTATATTCAAAACTGAAGTTACTTTCCGCGACAGCCAGGAAAATAACCTACCCAGCATTAATATTACAGAGCCGAGGTATTTCGCCGGAGGTTTCGCTTACCTTTAACCCTCAAAACACGTGGTCACTTGGGTAACTTCGGGAAGCTACGGTGAAGACCGACGATTATGCTAATATCAACGACGGCAAGATTTTATACAAGGTTTTTCCTGCTACACCGTGACATCACAGCCATGAATCAAAAATGCCTTGTTCTGATTGGACCACAGTTGGACAACGACCTCCACGAGGTCGATCTTTAGTTCACAGTTCAAGACTTACGCTTACAAGTGACAACTATATATCAGTGAATCGAGCAAGCCTCCTTTACAGTCCAGTTAATCTGAACCTTCATGATTGGGCTGCTTTTCTTCAGGTTAGAGACCTCCCTGTCAAGTTAGGGACGAGGGCTAACGGCAGTCAGGGCAATTTTACATAAAGTTCAACGAGGACAGACACACCTGGTTAAAATGGCACCTACATCGCCAAAGGACTTCGTGAAATAACCTAGACGACGGGATACAAGTGGATCTAAATCTACAGCTGAATTTCATAATCAAGCTACTAACACAACTAGATGGTTAGTAAACCTACTTAAACTTTCTGATTGGAGAATTAAAACGTAAGTTTCACCCTCCAACTTGGGGATCTGAATATAGTGCTCCAACACCTCACAAGTGAGGTTTATGAACACGCCTGGATGACATGCTTGGACTTCATGATAATGATGATTCTATCACGATGGCCAGCAAAGAGCACTGTAAATTTATCTCCACCGAACCAAACAGAAGGGAATAATGCAACAGATTATTTCCTCTATCATCAACTTACGCAGAATGAAATCTCACGTGCACTATATCTCCGCTTTGGATCAGAACTGTCATACTACGTGCATACAAGACGGATGGACTCAATCCGACCCTCCATGAGCTTTTAATACTCATGATATTAGAGCTAACTTCTACAATTGATCTACACACAATGTTATTTGAAATAATGGAGGGTTTATTTTCGAGATCCGATATGGTGGTTGCCAACCATTATCTGAGAGATATCATCACCGAGGACGCCTCGGTATCCACCAATTGATCCCATGGTCCTCGCGACAACAGTTGACAGTTCCTCGAGAAGATAAGTCAATCTTACAGATTTCTACTTATCTTATAACAGTACTAAATAGCTACATGCTATATATAATTTGCTTAAGTTCTTTTTATCATCACAGTACTATGATTATTACATCATACAATATATAAGTTAACAACTCTACAGAGTTGGTTATTATATATTTACCTTAACTTAATTATATCTTAAGCATAGTACTATACTCAGATTGTGAAAATATAAAAGCTAACAAACTCTACAGAGTTTGGGCTATTATATAGGTAGCTTAAGCTTATTCATATCTTAAGCTCAGTACTATATGTTTATATCATATAAGTATATTAGCTAACAAACTCTAAAGAGTTTTTGCTATTTGGCTTAAGTCTCATCATATCTTAAGCAATATGGTTACATTATAACATGTATTAGCTAACAAACTCTACAGAGTTTTTTGCTATTATATATGTAACTTAAGCTTATTCATATCTTAAGCGCAGTACTATGTTTATATCATATAGGTATATTAGCTATCAAAACTCTAAAAGAGTTTTTGGCTATTATATACAATGTATTTGGCTTAAGTTTCATCATAATTTAAGCTTTATGGTTACATTATAACTTGTATTAGCTAACAAACTCTACGGAGTTTTTGCTATTATATATGTAGCTTAAGTTTTCCTTCAAATCTTAAGCTCAATACTATGTTTATATCATATAAGTATATTAGCTAACAAACTCTACAGAGTTTTTGCACAGGCCCCCACTGCGGGTCAGAAAATCGATAAACTAGGCCCCGGTTTAGTATCAACACCCCCTACTATATAATACATAAAGGTTCATCACGGAAATACGGCGACATGATCGAAAACCGGACAATTACGCACACATCAATCAATATATCCTATTTTAAAGGCCTCACCGGGATCAAAGCTTTTGTCCATATTTCCTATGTGTAGGAGGCATATACACGTGTTTCTCCGTGGGGGTGCATTTGTTGGAGGTTTTTAATTGCCAAAGACCGAAAGTTGCTGTGCCGAAGTGTACAAAACTAGGTCACAGCTAATCAAATTGGTTAATAAAATGACAACAAATGCACGTATAAAATGAGAGGGAAACTCAAACGCCTATCATCCAAGATGTCACTTTCTGATGTTTTATCTTGGTAAGAATAATTTTAAAACGAAAGTACAAATATTTTAAAGAAACACATTCATTCAGTGTAATGTGTTAGCCAATCAGATCGCCGGAGGTAGTGAAGTCGAAGCTAGTTTGGTATACTTCCGCACAGCAACTCGGCTCTTTGGCAATTAAAACCTCCAACAAATGCACCCCCACGGAGAGCACGTGTATATGCCTCCTACACACATAGGAAATATGGACAAAAGCTTTTGATCCCGGTGAGGCCTTTAAAATAGGATATATTGATTGATGTGTGCGTAATTGTCCGGGTTTTCATCATGTCACAGTGATTCGATGAACCTTTATGTATTATATAGTAGGGGGTGTTGATACTAAACCGGGGCCTAGTTTATCGATTTTCTGACCCGCAGTGGGGGCCTGTGAGTTTTTGCTATTATATATGTAGCTTAAGGTTTCCTTCAAAGCTCAATACTATGTTTATATCATATAAGTATATTAGCTAACAAACTCTACGGAGTTTTTGCTATTATATATGTAGCTTAAGGTTTCCTTCATAAACTCAATACTAGGTTTATATCATATAAGTATTTTAGCTAACAAACTCTAAAGGGTTTTTTTGCTATTATACAATTAGCTTAAGTTTCATCATATCTTAAGCAGTATGGTTACATTATAAAATGTATTAGCTAACAAAACTCTACGGAGTTTTGCTATTATATATATAGCTTAAGTTTAATTATATCTTAAGCTCAGTACTATGGTTATAACATAAAAGTATATTAGTTAATAAACTCTAAGGAGTTTTTTTTGCTATATACATTTAGCTTAAGTCTAATCTTATCTTAAGCTTAGTACTATGGTTACATTATTAATCTATAGCTAATAAACTCTACAGAGTTTTTTGGCTATTATATATGTAGCTTAAGTTAATTATATCTTAAGCACAGTACTATACTCATATTGTAAAAATATATTAGCTAACAAACTCTACAGAGTTTTGCTATTATATAGGTAGCTAAAGCTTATTCATATCTTAAGCTCAGCACTATGTCTATATCATATAAGTACATTAACTAACAAACTCTAAAAGAGTTTTGCTTATTATATAATTAGCTTAAGTTTAATAATATCTTAAGCTTAGTACTGTGTTTATATTTTAAAGTAATTTAGCTAACAAACTCTAAGGAGTTTATACTAGCATATTAACAAGCTTAAGTCTATTAGTCTTAAGCATTGTATTAATGTTATATATACTTTATCATAATAGTACATTGTAATAACCTTTATATGGCAGCTGATAAGTTAGCAGCAGGAATTCATCAGTTCAGTGCCTTTATGAAGTTCCCATAGGTTATTACAATCATCACAGTTCAAATCACTAATTATTAAAATCCAAAGTATTATATATTCCCACCTCCAACTGGTAGGATTCTACAAGAAAAGAGCATGAGTCAGGATAAGGAAAATATGTAATTTTTGAGTAAAATTGATATTTTATACTCTATCCTGACTCATGAGGTCAGCCTCCTCCCATCCTCCCCAAATAACACTTTTGGATTTCCCCTGTAAATTCAAAATGTTGGGCCCAGTATATGAGGAGAGAGGAGGCACATGGGTAGAGGGTGGCGCCCTCGTTCCCCCGCTTGGAAGGGAGGTAACTCGTGGTGTACTAATTAGTCATTTGACATTGAAGGGAACTTCAATTAGGGAGATACAAGTGTTCCACTATGTTCGCAAGAGAAAGGAGACAAGCAAAAGAGCATGAGTCAGGATAAGTATAAAATATCAATTTTACTCAAAAAATTACATTATTGGGACTACATTTTGCACCCTGTGGCCGAAGAGGTAGATATCGCCTTGTGTCCCCAGGACCTCCAAAATAGATAAAGCAGACAGATCTCCCCTGAATGTATAATGGATGCTGTTTCAGCACAACCACCTGGTGGGGTTGAAGCACAAGTACCTGAAGTTGTCGTTCCTCAGTGTGGAGGATCTGATGAAGGTGAAGAGGGAGATCTTTCCTGCCGTCAGGAAAAACAAAGAGAGGGAGAAGCAGAACGAGGCCTACACAGCCATGCTGACCAGGTGAGAACTGGACGTAAGGGGCCGGCCATTTCATATTCTTTAGGATGTGGGTGTGTAGCTTAGTGGTTTAGGTGTTTGCTGGTTTGGTTTGCTTGTTATTTAACGCGGCACTCAGCAATATTCCAGCTATATGGCAGTGGTCTGTAAATAATTGAATCTGGACCAGACAATCCAGTGATTAACAGCGTGAGCATCGATCTACGCAATTGGAACCAATGACATGTGTCAACCAAGTCAGTGAGCCTGACCACCCGATCCCGTTAGTGGCCTTTTACAAGCTCCTTCTTACAAGCATGGGTGTTAACTATTGAGTCTCGTACTTACGGAAGTGACTGTCTACACATGCACGAGATCTGGTGACGCATGCACGAGAAAAACGTGCTGAGCGCAGTTGAGAAGTGACGGGATGACAGGACGGACTTCGGACTTGACTGAGTGACGTTCATTGGCAAGAGCCAGGTGAGGCCAGACATGAGGTAAATTGTGAATATATTTGAGTTTACAATGAGTTCTAACCCGGACCTTCATTGGTAAGGTGTTTGCATGTCACATCCAATGCCAGGCTTCGATTCTCCATATGGATACGATGTGTGAAGATTGTTTCTTGTGTTCTCTTCAGTGATATTGTGACAATATTGTTAAAAATGGTGTAAGACCATCTTCACTTGCAAATAGATGGACAGTTATTATTTTATTTTCTTTGGTTTAAGATTATATCCCTCTGAAGTTTGTTCACTGAGTGTGCTAAACAGAAATGTCAAATATTAAACTGGCAGGTTTTCGGTCTCCTTCCAGAGAAATCAGTCGACTGTGTTGAAGAAATGTCACAAATTTTTAACTAATCCTGCACTACTTACTTCCTGCACTTATTGCTTACGGCTCGAAAAGCGTGGCTTGCCAGACGATGTCAAAAAGACGTAGAACTGCAATCACTTCCTGGTCTCGGCTGCTTACTCGTCTGCGCATGCGTCACCGGAAGGTGACGTCAGCCACCTCAGATTATTGCTTTTCGCACGCCTCGTTAGACGTGTTGTTTGCCAGCTCAACTTGTATCCTACGGGATTATATTTTGTGAAGCATTAATAAAGACTGACTTTGTGTGTATTTTGTTTTTGTACCTCTACGAAAGTGTAGGTATTATCTTTCACTTTCTTTTGTCATTCAGTAGTTCCTGTGTAGTGATGTCGCTCGCTTATACACGGTCCCGGCCATCACACTTTCACTTCGCCATTAAAACACTTTGCCGTGATTTGATATACCGTTGTGTGTTTCATTTGGTTCAGGCTTATATACTATACCATATAATAGTGGTATATTTATTGTGCCTGTATTATGGTCTCTTTAAACTTTCAGTTATTTTGAGACTTTTGTTCTCAACTTTGCTGTTATATTCATTACTTGGTATGTGCGCTACTGGGTTTTCTGCTTCATTGCAGATCTATGTACAGCCAGTTGTATACATTGTCGGGTGGGAAGTCTCGTGAAGACCCTCATCCCCGATGTTTGAAATGTACTACTCAATGTACCTCCTGGCCATAAATGTGTAGCTGCGCTTCAAAGTGCTATCACCCAAGAGTTTCTCCGCTTATCTACAGGTTGTTAAGAAGCCTGGGACAACAGAGACGGAAGAGTATGTCTACTACTGACACCGGGTCTTGACGCACTACTACGCCTACCGCCAAGTGTTGCGGGCCAACTGTGTCAACGAATGCGCTCTGTCACCAGCATTCAGATTATGTCTTCGCCGCTATGTCGCCGGGTGTTACAGCGCTTACGCTGCGGCGCTTGCAGCTTCGCCGGCGCTTTGATCGGCGGCGCCTGGCGCCCGGGCGCTTGGCACTCCCTCACCTCCTCCGCTGTTGCCGATGTCATCTCCACAACGACCGATGGGCCAGCAGTTTGCGCCAGATCAGACACCCCAGCCAGTGTTCCGGGGCAGACGCTTTATGCGATCAACCACATACGGGTTTCCAATGCCTCAGGCGCCTATGATGCAAACGCCATACGCCACCAGCAGTTTGATGTATCCACGCCAGCACTCTCTTGACTTTACTATCAGGTCAAGCCGTACATCAGCTTCTATGCCGCTTATGCCACCAGCTACATCGGCGCCTTCTCCCCCTACGGCGCCTTTGCCACCTTTGCCACACCCGACGATTTCGGGCGCTCTGCCCTCCAGCATCGGTGCCTATCTTGTCAACTTTGTTCGCTCCTGTGCCTACGCTTAACGCCTCCCGCTAAGGCCCACGCCTTCGGGTAGGCTTAACATAGGTCGAGACCTCGTGAGTAAGGCGCCTTCTGCTAAGGCGCGCTGCTCGCACGTAGCCGCTCCCTTTGCCGCTTTCGCTCACCGGCCCTCTGAGAGGGACTTTGCCCCAGACTATGAGGAAGACACGGGCTCTAATCACCTTGGCTTTGATCACGGTTTGACTGGATTGCTGGATCGCTTAATAGCCTCAGTCCCTTCACCAGGCCCTGATGTTGCAAAGTCACTTACTATTTGGGACTCACCTTCCTTAATGTTACCAGCACATGAGGCGTCAGAGAGATTCTCTACCCTTGATGAAGATTTCAAGGAATGTCTCTCAACCCAACTATTAAAGCTTAGAGTACGCCGCGATGACTATCCTATTCATGGCTTGACTTTGCCCAGACAGTGACTAAGGTGGATGAGGAAATGAAACGCAGACAGGTTCTTCCTCTGTGTCCTCCTATAAAGTTCAGGATACAAGGGTCGCTGCTTTGGACTTAGAGCTTGCGTATGCTCCTCACCTATATCGGCATTGGCGCCAGCGACTGATGCCATCACTCAGGATCTTAAGGAAATAAACTGATCGACTGGATCATCTTACAACTATGATGCTATGGCAGGGTAAAGTGATCACTGACCTGCGCGGAACACCTTAGGTCGGCGCTACCAACGCTGGGTATGCAATTGGCCGGCAAGGCTTCCTCTCCTTTTCTTCATGGGATTCGGAATTTCAGCGAAATTATTCCACCAACCCTGGTCATCGTCGTCACTGTTTAACGATGCCATTCATGATGTTTATCGGCAGGTGTGTGGATTTTGCCAAAGGGGAGACTGCCTTGAAAGCGCTTTCAAAAGGGACAACGCCCTGCCTCCACGCCATCCAACACCTACCAGCCTCGGGCGACCGCCTGTTCGGGCGTGCCAGAAACTCAGCGCGCCTCGTGGCAGGGGACGTGGTGCCAAGCCTAGATCAGACAGGGTGGATATCAACGCCGCTGCGTTCCGCCCAGGGCCGCGACGGGCGAGGGGCAAGTGAAGTGAGGGACACGCACGACTGGACACTCCCACCTCCAGTCGCCCCAGTTTATCCTACACCGTAGGTGGGAGAATAGGGATCTTTGGGGAAAATTGGTCCATCCTAGAGGATCCATATCGCCACCGATATTGATTGCAGGTAGGTTTCGCCCCACTCCTCTCCGGATCCACCTCTGACAATGTTCCCGCCCGCACAATCACTCTCAGGTTCAACACACAACTTCTAGCGGAGAACATAGCTTATTTTGTTGGAGAAAAGAGCCATCGAACTCCTCCTGTATCCCATCATAACACCAGGGTTTTATTCTCCAATATTCTTAGTGCCGAAAGGGTCCGCGAAAAATGAGGATGATTCACAATCTGTCCTATTTCAACGAGACTTTCCTGGAACGCCCTCCGCGACTTCCTAATGACGCCCCTCAATACCTCAAATCTATGGTATGCGCCAACGACTTTCTCATCAGCCTGACCTACAGGATGCATACCTCCATGTTCTATCATTTCCAGCCACAGGAAGTACCTGGCGCTTTATTTTCAACAATCAACATTTCCAATGGGCTGTCCTCCCATTTGGAATTTCAACGGCCCCGCGTGGTTGTTCACACGTATCACAACTCCTATTTCCGGCATCTACATTTGAGGGGCATCAATTTCGACCTCGCATCTGGACGCATTGCCTTATGCACCTGTTAGACCGCCTACTTTATACAACAACGGGATTTCACCTTTCGCCTGTTGCGCCAACTAGGTGGCTGGTCAACTTGGACAAATCGGAGCTTGTTCCTACTCACACTCTGACGCTCATCGGAGGCCATTTCCAGACGGACAAGAACCTAGTTCAGATTCCCCTCGACAGGTGGGACAAGATTCAGTCTCTGATTCCACGCGCACTTCCCCAACCTCTGTCCCTCAGAGAGTGGCAGTCACTTCTGGGATTGTTGATGTCGGCGCAGGATCTTACCAGCAGAGGGCGCTCTTCAACTTCGGCCCTCTGCAGCGTTTCTTCAACCATACATTCGCCGGGCAGACGCTCATCATCAACGGTTTTGCCTTCCACCTCAGTTACATCGCTATCTTCTTTGGTGGACTCTCCCATTGAACGCCTTAGGAGGAGTCTTTGACAGAGCAGCCTCCGGATTGCCAACTGTTCGTGGGACGCCCCTGCAGGGTTGGGGCGCCACTTCATACACGCACTCAGACAGCCTCCTCGCCTGTGGTCGGGTCAACACATCAACTGGCATATAAACAGTCTGGAGTTGGAGGCCGTGGATCCTCGCTATTCATCATTGGGCACATCGACTCCACGAGGAACTTGTCTTCTAGTGGCTACAGACAACACCACGGTCGTGATGGTACATACAAAGGCAAGGGTCCACACTCACAGTTTCTCCTCGATCAGACATTTCGCTCTTTCAACTGGTCGACGATCTCCACATTCTGTTGAGAGTTCGGGCATATTCCGGGTGCCGCGAATATACTAGCAGACGCTTCTTCGAGACCCGACAGAGTTGCTCCCACTTCGGAGTGGATGCTACACAAGGAGGCCTTTCACTCTTTAAGTCACGCACTGGGTTATCCAAACATAGATCTGTTTGCCACCAGCCAAAACCATCAACTGCCAGTGTATGTGTCCCCAGTCCCAGACCCAGCTGCTTGGGCGGTGGATGCTCTCAGCCTATCATGGAGGGACTTCACGCTGAGCGCTCTCGCCACCAGTTCTATTACCCAAAGTTCTCGCGAAAAGTCAAGGAGACAACTTGCTTACTTAATCAATTTTGGTCAGCGCTCAGTGGCCAGCCAGGAACTGGTTTCCCGCTCTACAAAGTCTAGTGGTAGGAGATCCCTTCCTCTACCCACGGAGGAACGCTCTAGTGCACCTCACAGCCATCTTCCGCATCCGCTCCAGACCGATTCAATCTGCACGCATGGACCATTTGCAGAAAGCACTGAGTGCTAAGGGTTTTTCGCTAGAGCAGCCAAAAGCCATTGCGACGGTGCACAGAACTTCTACTAGACATTTGTATGACGACAAGTGGCAGTCGCTTTTGAACGTTTTGTGTTACCAAGAAGCAGGATCCGCTGACTGTGTCTCCTCAGTTCATAGCAGATTTCTTACTTTATCTCCTAACGCCCAGGCGTCTGAAGGGAGGCACCATTGCCACGTGATTTGGCGGCAATTAGCTCTGTTTTAGCGCATTCCCACTGACAGAAGGATTTCCAAAATCCCAGAATTACAGGCCATGCTTCGCCTCATTCGACTTGAAGACCAGAAGTTGAAGTTTCGGTCACGGCATGGAATCTCAACACTGTTTTAGACCATCTCCTCAGGTGGCAATCGTGATGAACTTCTTGATAACGCTTCCTCGCTGATTTATCCAGGAAGACGCATTTCTGTTGTCATTAGCGACCGCGCTAGAGTGAGTGAGGTTCACTTTGACGCGACTAGGATCAAGTTTGAACGCCGCCGCCATGGTTCTGTGCACTTAGGTATGTGTTGGGATTTCATCGCTAAAACCAACTACCAGGACAACCTGATCGCCAGTTTTCCATCCCGCCATTATCATCTATTGTTGGCTCTGAAGACGAGCGCGGAATTACTGTTATGTCCGATTCGCGGCGCCAAAACTTACATTGATCGCACTAAAGGCGCTGCTCGTGGTACAAGGAAACGCTTATTTCTTCCACTGTCCCCGGCGCCGCAGTCAGATGTCGCCAGTAAAACACTATTGCCTTGGCGGTTAAGAACAACCATTCTTCAGGCATATAAAGCGCTGGGCTGGACCTTCCCTACGCCCTCTCATCCCCACGAGATTCGAGCACTTGCTTCGACTATGGCACTTCACAGTAATTGCACTGTGTCATCCATTATGCAAGGTTGTTTTTGGCGGTCGGATATTACCAGTGTTTGCCAGTCATTACTTCATGCGGACATGGCTGTCAAGGACGCAATGATGTCCACAGCTTCGACCATTGGTGGTTGCTCAGCAACTCGCCATCTCCAAGAAAGTGACCCTCCTGCTTTGTGTGTTTTCCACGGACCACCATGTGGGGAATGAGTTGTTTTTTCTTCACAAACAACTAGGTATGTCCAGTTAAGGAGTTATCCTTGTTTTTCAAGTCCATGCTTTTGCTGCATTCCTTAAGCTTCAGCTTTAAAATTAGTGGGTTCTTTTCATTTAAGACGAAGTCTTATTTGGCGAATTACCGCTACTTGATCGCCCCTCGCTAATTCGCCTTCTGTTATAGGCGCTATTATCAACGCCTTGTTAACGCACGGATTACGGATTGAGCTGGCTGCTATTACGCAGTTTGGTATGCATCCTCAGATGACACGCCCACCTTCCAGCCTTCCGTCGGATAAAGTGCAGGAAGTAAGTAGTGCAGGATGTTAGGAAAATTCTAGGTAAAATCTAAATATTTTTTATATTTGTATAATTATCCCGCACTACTTATGATAAGGGCCCACCCTGTGCTATCAGCTACCTCCCCGCTTAGTTTTGCCATCTGTGGGATTTCTAAGCAATAATCTGAGGTGGCTGACGTCACCTTCCGGTGACGCATGCGCAGACGAGTAAGCAGCCGAGACCAGGAAGTGATTGCAGTTCTACGTCTTTTTGACATCGTCTGGCAAGCCACGCTTTTCGAGCCGTAAGCAATAAGTGCAGGAAGTAAGTAGTGCAGGATAAGTATACAAATATAAAAAATATTTAGATTTTACTAATATTGTTGAAGTCCCAATCACTTCAGTTCAGCTGTATCAACCTATACTCTCTTCTGTAACCCTTGTACATGTAGGTTTAGAGTACCTGTAGAGTGTGGTTTGTGTATTTCCAGCCACCTGACGGGGGAAGATGGAGTCTCCAAGAAGATAGCAGACCAGATGGACAACATCATTGACATCAGGTTAGTTGTATGGCAATATTGTATGACTATGCTAATTTTGCTAAATCTGTCCTTACGATAGAAGCTGTTTGAGTAACATGAGATGATCATCTACTGATTACATTTTCCTGTTAAATGCATGAAAACAGGAATATGGCAATCACTGATAATCCTTATCATTGATCATGCATACCAGTTCCTGAGCACAGATAATAATTACAGGTTATGTAGATTTGGCTTTCTGTATAATTCCCTGTGTTTTGTTTGCAGGGAGTATGATGTCCCCCTACCATGTTCGAGTCTCCATTGACCTGAAGATCTTCGTGGGTCACTGGTACTCTTTAAGGGGGAGAGGAGGTGCCCCGCCCGAGATACGGCAGCGAGAAGATCTAGTTGACAGACCGGTAATTACTGCATGCTCTTGTGAAAGATGACTGAGTTGGGTTTTACGCCACTTTTAACAACATTCCAGCAATATAACGGCGGGGGACACCAGATAGGCTTCACGCATAGTGTCCCAGTGGGGAATCGAACCCAGGCCTTTGGCACGACGAAAGTTGAAGTACCTGCTAGAAATATTAATTTTCAAGTTTTTCTGCCCTGTTGGGGTTATATTTGAACTCCGGCAAACTGTGTTTTGTTTGTTGGTTTCTTTGTTTAATGCCGCACTCAGCAATATTCCGGTTTTATAACGATGGTCCTTAAATTATCAGGTCTGGACCAGACAATCCAGTGATTGACATCATGGGTTTGTTTCTTATTTAATACCACACTCTGCAATTTTCCAGTTTTTTTGACAATGGTCCATAAATAATCAAGTCTGGACCATACAATCCAGTGATGACATCAAGGCCGTTGATTTGTATATGATGGCATGTATTAACCCAGTGCGTGAGTCTGACCACCCTTTCTCCTTAGTCGTCCTTTTCGACAGGCAGGCTATGATTATGACACTCATTGGGTTCAGTCGGCAAAGAAAACGTAAATATGAACCTGGCGTGAGAATTCTGGAGGTGAGAGAAGTGAGGCTAAATTGGAACTGATTGTTCGACATTGGGATTTGGATTCTAGAGCTGAGAGGTTCCTCCACTCAAGCTGAGAGAAGTGAGGATAAGAGGAAACTTTGGGTGGTTAAGTTCTAGGATCTGGTGGTTTCTGTATGTTATAATGTCATTATACCTGCAGTATATATTGTTTTTGCTATCGGGGCGGTGGGGTAGCCTAATGGTTAAAGCGTTGTCTCATCATGCCTAAGACCCAGGTTCGAATCCCCACATGGATACAATGTGTGAAGCCCATTTCTGGTGTCCCCTGCCGTCATGTTGCTGGAATATTGCTAAAAGCGGCGTACAACCAAACTCAGTCAGTCAGTCAGTTTCTGCTATCAACCACTTGTCTTCCTTATCCAGACTGAATTATTGAAATGTTTAGCTGTAATATTGCTGTCTACAGTGTAAGATTATTATGAATTAATCTTGGCAGTATGATTAAGGTAAGTCAGGCCTAAATAAGGATGAAGTATGTAGAGTCTGGTTAGTATAACACAGGAACCTGTGTTTGTTGCATGAGGCTTTGTTTGTTTGTTGGCTGGTTGGTTGTTTAAGGACTCACTCAGCAATATTCCAGCGATATGGCATCAGTCAGTAAATAATTGAGTCTGGACCTGACAATCCAGTGATCAATATGATCGATCTGGGCTATTGGGATACAAGGGCATGTCAGCCAGTCAGCAAGCCTGACCACACGATCCAGATACTTGCCTCTTTCACCAAGCATGGGCTGCTGAAGAGTAATTCTAACCCAGATCTTCGCGGGTTGTGGTAGGAGGTGACTTTGTGGATTGGATGGTCAGACTTGGTTCATTGTGTGTCATCATACCCCAGTTGGTAATCATAGGATTGTCTGGTCTTGATTCGACCATTTACAGGTTGCCATCATCTTAATATAATTCATGATATTATTTGAAATATATTTCAGGATCCAGTGGTGTTGGCGTACGACATTGAAACAACAAAACTACCCTTGAAATTCCCTGACGCCCAGATAGACCAGATAATGATGATATCCTACATGATAGATGGTCAGGTGTGTATGACATCCTATACTATAGTTGGTCAGGTGTGAATGACATCCTATATTACAGATGGCCAGGTGTGTATGACATCCTATATGACAGATGGCCGGGTGTGTATGACATCCTATATGACAGATGGCCAGGTGTGTATGACATCCTGTATGATAGACGGTCAGGTGTGTATAACATCCTATATGACAGATGGCCAGGTGTGTATGACATCCTATATGACAGATGGCCAGGTGTGTATGACATCCTATATGACAGATGTCCAGGTGTGTATGACATCCTATATGACAGATGTCCAGGTGTGTATGACATCCTATATGACAGATGTCCAGGTGTGTATGACATCCTATATGACAGATGTCCAGGTGTGCATGACATCCTGTTTGACAGATGGTCAGGTGTGTATAACATCCTATACTTTTGTTGGTCAGGTGTGTATGACATCCTGTACTTTTGTTGGTCAGGTGTGTATGACATCCTATACTTTTGTTGGTCAGGTGTGTATGACATCCTGTACGACAGATGGCCAGCTGTGTGTATGACATCCTATATGACAGATGGCCAGGTGTGTATGACATCCTATATGACAGATGGCCAGGTGTGTATGACATCCTATATGACAGATGGCCAGGTGTCTATGACATCCTATATGACAGATGGCCAGGTGTGTATGACATCCTGTATGATAGACGGTCAGGTGTGTATAACATCGTATATGACAGATGGCCAGGTGTGTATGACATCCTATATGACAGATGGTCAGGTGTGTATGACATCCTGTATGATAGACGGTCAGGTGTGTATAACATCCTATATGAGAGATGGCCAGGTGTGTATGACATCCTATATGACAGATGGCCAGGTGTGTATGACATTCTGTATGATAGACGGTCAGGTGTGTATAACATCCTATATGACAGATGGCCAGGTGTGTATGACATCCTATATGACAGATGGCCAGGTGTGTATGACATCCTATATGACAGATGGCCAGGTGTGTATGACATCCTATATAACAGATGTCCAGGTGTGCATGACATTCTATATGACAGATGGCCGGGTGTGTATGACATCCTATTTGATAGATGGCCAGGTGTGTATGACATCCTATGTGACACATGGCCAGGTGTGTATGACATCCTATGTGATAAATGGTCAGGTGTGTATGACATCCTATATGATAGATGGTCAGGTGTGTATGACATCCTATTTGACACATGGCCAGGTCTGTATGACATCCTATGTTATAGATGGTCAGGTGTGTATGACATCCTATGTGATAAATGGTCAGGTGTGTATTAGAGCTGTGTATCGGTGCCTAAGTGGCGAGACGATACATCATGATACCAGTTTAATGAGGCGAGACGATATATCATGAAAGTATTGGCAAGGAACCTACGAGACGATTATAATCACGATACAATGGTGGCAATACGATACGTATCCCGATACTTTACAATTCTAAAAACAGGACATATATGACAGATAAAATGACTGAATCTTTATTTGTTATACAGCAGAACATGTGTTACATTCACACACTTAAAAGGCTGTTTATGTAATAAAGTTAAACAAATTCCTATACGGTTCAGTTTGTTTTTTAAAATTTAGAAGTATTTCAAAGAGACTCCCTTCCTAATCCTAATGTAATACTCCTTACAACTTTAAGTAGTAGTATTTAAGTAGTATCGGGATATATCGTCTCTTGTGGCGATACATCGATGTATCATGGACCCTTGCGATATAAATATCCTGATATGTCGCCTGAATGTGTTTTGAATCGATGCACTCGTATCGCGTAGTTGACGATGCAAACATCGATACTATCGATGAATCGTTACACCACTAGTGTGTATGACATCCTATATGACAGATGGCCAGGTGTGTATGACATCCTATTTGATAGATGGCCAGGTGTTGATGACATCCTATTTGATAGATGGCCAGATGTTGATGATATTCTGTATGATAGATAGGCAAGTATGTTCCCAATCTGCGGACTGGCAGATAATATTTTGTGTTGTGTGGGAAGGCAATCTTATGTTGAGCAACTATGCTTGTGTTTCAGGGATATTTGATATGTAACAGGGAGATAGTTTCTCAAGATGTGGAAGACTTCGAGTACACGCCGAGACCAGAGTTTGAGGGGCCCTTCATTGTGTTCAATGAACCAGACGAGGTCAGTTTCACAACTACATGTTGTAATCTTGTATATCACAACTCCAATGATAAAACTTTCCATGTAGGTAGAAAATGTGTGCTAAACTGAAGTAAACTAAATCTGATATTGAAATATGGGTTTTATTGAATGCAAGTTAAAGTATCTGTTAAAGAAGCAGAAAACGAGGTTTAATCCTTGGCTGAGAGGGATGGTGGGGTGGCGTTGTGTTTTAAGTGTTGGCCGAGGACCCAGGTTCGATTCCCCACATGAGTACAATGTGTAAGGCCCATCTCTGGTGTCCCCAGCCGTAATATTGCTGGAATATTGCTAACAGCGGCGTAAAACCATACTCACTCACTCACTCATTCACTCACTCAATCTTTAAGTCAATCGGAAGACTGTTGCTGATCCAACGGAATATCTAAATATCAGGTTGTCGGGCTACGTGATTTGGTTGGTTGGCTGTCGTACCCTGATGATGTCATTATATCAATCACGGAGTTGTGTCCCTTTGTTGTTCCAGGATTTACTTTTGTGGATTTCATCTCAGATTTTCATTTTTACGAAGCAAGGATTGTGAGCACCAGATGATAATGATAATAAGGACATTTGTAATGCACTGAATTCCGCACCACGTAGGGGCTCACTCAAAGCGCTTATATACAATCTGATCATTATTATCCCGGATAACCCAAGCTGCCTGTGAGGCACTAGAAGGTTAATAGTCTCACGACTTATCCCACTGGGTACCCATTTTCTGCTGGGTGAACAGAGGTAATTCTGAACAAACTCACTTGCCTAAGGTGAGACCACATGTATCACATGTGCTTCATTGTGGGGCAGGACTGAAGTCCAATTCTCTCCTCTTACAATAATATGACACAAGGAGATAGAATAGAAATTTTGTTCAAAATAGTATTAACCCAAGCCATTTTATTTAAGAACTACTGTCATATGTATTTCCATGCTTTTCAGGTTTCACTAATCAGGAAATTCTTCGAGCATTTCCAGGAAGTGCGGCCCCAAATCTGTGTAACATACAACGGAGACTTCTTCGATTGGTATGTTGTCATGTTAACTAGATTATGAAAATGTAATAGTTGTACAAGATGCATTCACCATGAAATGTTTTAAGATCAAATCTATGGGGACAAAAAGTGCGACCTTGTTTGCCCAACAGGCCCTTTGTGGAGGCGCGGGCAGCAGCCCATGACATGGACATGTTTCGGGAAATCGGCTTCCAGAAGGACAATCAGGGGGAATACAAGTCCAGGCACTCTATACACATGGACTGCTTCAGGTGAGCTATGCAGTGTGTGTAGTGATGATGGTGATGATGATGATGGTGGTGATGGTGATGATGATGGTGGTGATGGGGTGATGATGATGTGATTATGTTTGGGTGGTGATGTGATGGTGATGATGATATGGTGATGATGGTGGTGGTGATGATGATGGTGGTGATGATGATGATGATGATGATGATGATGTCATCACCTTATTACATGACTCAGAAACCTAATCTCATGACTTGACATAATAATATAACTTGATATAATATTACATGGCCTTACTAAACAACATGATATTACTCATGATAAATGTTATTTCTTCAAACAATATTAGATATTAGACAGAGTGTTATTATTTGACATGTGATGTTATTCAGTAGTTCATCAGACATGCGGATCACAACAGCGTAGATCAATGCTCATGCTGTTGATCACTGGAATGTCTGGTCCAGACTCAATTATTTTAGCTGGAATATTGCGTGTGGCGTAAAACTAAACTCACTCACTCACTCACTCACTCACTCACTCATCTGGACATGATTTTGAGGAACTTAACTAAACTGCTGGTCCTCTGGACCGTGACTAGCAGAAAACATGACGTTAAGTAGTAAATCAGTCATATCTTTGCACTCAGTTCCATATATTGTTTATTACAGATGGGTGAAACGAGACAGCTACCTGCCAGTTGGAAGTCAGAATCTGAAGGCGGTTGCCAAGGTAACCAATCAGTGGATCAGCAATTTTAGAAAATTACAAATTAATTGCGATTATTTGTTTCCATAATAAATTGTTATTGTCTTGAATCTCATTTCATGATCAGCTTTTTTGTTTTAAAAATGTTTGTGATATTCTTAATAAAATAAATAACCAAATTATTTACAATATTAGAAGGAATTAAGATAGTACGAGGGTTATTTTTCATAGAATATTTCTCTAATTGCAATACTCAATCAAGTTTATTTCGTAACAAGGCCTTAGGCCCATGTACAATACAAATAAACATGTGTAATCATAAGATAGTGGCATTTGACAATCAGATTCATATGTATAAAGAACGCAATGACAATGCTTCCTTAATGTAAGAAGAACAATATGTTAGTGTTGAAAACTTGGTACAGGATAATGTGTTCAGAAAGTATTGCTGATCTATGTAATTTTAAAATATTTACAGCAAATCATGATAAACTTTACATTCAAATAGGAAAAGAAATTCATTTTCTACTCTAAAATTCCATGGATTTACAAATATTACGGTCTTTGGTCTGGGAAAAAATAAGCCTCAGAACTCCATCAAATCTACTGGTATTATTATATATTGGAAGTGCACCAATTAAAGTGAACATTGTTATTCGGACTTCGTTGACCCATCTTTAGATTTCAAACGGCGGACCTCGGCAAGTTAATATGGTTCAATGCAAAATACACTTTTGATACTGAATAGACATCAAGCTGGATGAACATTTGTGCATTTCTGAAAATACTGATTGCTTTTGACAATCACCAACTCTTATGAAAATCTTTCAAAAATGCTGTTTCCGCTGTCATGTATGCAATAAAATGCAATAAACAGGATTATCCAATTATTATTTCACTGAGCTCCGCGGCTTGCATCAGGAAAGTAAGGGAGATCAATAATTAAGACAGGGAAATTTGGCATTTCTACAAAGCATACTGGTTCCTGAAATATAGCATTTATGTTGTTAGAAAAGTCTTATTTTGTTCGATACACAACCTGTCCCTCAGCGGGGCGATTCTAAGCGATTTCCAGAAGAAGTTGCTAGCCGCCAGTTAACTAGAATTTTTATATGTTTTCAAAAGTCAGGGGAATTTTATATGTTTTCAAAAGTCAGGGAATTTCAGGGGGACTCGTAAGTCAGGGAAATTTAGGGTTTTGGTCAGGGAAAAATAAGACTCAGAATGTAAATGTGCGTTTAATCAGGTATGGTAGTAGTCAAAGATGCAGCACATGTTACAGACATTTCATGAAATTACAGTTCAGATAAGACATTGCTTTTAAGCATAACAGCATGTTTTACATAAAGCCCTAGATTACACATTACATTTTCATTTCTGGAGGATAGAATGGAAACAAATTAAAGTCACTTGAAGGATATTTTTACAGATATTTATTTGGCATGTATTGTTTTCTTAATTCAGCATAATGTGAATTTCATCTTCTACAGCCGGGTGACATAACAGACATATTCTTCTATGAAGCACAATCGGTTGGATTTGAGAATCAAAACAATATGAAACATATTTTCGAGGTTAAAATTCAAAAATTCTGGGAAACTGACATAAATTTGATAAGAGCCTTCTTATAGCATGTGATTTCAGATTTATGTAATGTTTCAGAACGGGATATAGTCAACGCCTTTGTCCGTCTGTCCGTTGACTCATCGTCCAGAATCATTTTGTTTCCAGAACATAACTCAAAAAATCGGTTCAATATTTTTCAACAAAACTTTGCAGATATATCAAACAGAACCTAAAGTGGTGCCTTTGACTGCTTTACAGATTTTAAATCTTTACCCATGTCATTTTTCTTTTCCTTGGTTGCCATGGAAACATTTTAGACTGAGTCTTAAAAGGGTGTGGTGGGCTTTGTTTCCGGAGCACAACTCGAAAACACTTTAGGGTTGGCATCTCTGCATATGAGACAGCTGAAAGGTGAAACGGTTGATGTCGTGTACTTGTCCCACAATATATGGATTGTTGATTACAGTATCAATCACTCGACGGCCCAGTCCAGTCTTGATTATTTACTAGCGGCAGTCGACCTGTGAAAATTCAGGTCAGCAACCCATGCTTGTCATAAGAAGCGACTAACTGGATCGGCGGGTCAGGTTCACTGACTTGGTTGACACATGTCATCGTATCACAATTGTGTAGATCGATGCTCATGCTGTTGATCACTGGATTGTCTGGCCCGACTCGAATATTTACACCGATTATTTACTATATGACCACTGCCATATAGCTGGAATATTGCTGAGTGTGGTGATAACAACAAACCCGTGGCAGTCATATAGGTGGAATAAATATAGCCGAGTGCACATTCATAAATTAACAACAAATAGTATAGGTTAGATGTCGCTGGTTGGTGTAAAACAATATTCAATCATATACTCACCTCATAGAAACTTGTCGACAGGCCAAGTTGTGCTACGATCCTGTGGAGCTAGATCCGGAAGAGATGTGTCGGATGGCAAGCGAGGAGCCCCAGGTATGTTGTAGCTGTTTGGCGTGCAATTTAGGGATACTGCTGATATATAGAAACCATAGTAACTTCAAACACTTCTATTACTCAAGTTTATTACTCAAAACATAACATTTCCACAACGTAAATTTGCAATGTTGTTATTACGCTTGTAACATAACGCTATAAAATGGTGTAATACTAACGCTGTGATAATGTTGTGTCATGACGCTACTAATCTACAACCCTCCCACAACGCTAAGTGAAAATGTTGTGTGTTAGCTGGGATGTCTCACACCGACGAGGGAGGAGATCAACGTGGCCGCGTCCCCTTCAAGGGTGACAGATGCAGGGGCAAATGAAGTCCAAGATATGGACAAGTGGACACTCTCCTCCAGTCGAATCTCTTTATATTATCCCCGAGAGGCCCAGATAAGCCGAATTTCCAATTCACGCATTGAAAATAATTGTTGCATCCAATTCACGCATTAAAATGTTAGATAATGCCAAAAAGTTTTAAACAACTGCGTAGGGAATATATTTATAAAAATTGCTTAAGACATCGATTGCTATCAAGTTGTACTGTTAGTATAGGACTAGTGTTGTACTGTCAGTATAGGATGAGTGATTTTTTATGAAATCATTTCCATTATATTTAAGTTGGTTTTGATTAGATATGACATAAGGCAAAACATACCTGCTAGTAAACTTACTCAATGACATAATACTTAGGTGAGTAAAATGACTGAATATGTGAAATATGTGAAATACGCACATATTTGAAAGCAGTGGGTAACGGAAAATGAAATACCCTCTCAAAATTCATAATACCCACTCCAAAAAAATACAGTGGGTACAGTACCCACATGAGCTAAATCTTATCTGGAGCTCTGTTATCCAGCACCCGTACATTGGAGAATAGGGCTCTTCTGGCTCAACTGCTTATTCCTTATCCCTCTCCTCATAGACCCGCCTCTGACTATGATGTTCCAAGGTATCCCAGCCACAGGGAGCACCTGTGCTCTTTCTTCAACTGCCCCATGGTTATTCACTCATATCAAAAGCAGCAGTTCGCTAGTCACGCTGAAGACCCGGGTTTGATTCCCCACATGGGTACAATGAGTGAAGTCCATTTCAGGTGTCCCCTGCCGTGTTATTGCTGGAATATTGCTAAAAGCGGCGTAAAACCAAACCAAGTTATTCACTCATATCAAAGCAGCAGTTTCGCTTGCCAGCACGCTGAAGACCCGGTTTGATTCCCCACATGGGTACAATGTTGTGAAGCCTATTTCTCGTGTTCTCCGTCGCGATATTGCTGGAATATTGCTAAAAGTGGCGTAAAACCATACTCACTTGTAATGATGAAGCAGCATGATGATGCTGATGATATGGAGATTTCATGTGCACTTACTGCCGTGTTGCGTAATTCTCGCACGAGCAGCAACAGGATTTCACCATACGTCTTTTATACCACTGGAAAGTCGTAGCACTAAGGGGCCAAATAAGTGGGTACAATGTTCAAGCTTCCATTATTAATTCGTGATGTTGTCTTTTGTACCCCGCGGAACATCCGGGGCAGAATTGGGAGTCTGCAAACGGTAGTGGTCAGACTGACTGATTTGGTTGGTAGATATATTATCATATCCCATAGACTGCATAGACTGGTGCTCACTGTATCAATCACTGGATTGTCTGTTCCAGACTTGAATATTTACAACCTATAGCTGAGTGTGACATTAAACAAGAAACAGAGCTCCAGATAAGATTTAGCTCATGTGGGTACTTGTACGCACTGTATTTTTGGAGTGGTATTATGAATGTATCGTGGGTATTTCATTTTCGCTACCCACAGGCTTTCAAATATGTGTGTATTTCAGTCATTTCACACATCTAAGTATTGTGTCATTGAGTAAGTCTACTAGCAGGTATGTTTTGCCTTAAGTCATATCTAATCAAAACCAACTTAAATATAATGGAAATGATTTCATAAAAAATCACTCATCCTATACTGACAGTACAACACTAGTCCTATACTAACAGTACAACTTGATAGCAATCGATGTCTTTTTCATTATGCAAGCGATTTTTATAAATATATTCCGTACGCATTCGTTTTAAACTTTTTTCGTATCTAACATTTTAAATGAGTAATTGGTACGCAACAATTATTTTTCAATGCGTAATTGGAAATTTTCCATGCATATTTTACCCGGATACGCAGCTTATCTGGGCCTCTGCAAGAAACACCATACAGTTCATGAAGCATGTGGTGAAGTTACTTACATGCTGCAGTCATGTAGCTGAAATATTGCTGAGTGCAGGGTAAGTAAATGTTTTTATTACCTACGTGGGCGTACATATCGCGGTTCATATTTTTCATACGATGCCCTTGGGCAAGATATCACTTTGTCACGTTTCTTTTGTGACTTTGCGTTCTACATTCGGTGACGGCGGGTAGCCAGCCTGTGTTTGAAAGTAGATTTGATATTATTTTCCTCAATTTCACAACTTCGGTAATGAACAGAATATTATATTCGTACTCATATCATACAATGTTTACGACACTCGTGCCTAAATATCGGACCGCCTCCGTGGTGTAGTGGTTAGAGCGTCCGCCCGGAGAGCGGAAGGTCACGGGTTCGATCCCGCCGATGGCATAACAAAAGACGTTATAATATGGTACTTGTTGGTCCCTTCCTGGCGCTCGGCATTAATGGGTACAACAAGGACTGGTCGGCTCGGATCAGTATAATGTGTCTGAGTGGGGTATTTATGCTTCACTGCGGCATGGTATCTCAGTGGGCTAGCACTATAAAACCAGCTTAAGTCTGGACTAGTACAAGCAGCCACACATACACATACACACGCATGTACGTCGTCATATGAGCGAAATATTCTCAAGCACGACGTTAAACCCAATTTCACCTCACCTCACCTAAATATTGGCTCTCGCTCGGGAAAACCAACATTTAGGCACTCGTGTCTTAAACGTAGTATGACATGGGCACTCATATAATATCCTCTATTTAATCTCCATGCCCATGTTCAATTATACAAAAGTAAACAACAGCGAAAACATTACTGTATCGGACAGCAGAAGTTTGAGCACCAGAAAAGCAGTTCGTAGAAGGGTGTCAGCTTATCTACTGGTTACACTTTCATCAAACGTTTTAAAGACTTTCTGTGCTATGTTTGTTGGGTGAGGTAGGTTTCAAAGTTTGACATTTCTTGAATCAAATACTCCATAACACCTGCATATCTGAAATTTTCACATTGACTAAGTTGTTTTATCTCCACAGGTGTTGGCGAACTACTCCGTGTCAGACGCAGTCGCGACGTACTACCTCTACGTCAAATATGTCCACCCCTTCATCTTTGCCCTGTGTACCATCATCCCCATGGAGCCGGATGAGGTATGACATTGAAGTAGACGTGTGCAGTCCAAGATAAGGGTTGGGGCTTGAAAAAGCCTGAAATTTGGACATTTTACCCTAAAAAGGCCCTAAATTCATTTTAGCCTTGAAAATGCCTTGCTCTACTTTTGCCTTTATGGCTTGAAAGCTTCATACACATAGAAAAAGAAATAATAGATGTATGAAAGTTTTGCACTTACATGATTGTTCAAAGTCTTTGGCTGGAGAATGGCATTTAGAAGTCATACATATAAAGGCAAGAGTTTATGGATGTCATCTGTATTTTGAGGAACACAACGTTTTGGAGTATATTGAAGGCGTAAGGATATACCCCAAAACGTTGTGTTCCTCAAAATACAGAAGTTACCCATAGTTTATCTAGGCCTACTCACAAGTCAATATTCAGCCCAAATTGGAATTAATAAAATTCCCCTGATTGTAAGGTCCTGTTTGACAGTGAATCACGACAACCGTATTTATAATAGAGACTCTTCATTCATTATTCTGTGTCTGGACGTCCAGGTATTGCGGAAGAGCTTTGATGCTTTGATGAATCGTGACAACCCTATTTGAAATACAGACTCTTCATTCATTATACTGTGTCTGTGGTCATCCAGGTATTGCGGAAGGGCTCCGGGACTCTGTGTGAGGCTCTCCTGATGGTGCAGGCCTACCACGCTAACATCGTCTTCCCCAACAAGCAGGAGTCGGTGCTGAACAAGCTGACAGAGGATGGACACGTGCTGGACTCGGAGACCTACGTCGGTGGCCACGTCGAGGCGTTGGAATCTGGGGTGTTCCGGTCTGACATTCCATGCAGGTTCAGAATGGTAAGTGTGTAGCTGAACACACCTTTTTGGTCTATGATGCAGCGATTTGCTGTGCAGTTTTACTTCCCTCAGGCGTGCCAGACACCCTATTGTCCTGGGTTTGAAGCCTGATGATGCGTCCTGGTTTGGTGCAGCAACACGTTTTTCTGTGTTTCACCAAAGTGGTAAACAACCACAGGGATTTACAGGACAGGACGCATAAAAATTGACAGTGGATGCAACAAAATTTAATAGCGCGTCCACAGGGACTCAGAAAAAGTCCTAATACTTTTTGTAAAAATTCCAAACAAGTGACAATAAGTTATCACTGAGTTTGTTACTAGCTGGGTTATGGTATTATTTGCAATTTAATTACTGTAACAATGTGATGATCATGCTACACAATAACAGTATTAATAATAATATTTAAGTGTCTGGGACCCCATTTTGTTGTCCTGGACCCCTGAAAATTAAGAGTATGAGTCCCAAGCCTCAAATACAAGACTCCATATCAATCCCTGCACCCCCACACAGCATCACTTCGGGTTTACTGCCTTCATTTAGCTGGACCCGTGAAGGTCCGGGTTAGAATATTGGCCTTCAGTAACTCATGCTTATCGTAAGAGGCGACTAACAGGATCGGGTGGTCAGGCTCGATGACTTGGTTGACACATGTCATCGGTTCCCAATTGCGCAGATCGATGGTCATGCTGTTGATCACTGGATTGTCTGGTCCAGACTCGATTATTTACAGACCACCGCCATATAGCTGGAATATTGCTGAGTGCGGCGTGAAACTAAACTCGCTCATTCAGCTGAAAAACTTGATGCTCATTCACTACTCACTCACTCACTCACTCACTCATATATACATACATGAGTTGTCAACCCCAACTGGCTTAATGTGAGCAGAGCACATTAGTGGTACTAACACTCACCATCTCCCTGTGATTGAATTAGGAGTTTGTTTGATTCATTTTTTAACAATAGCTTCAATTTGAAGTCATATCTATTCATGGCTGATGGAGGAATATAGAATATTCAGATCTATGGCGGCAAGATGATGTGGGATTATTTTCATGTGTTTAGGTGCCGGAAGCTTTCCAGACACTGATTGACAGCGTGGAGCGGACAATGAAGCACGCCATCGAGGTGGAGGAGAAAATACCTCTCAACACAGTCACCAACTTTGACGAGGTAGATCGAACTAGACCATTAGCCTTAAGTTAGAAGTGGTGGACTGTGAGCTATGCCGGTAAAAAAATAGGCCCTAATAGATCACTAGGTCAGGCCCGTTAATTTCTTTGAACCAATAAACCTAATGAGAATTCTAGGTTTAAACTTGTCCCTTGTAAGATGGGACTTAGTAAATCATGTGGTCCCGACTAGGTGACTGTAGAATGGTCAGTGTACCTTGACCACTTGGATTGTTGCCGACAAAACTGATAATTGGTTTGCTGACCCAGAGTTTTAAAAATACAGATAGTGCCAAAACAAGTCCCATCTTGTCTCTTTCCATCTTTTTCTAGACAGGGTAGTGTTATTATAGGGACTGTTATCAGCTGAACTGAAATGTCTGGTGGGGCGGTGGGGGTAGCCTAGTGGTTAAAGCGCTCACTTTCGTCTTGCCGAAGACTTCGAAGTTCGAATCCCTACCTGGGTAAAATGTGTGAAGCCAATTTCTGGTGTCCCCCGTCGTGATATTGCTAGAATATTGCTAAAAAGCGGCGTAAAACCAAGCTCACTCACTAAATGTTTGGACATGATGCATCAGACACTGGCTTTGACTGTTGTTTATGACTTGAAAATCCAAAAATATAAATGCGTTAAGTTAAAGCTTAAAAAAATATAAAAATTAGTTCTCAAGCACCACTGTATCATCCCAAAGTCTGCCGCATGTTTCATTATTATTTCCATTCCATGTTCAATAATGTTGTGGTGAATATTGGAAGTTTACAGTCAGTAGTTTTTATACAAGAATGGCACTCCAGGTTAAATATTTATTTTCTTGCTTTCTATTCTCGGGATTGTTCATGAGCTCTGTCACTTTCGTCCATCGCGAAGCAGTTGTACTACTTGGTATTTCCGTATCCAATGAAGGAGTTTGATTTCAGGTGTGCAGTGACATTGCTGAGAAGTTGGAGATGTTACGAGACTGCCCCAACCGTTTGGAGAACCCCATCATCTACCATCTTGATGTGGACGCCATGTACCCAAACATCATCCTCACTAACAGATTGCAGGTACACCATCTTCCTCTGCACGATATGCCTTGTTTAAGATTTAAAAACAGCACATCTAAGATTTAATTTATATACTGTATGCCTCTTCCACTGTAGGAACACCTTAGTTGAAATAAAAATACTGTACGTTATCTTTCTCCAAGTAGCACCTCACTGTAAATACTGTTCTGTCCACTATCTTTTCCTCTAGAAGACAGCTCATTCTTAATTGAAATACTGTAGACAATCTTTCTATAAAACTCCCTGTTCAGAACCGAAACTAGATGCCATCTTTAGAAGGAAAGTACAAACTAATAACTAATGTATCAATGTGTAATTGTTTTTCAATCAAGCTTGCGGCCATCATGACCACTTTCTCTATCAGAATGGCCGATATCTGTCGGCGTGAGGAAAAAACAATGGTTAATCTAGGTTACGATACTGTCCACAGTCTTTCTCATTTTAATTGAATTAATTGTACACAATCTTTCTATAATACTCCCTGTTTTAAATTGGAATACTGTACGTCATCTTTCTATACTACTCCCTATTTTTATTGAAATACTCTACACCATCTTCTAGGATCCTTCTCAGATTTAATTAGTAATACTCTACACCATTTTCCTGACCACGAAACAAAGATATGTAACCCCAAAGTACTTGCTGAAATCTCCGTGACTAAAAGTAGTGAAATAAAGTAATAATGCTACGTGCACAGATGTGTTGCCCATCAAAATGTGCTTAGTCGACTGATTAAGTGTTGATGGCAGTACATTCAGTTTAAGAAAAGACCCGTGAAGATCTGGGTTAGAATTGATCTTCAGTAACCCATGCTTGTCGTAGAGGTGACTAACTGGATCGGTGGTCAGGCTCGCTGACTTGGTTGACACATGGCATCGTATCCCCATCGCGTAGATCGATGGTCATGTCTGTTACTCACTGGATTGTCTGGTCCAGAATCAATTATTTACAGACTGTCGCCATATAGTTTGAATATTGCTGTGTACGGCGTAAAACTAAACTCAATCAATCAACAGTCAATCAGTTAGGCCTAAAAAAAAAAATGTTGTGGTTCCTTGAATTCTGGTGCCGACCCTATTTTTTTAGTGGACTGAATAAAATAAGCTTTCAGATACCATTGTATTTTCCCTAAGCTGACAGATATCGGTCATTCTGATAGAGAAAGTGGACATGATGGCGCAAGCTTGATTGAAAAAAACAATTACACATTGATACATGTGTTATTAGTTTGTACTTTCCTTCTAAAAAAATATGTAAAAAAATCCTTCCTACCTACCCTAAATTTTAAAGAGGTGTAATCGGAACCACAACATTTTTGTGTTTGGCCATAGAAGCAAATTTTTTGTCCTTGTGTTCAGCCTCCAGCCATTGTTGACCTGTGACCTGTGCTGCCTGTGACTTCAACAAACCGGAAGCCCTCTGTCAGCGGAAGATGCCGTGGATGTGGAGGGAGAGTTCAGTAAGTTCTCGCTCAATCATTTCAGTAAATACTAAACTAAGGCTTGACAAGATTACAAAGCTGTATCAAGTGTTGATGGAGGCAAAGTAAGCAGACAGTCTGTATATGGTAATGGATAGGGCGTCTGCCCCAAGCAGATGGTTGTTGGTTTGAACCCTAGCTATGCCATACCAAAAGACTTTAGTGGATGGTATTTGTTGTTACCCTGGCTTGCTCAGTATCCAAGGACTAGTCGGCTCTGAGTTGGTATGTCTGGAAAAGCATCACCACCATTTCAAACTCACCTACATGATTTTTACACCACATGAAAGCCATATGAAGACTGTGGCATGAATGTCTCTGTAAGTTAAAGGCTAAATGACTGTTGTACCCCATTTCAGGGCTGACTTACAAGATTTTTTACACCCAAACTAAACAAACAACAGTATGAGCAAAGTGAGCTAACATAAACTATGAAACCATGTGAATGTTGTTAAATAGTGAAAGATATGGCCTTCAGTGATCAAGCGAGTGATCAAGTGTAGGTTTACGCAGCTTTTAGTAGTATTCGGAGGGAAGAGGAGGGATCAACATAAATGGGTTTCAAACATTGTACCCAGGTAGGGAATCAAATCCGGTTCTTCAGAATGACAAGCGTCAGTGTCTTGAAACAGCCACTGCCCCGCTAGCCTGTGGCTAGTAAAATACAGTCGGGACCAGTTAATCTCCACAGTCACTGGCCCTACTGGCTAGAGAAATTTTCATGGGGTCAATTTGGAAATATATCACTCTCTCCGACTTGTTAAGTTATAACACACTTTTAAATCATGTAAGATTATGGCCTGGTAAAACATTCATTCATCATATTAGCAAGTTAATGATGAAACTCTGTGTCCACATTCAAATTTTGGGCTAGTGAATTATCTTGTGGGCTTGTAACTTTCAGGCATAGCTAGACCGACTGGCCAGCAAAATTTGGAAACTATTTCGCACACTGACAGAGTACACTTTTACTGCAAGGCTACCCCACGCCCTGGAGATTAAGCGTAGATTCTTAATTTCAGTGCCATCACGGAATGAGTTTCATCGCATTCAACAACAGTTGGAGAAACGAGAAGTTCCCCATACTTCCCAGGGGAACCGAGGGCGCTCCATGAACTGCCGAAAGAGGAACAAGCTGCCATAGAGAAGAAACGTTTGGCAGGTGGGTGTCACGTGACATTTGCATGATTACATGAATGTTTTTCAACTCCTATCATCTTGGATGCTAAGTGTCACCAATAATTTTATAATAAGTGTCACCAATAATTTGTAAGGAATTTCCAGTTTTAATATAAAAATAATCTTTTAAGAAGTCAAATCAAAAGACTAACTTTTCAAAGACACAGGTAAAAGCCAAGCAAACAGAAGCAAAATCTATTTGATTTTTTATTTTGAGTACTAATATAATCTTGCAACTTCCAAAATATAGAGTTTCACCACGTTATTTTTTTATGGCTGGTTTACACCATCATTTCTGAAAGACATGGCTTATCCATACAAAAGGAAGTTTGATTGAAGGAATATTGACAGTGGGAAAAATTAGTGAGGATTATTGATGTGAAAAATGTGTTATGATATCTTACATAAACTATGTGAGTCGATGAAATGTACCCAAACAGACTTATGCGAAGATTGAATGCTGCCTGCAAGTCAAATTCTACAGACTGAATGCACTCCTCTACCTTTCAATTCTCAATCAAAGTTTGTTCTCCGATATTTATGGATAAGTAATTGGTATTTAGCAAACTGTTATTGGTCTCTAATATGTGTATCAATATTTAGCCCTAAATATTTCAGAATCAAAGTTGAAAAGGATCAGAAACCAAATCTTTTATGAAGTCATTATTCGCTTATTCTCCAGAACCAATGCATCCTTTATATATGTATTATGTGGTCAAGATTCGCTCACGGACCTGTTGCGCTTGTCCATACTTCTTTGACACAGAGAGGCACTGTATTGGAGCAAATGTTGTGATTTTAATGAAATGGCACGAAAAGTGCAACAACTTTGTCAGTGAAACTTAAACACAAGTCACAAACCTATTGTCTGCTGATGTTTCCTATGCCTAATCTTCCAACCCTCTCAGCGTTCAGAGTACTGTCGAAAGTACAAGAAGACCAAAATAACCCGAATGGAAGAAAGAACAGCTACCATCTGCCAGCGAGAAAACTCCTTCTCGTGGACACCGCGTATGAAGCTTCCGTGATCGACGGTATGAGTTCAAGGGTCTGACCAAAGTTTGGAAGAAGAAGCTGAGTGAGGCTGAGGCGAAGAAAGATGCAGTAGAGGCGGTTGGAAATAGCGCATGGTGGTGCTGTAACGACTCTCTGCAACTGGCTCACAAGTGCATCCTCAACTCCTTCTATGGCTACGTTGATGAGGAAGGGGTGAGGGCTCTCCAAAATCCTAATTTTATGATAATGAACATGAAAACAAAATGGGATTTGCAGAGATGCCAACCCATACGATTTTATCGTTACAAAAAAACAACACAAAATACTGAACTACTCACGATAACAGTAAAAATATCACGATTTAAAAAAAAAATACATTAAATTAAATTATCAAATAGCATACGCATTCATACACAATAAATTTCAATCACATTTTATTCAGTATGTGGATACTTACTTCTGATTTAGTTGAGTACAACATTAATAATAACAAGGTCTTAGACTATATATATTTAAATTTTTTATTTGATATAAAAATTCTTTTGGAAAAGTTACTACTAATTTTGGCCAACAAATACCAATTTTTTACTCAGTTTTTGCCCAAAATACTAATTGGGCAAAATTAGGATTGGCATCTCTGGATTTGAAATGTTTTGTATAACTGGGGTAAATTGTCTGGGGATACAAATTGGTGGAGGATTTCAAGATTGTTCTAATTAAGGACTTAACTCATGTAAGCAGGGATGGCAATTTTCCGCATTGATCCAGCTGGATTTCCAAGAGATTTTATTTCAAATTGTTCAATTGTGAATCGTCTAAATCCATTGAGAATCCCTCAACTCGATGACACAATATTAAGTTTTCAGCTGAAAATAGATTTTCCTGTTGCCATCCCTGTGTAAGTGTTAATTGGCAGAATATATCTATACAAGATCCAAGTCAATACACAGCTCCTAAATCCCTTGAAGATCCGGGTGAGAACTGGTCTTCAGTAACCCATGCTTGTCATAAGATGCAACCAGCGGGATGGCTGACTTTGTTAACCTGAGTCATCATTATCCCTATTATGCGTGGATCGATGCTCATTGATGTCAATCACTGGATTGTCTGGTCTAGGTTTGATTATTTACAGACCTCCATACATAGATGGTGATTACTGATTGTGGTGTTAAACAACAACAAATAGACAAATCTTGGCTAAGAGCAGCACATGTTTTGCTGTTGAATTGATAGGGTTGGGTATTGCAGAGAATATTCATATGCAGATATTGAATATTCATATGCATTGCAATATATTGCATGAAGTATTTTAAACAGAAAACTACTTATATTCGAGTTACTGCTTGATTTATAGAGCAAAAACACAACCAAATCACTATGTTTGATAAGTTTTAATAACAAATTTTAATCATGATAAAATAAAAATGTGAATAATATTTGGCACAAATGAAACAAGGAAATATCCGAAGATTTCCGAGTGTTACGACGTTTTCGAATGCATGTCAAAATACCGGTTTTCGATCATGTCGTATCGACAAACAACTGGTAAACCGGGTTATATTGCAGCCCTAAGAATTGAATTTATCAAAGGGACATTGTATGTCATTTTGGACAAACAAACAAAACAATGCCTCGTAAGTTCATGGTGCATGTGGTGTTATTATCAGTTATATTGTTGTGTGTTTCCAGAGCTCGCTGGTACAGCATGGAGATGGCGGGTATTGTTTGTTTCACTGGCCAACATCATCAAAAGCCAGGAGATAGTCGAACAAATTGGGTAACAACCCTTATTGTATTTCATTTATCTCTGGCTTTGTCTGTTCATATAATGATTATTAATTATGATTAATTATCGTGACATATTTTCTTCATATCATTAGATTTTACTTTCTGTTCTTGATTCTTCGTTTATTAATACTGAGGTATTCAATACTGATATGTGCACTTTGCCAGCGACAGTGGTTTGTCTGTTGAAAGATTTTGATAAAATGTCTATGGACTTAAGTAGGGTGTTGCGATCGCGAATGTATCGATACATTTTACTGGCGATATATGATACGATACATGCTTGCGTGTATCGATTCCTATTTTAAAACTTTATCGATTCAAATTTTTATGCTATATCCATCTCCTTCAAAGTCTTGATAGTAAAATTATAATGAGACCGCTCGAATAAATAGATGTAGCTAGCTTTACTTAAAAATAGGTTGGAAACTAACAGCTTTTGTGATTGGCTAGACTATTTTGATGGACCAATCAGTGAGCGCCAGTATGTTGCCGTAAGGTAATGCTATGAAAGGGTGCGAAAATTATGTATCGCGATAACGTGATCGTATCGCGTGACCTTTAAAATCGTGATAACGTATCGTGATCGTGAGATTGGTGTATCGTGACACCCCTAGACTTAAGTAGGTTTCCTTGGATGTATTATCATGTGTGTGTTGCACTCCCATATGACAGAGATTTGCTTTTTAATAATGGCTGTACTCAAGAAAATACAGACTTCTGTTACATTGAGGTAAAAGATGTTTTAAAAAACGCTTTCCCCAACCCTCCCATACAAGTCACTTGTTACATGTTCAATCATTGATTGTGAAAGAGTTGATGATGTCTGTGGAACGTTTTCAGATCGCCCATTGGAGTTGGACACAGATGGAATCTGGTGCGTTTTGCCGGCAACGTTCCCTGAGAATTATGTTGTCAAGACAACTAATCCAAAGAAGGCCAAGGTTACTATATCTTACCCTGGCGCCATGCTCAATGTGATGGTCAAGGTAAGATATAAACAGAATTATGTATTGGTGTTACGTTGAGTTTAGATGTGCCATGATGTAACTGAAAGACACCTCAAAGCAGCTAAACTCTCTCCCTATCTCTCATGTTCCAGGACCACTAAACCCTCTCTCCCAATCTCCATATACCAGGACAACTAAAACCTGTATCCATGTTTCAGGACCACTAAACTCCTTCCTAATCTCCATGTTCCAACACCACTAAACTCCTTCCTAATCTCCATGTTCCAGCACCACTAAACTCCTTCCTAATCTCCATGTTCCAGCATCACTAAACTCCTTCCTAATCTCCCATGTTCCAGCACCACTAAACTCCTTCCTAATCTCCATGTTCCAGCTCTTCCTAAACTCCTTCCTAATCTCCTTCCTATGTTCCAGCACCACTAAACTCCTTCCTAATCTCCCATGTTCCAGCACCACTAAACTCCTTCCTAATCTCCATGTTCCAGCACCACTAAACTCCTTCCTAATCTCCATGTTCCAGCACCACTAAACTCCTTCCTAATCTCCATGTTCCAGCACCACTAAACTCCTTCCTAATCTCCATGTTCCAGCTCCACTAAACTCCTTCCTAATCTCCATGTTCCAGCTCCACTAAACTCCTTCCTAATCTCCATGTTCCAGCACCACTAAACTCCTTCTCCATTCCATCTCCACTATGTTCCAGCACCACTAAACTCCCTTCCTAATCTCCACGTTCCAGCACCACTAAACTCCTTCCTTATCTCCATGTTCCAGCACCACTAAACTCCTTCCTAATCTCCATGTTCCAGCACCACTAAACTCCTTCCTAATCTCCACGTTCCAGCATCACTAAACTCCTTCCTAATCTCCATGTTCCAGCACCACTAAACTCCTTCCTAATCTCCACGTTCCAGCACCACTAAACTCCTTCCTTATCTCCACGTTCCAGCACCACTAAACTCCTTCCTTATCTCCATGTTCCAGCACCACTAAACTCCTTCCTAATCTCCATGTTCCAGCACCACTAAACTCCTTCCTAATCTCCATGTTCCAGCACCACTAAACTCCTTCCTAATCTCCATGTTCCAGCACCACTAAACTCCTTCCTAATCTCCATGTTCCAGCACCACTAAACTCCTTCCTAATCTCCATGTTCCAGCACCACTAAACTCCTTCCTAATCTCCTAATCTCCAGCACCACTGTTCCAGCACCACTAAACTCCTTCCTAATCTCCACGTTCCAGCACCACTAAACTCCTTCCTAATCTCCATGTTCCAGCACCACTAAACTCCTTCTCTCCATGTTTCAGGACCACTCTCTCTCCATGTTTCAGGGCCACTAATCTCTTCACACTGTGTCCCCATGTTTCAGGACCACTCTCTCCATGTTTCAGGGCCACTAATCTCTTCACACTGTGTCCCCATGTTTCAGGACCACTCTCTCCATGTTTCAGGACCTCTTCACACTCTCTCCATGTTTCAGGACCACTCTCCCATGTTTCAGAGCCACTAATCTCTTCACACTGTGTACCCATGTTTCAGGACCACTCTCTCCATGTTTCAGAGCCACTAATCTCTTCACACTGTGTCTCCATGTTTCAGGACCACTCTCCTCCATGTTTCAGGTCCACTAATCTCTTCACACTGTGTCTCCATGTTTCAGGACCACTCTCTCCATGTTTCAGGGCCACTAATCTCTTCACACTGTGTCTCCATGTTTCAGGGCCACTCTCTCTGTTTCACACCACTAATCTCATGTTTCAGGACCACTCCCTCCATGTTTCAGGACCACTAATCTCTTCATACTGTGTCTCCATGTTTCAGGGCCACTAATCTCTTCACACTGTGTGTCTCCATGTTTCAGGACCACTCTCTCCATGTTTCAGGTCCACTAATCTCTTCACACTGTGTCTCCATGTTTCAGGACCACTTCTCCATGTTTCAGGTCCACTAATCTCTTCACACTGTGTCTCCATGTTTCAGGACCACTCTCTTCATGTTTCAGGTCCACTAATCTCTTCACACTGTGTCTCCATGTTTCAGGACCACTTCACCAACCACCAGTACCAGGAGTTGGAGGATCACAACTCTCTCAGCTACTCCCCAAGCAGTGAGAACTCCATCTTCTTTGAGGTGGACGGACCGCATCCTGGCCATGATCCTGCCTGCCTCCAAAGAGGAGGGCAAGAAACTGAAGAAGAGATATGCAGTGTTTAACTTTGATGGCTCTCTGGCTGAGCTGAAGGTAACATGCCTCTTCCTTAAGAGTTTACCCAGTCTCCTGAGACTCATTTGGAATCTTTGTTGTAAGTGGTCCCAAACCAACCATGCCAGGTGTATTGAACAGGTTGTCTTGTCTAAATATGTACTGCCAAGATAATCCTTGAGTGACATGTAAGGTTAAAATAAATATTGAAGGTGATTGCTTTAAAGTCTCATGCATGAAGTTTTTATAGCATTTGATTAATTGTCACAAGTAATTACAATCATATGTCAGTGGTTGGTCACTGCAAACAAAGATCTTTTAGAATTGATCATCACCAACCCATGCTTGTCAGAAAAGGCGAGTAACAGGGTCGGGTGGACAGGCTTGTTGACTTGGCTGACATGTCCCAATTATGTAGAACAATGCTCATGATGTTGACCACTGGATTTTGTGTGTGTGTGAGGTGATGATTTTAACGGGTGGGGGGTGTGTCACCGATTTTGTTCTGGGGAGGTAGGAGAGGTCATCAATTTTGTACATAAAAATGTTAAAAAAATTAGGCTTAAAAAATATGGGGAGGGGGATCATTGATTTTGTACATGACATGCAGAGGGGGGTCCCACATACTTTGTACTTAAATTTTAGGTGGGGGAGGTGGTCAGTCACATTGTACATGCTTCTCCATAAAAATCATCATCACCCCACCCCACCCCCACCCCCAATTATGACCGGTCCCTTATTTACAGACCGCAGCCATATAGCTGGAATACTACTGAGTCGCTTGTTAAACAACAAACAAACAAATTATTACAACCTACTGTCACTGATATTGAAGGTCTAACTGCAATCTCTAGGTCATACACTACAGAACTCAAGTATTTTTACTAACAGGATGATATATTTTGGAGTATAGCTGGAATGTTGAAACAGATTGAATTGAACAACTAAGAAACATATGGCTACTTGCAAATTCAATGTTGGCTCTTTAAATACTGTGACAAAAGTAATATCGGGAGGCAAATGGCTCCTGGGGTTAAGAATGAAACTTTGTTGACTGAATGTTCTCTGCCACTGCAGGGATTTGAAGTTAAACGTCGTGGAGAACTGCAGCTCATCAAGATCTTCCAGTCGTCGGTGTTCGAGGCGTTTCTGAAAGGCACTACACTTGAGGAGTGTTATGATGCTGTGGCAAAGATCGCGGACTACTGGCTGGACGTGTTGTACAGCAAGGCTGCAAACATGCCCGACTCCGAACTGTTTGAACTCATCGCTGAAAACCGTAGCATGTCCCGTAAACTGGACGACTACGGCCAGCAGAAGTCAACGTCCATTAGCACAGCTAAGAGACTAGCAGAGGTAGGGTGAATGTACAGATGGTTGGAGAACAAGGTCGCCTTCATTTATTAACATGATGTCCAAAATGTATAGACCTGTCGAGGTCTGGGTTAGAATGAACCTTCAGTAACCCATGCTTGTCATAAGAGGCGACTAATGGGATCGGGTGGTCAGGCTCGCTGACTTGGTTGACACATGTCATCGTATCCCAATTGCGCAGATCAATGCTCATGCTTTTGATCACTGGATTGTCTGGTCAAGACTATTATTTACAGACCGCTGCCATATAGCTGATTGCGGCTTAAAACTAAACTCACTCACTCATTCACTCACTCCAAAATGTATGGATTCTGACTTGTCTCTTCATCAGTTCCTGGGAGATCAGATGGTGAAGGATGCTGGACTGGCTTGTCGATTCATCATTGCCAAGAAACCCGAGGGTGCCCCAGTAACTGAGAGGTACACTATTGGATTTAATAAAATGTTACTATATGTATTATTACATCATGGCTTACAAGAAACACATACTTTAATAACTTTAAAATTGCTAGTGTACTCTGGTACAGTGTCACATGTAAAATCACTTGCCCTGATACCGGACGCTTTCTTTGTTGATTTTTAAAATAAACAGCATAATTAAGATTGGAAAGTCAACTGGACACCGTACAGTGTGATATACAAATTTGCTTGCCCGACAGAAAAAACCACTGGACTCGGACGCCAGGCAATGGGTTATTTCCACCCTGTACAAATATGTATGATGGATGCAGAAAGAATATATATTTGACAGAGGCAGAATGATATTCACTGTGCCAAATTCTTGACAAGGATGGGCAGTGGTTAGCCTATTGAGCCTAGTGGTGAAAGCGTCATTGCGTCAATCAAGACCCGGTTCGTTTCCCCACATGAGTACAATGTGTGAAGCCCATTTCTGGTGTCCACCACCGCGATATTGCTAGAATATTGCTAAAAGCGGTGTAAAACCATACTCTCTCATGCTTGACAAGAAATATACAGCTCCTGTGATCACAGTAAATATTAAAACTTACGGTTCCATACATTACACCATTTTACAGGAATCTAACATAAGGGTACTCTCTGTAAGGGTACTAGAAATTGGTAAGTAGGGGTCCCCAGTGATCTAGTTTTATTGATCAAGGTGAAGCCCCTGATCGTATATCTACTTGTACATGAGCAACTAAATATTAATTGGCAGTATATCCTGTGTAATTTGCAGTTCATCTTGAGTTCATCATTCAAACAGTAAACTGAGGTGTGTTTCTTTCCAGAGCTATTCCTTTAGCTATATTCCAAGCTGAACCTAGCGTCAAAAAACACTTCTTGAGAAAATGGTTGAAGAAAGCTGATATGTCCCACTTTGATATACGAGAGGTGAGTCCAAAAGTAAATCACTTGTCACGGGCGGATACAGCTGTTTGAGAAAGGGGGGGTGCACACTATTGAGAAAAGGGGGGGGTGCACACTTCATTTTCACCCGAGTTTCATTGGTCGTTTGATAAACTTTCAGGACAAAAGGGGGGGTGCGCATCTGTGCATCCCCCTCTGGATCTGCCTATGCTTCTTTGTTGATGGTTCATTATGTTTTGTGTGAGTGAGACCATCTGCCATCATCAAGGTGCCATGCTGTCATGGAACTGACATGCTATTCTATGCAATGTTAAACCAAACATCCATTTATTTGCTGACTGTTTAGTTATAAATGTAAAACAGGGTATGCACAGGCTTGAAAAGTCTGAAATTTGGACAGTTTACCCTAAATTTGCAACTTGCAAAGGACCTAAATTCGTTTTTGCCTTGAAAAGGGCCTCATTGTCAGTGATTTTCCGTTAAAAGACCCTGTGTTCAGCAACATTTGTCAAGTTATGATTTTACAGGAAACATATACAAAATAATAAAAACATGATCATGACTGGGGGTCTTCATTGATCTTCATCACAAACCTTTCCGACCCGTGAAGATCCGGGGTAGAATAGGTCTTCAGCAACCAATGCTTGCCACAAAAGGCTGACTGCTTGTTGTAAGAGGCTTACTAATGGGATCGGGTGGTCAGGCTTGCTGACTTGGTTGACACATGTCATCTGCCAGATTTGTCCGAGTGTCCGACATGATTCGTCCATGTGAACACTTCTATATTACAGTGAATGAGGCGTTTGGTGTAGGGTCTATGATAACGATTTTAGAACCTACACGCGGTGTAATGTCGATTTTAGCCTCACTTCTTTATATAGAAGTTGTTCATCCATATATATTGTCATCCTTCCTTAATGACATCTGGTTTCTAGTGTTGGGAATTTGTTGAAATCTCACAATTGATGATTGCTTCATTACCAACGAACAATCATCGAAAAAATTGGTTAGCGTCATTCAGATTTTCCTATCCAGGTTGTTATTGCAGAAAAGTATAACATGATGCAACTTGTTACTTGTGAAGTAAAGTGATGACTTATATATCATGAACATAAACTTCCTGGAGTCTTAGAGAAATATTCAGTCATGACTTTTCAGTTAGTGAAGTGACTTTTCTAAGAATTAAACATGTTTTCAGGACCTGACAACTTCTAAGATATGTTCCATCGTCAAGTATTTCAAACACTAAAACAGTAGTTCCAAAATTGTTTATGTTCAATTATGAGAAAATGTTATCGATTGCTTGGTCGTTTGGTCACTGCGACCGATCTTCGATTATTTCAATTAATCGGAACACCACTACTGGTTTCAGATCCTCGACTGGGAGTACTACATCGAGAGGCTGGGTGGCACCATCATGAAGATCGTCACAATCCCAGCAGCCCTTCAGCAGGTGAGTCATCTTCCTGCAGTGTCATGTCATCATGACCTAGTGGATAGAGTGACTGCCAGACTACGGAAGGTTTGGGTTTGAATCCTATGTCATACCAAAAGATTGTGAAAACAAATGATACTTGTTATCCTGTCTGGTACGGAAGGTTGGGGATCCAGGGTTTTACACGATGCACAAATGTGCGTCCAGTACTCGCAAATGTAGAGAATGGATGGAGAAAAACAATTCACTGCACCCAGAGGAACACACAGTATTATTCACTGTACCCACAACAAATCTATGTCTTTGCTGAGTATTTGGTTCTTTCGTTCCAAGCAGCTATGTGCATCATGTCATCCATCAGTCTGCATGATCAATGATCCATTCCAGTATATAAAAGAATGATTAAAACACTGTTAATGTCCAGGACACTCATATTGTCTCTAGGGACCCTTAAAACGAATGACCCGTGAAGATCCAGGTTAAAATAGGTCTTCAGCAACCCAGGCTTGCCACAAAAGGCGACTATGCTTGTCGTAAGAGGCAACTAACGGGATCGGGTGGTCAGGGTCACTGACTTGGTTGACACATGTCATCGGTTCCCAGTTGCGCAGATCGATGGTCATGCTGTTGATCACTGGATTGTCTGGTCCAGACTCAATTATTTACAGATCGCCGCCATATAGCTGGAATATTGCTGAGTGCGGCGTAAAACTCAACTCACTCACTCACTTAAAACGAATAATGTTTGTGAGTCGAGACAAAAGTCTGGGGTCGATTCCTATCTGTGTCATACCCAAAAATTAAAAAAATTATAGTTGTGACCCTCAGTGATGTTAAAGCAGCACCACCATGCTACCGATTCCATTGTCAGCTAATACTGAAACACTGTTCAGGCAGACGGTGGACTATTATTCATTAAAATATAATGAAATTAAATTAATTGGTTAGCAATAAAAATATACCAGACAAACTTGCAATTTGATTATTATTTTTTATACAACTGAAAAATATACAAATAAAAACACCCCCCTCTCTTCCCAACAATCAGTTTTGAAAACTATTTTTGAATTGCCTCTATATATTTAAATGTTTCTGATTATATGTAGGTGCCAAATCCTGTGCCTCGTATTCCTCATCCAGTCTGGCTACACAAGAAACTTCTCGAAAGGAATGATGTCTTCAAACAGAAGAAAATCAGTGAGATCTTTGCACCAATGGCAAAAAAGACAACCCAGGTTTGTTAACTTCCTGTAGGAAAAAGTCTTATGAAGGTCAGATGATTGGCCATACGAGATCAAGTTGTTTAAGCCTAATTTCTGTTCTTTTTGAGATTGAATTAGAGATAGGTATTTCATATGATATGAAAAGTTCAGATGTTGTGTTTGACGTGTGAGAAGTGTCGAGGTAACAGAGATGAGTGAAGAGCCCACTGAAAGCAACTTGACACAAACAAATTACTGCATGCCTGGTCTCATGAGGATCTGGTTCAGAATTGGTCTTCAGTAACCCATGCTTGTCGTAAAAGCATGATCAAGGTTGACACATGTTATCGTTTAATAATTGCATAGATTGATGCTTGTGATATCAATCACTGAATTGTCTGGTCTAGACTGGGTTCCTTCCAGACTGCAGTTCATTTATCATTAATATTGGTGAGTGGGTTGTTAAACCTCAAACAGAGAACATTGCCACGTCTGCTTCTAGATGGGGATGGAAGAGGACTCGGAGGACATGGTATCGTCGTCCCAGAATGGCATAGGGGACATAGAGGACATCGGAGGACGTACACCCAGGTCAGGGATGGCTGTGTCCCACAAGAGGAAGCGGGGCAACTCTGACACAGACACGCCAAACACGCAGCTGGACTCGCAGACGTCTGATCTGTCCCAGAGCTGGAGGGATGTACTTGGTGCTCCCCCTCCCATGGGTAATACAAGGGTGAGTTTGTCAGGGTTACCTACCCTTCCATTGGCAGTGTGAAGGTGAGTTTGTCAGTGTTACCTCCCCTTCCATTGGCTGTTCAAAGGTGAGTTTGTCGGGGCTACCTCCCCTCCCATGGGCAGTATAAAGGTGAGGTTGTCAGGGTCACCTCCCCTTCCATGGTAAGTGTGAAGGTGAGTTTGTAAGGGTTACCTCCCCTTCCATTGGCAGTTCAAAGGTGAGTTTTTCTGGGTTACCTCCCCTCCCATGGGCAGTTCAAAGGTGAGTTTGTCAGGGTTACCTCCCCTTCCATTGGCAGTGTGAAGGTGAGTTTGTCAGGGTTATCTCCCCTTCCAAGGGCAATACAAAGGTGAGTTTGTCAGGGTTATCTCCCCTTCCAAGGGCAATACAAAGGTGAGTTTGTCAGGGTTATCTCCCCTTCCAAGGGCAATACAAAGGTGAGTTTGTCAGGGTTATCTCTCCTCCCATCGGCAGTACAAAGGTGAGTGTTGGGGTTACCTCCTCTTCCACTAGCATAAGAGAACTCAAGATTCTTTTCAGCGCATGACAACTTTGTTACCTTAGTATCATTGCTACCCCACTGCTAAGACAAGAGTACAGAAATTCGACCTTTGAACTCTAGATTTAGTGACATGTATATTTCTATATATCCCTTTGGTAATGCCGTAATAGCGACTTAATTAAGAAAAGGTTCCCAAATGACTTCACCTTTTGTTGATTTAATCAGTTTTGTTCGATGTTGAAAACTTACAGAAAAGCGTGCAACTTCCCTTTTGCCATTCCAAAAACATGAAAGTTGAAAGTCAAATTGAAACATCCCATACAGCATACAGAGGTTGGTTTATCTGGAGCTAACACCCTTCTACACAGCATATAGTAAGTAGTTTGTCAGGAGTTAACTCCCTTCCATAGGGCTCACACAGCCTGGTTTATGTAAAGTGACTTAGTACATCGTTTCCCTTCTGTGTTATACAGGAGGAGAGGAATGTATGGCTGGAGTACCACAAGAAGAAGTGGCAGATGCAGGCTAAGGAGAAGCAGGAGAGGAAGAGGCGGAGACTGGACTTCGACACCCCAGTCACTGCTGCCCTGCCAGCTCGGGGTCTGGGTGGATTCCTGCGACGGACGGCTCGTAGTATGATGGACATGCCGTGGCAGATTGTCCAGGTCAGAGACGCACCATGTGTCCACTTCCGTACTGTAATGCAAGAGACGTCATCATTTTGTTTAGTTGTTGTCTCCTATTGTTTTAGAACAACCTCTTTGTAAAACATTAAGTCATGTTGCTCGATGAATGTCTTTACAAGGTACTGTATTTCCTCTAATAAGCCCCCGGGAGCTAAATGGCATTGTGTATTCATAGGATCTTCTTGTTCTGAAGAAATTGTTTCAAAATGTTTTGGCCATGAAAGAGTACATGTCAGATATCTTGGTAGATTTTGGAGCTAAGGGCAAACATTTTGTGACAGCATGTAAAAAACAACATTAACTTGTCCAGACACATTTGTAGAGATACATTGATGTTGTTCGTCCACAGTTAATGGAGACCAGCCTACCTGGCCAGTATAGACTGTGGGCCGTCATCGGCAACGACCTCCACTCCATCAAACTAAACATCCCACGCATCTTCTTTGTGAACCAGAAGAATCCCAAGGATGGGGAGGGACCCAGTAAGTGTGCATAATGTATCACGCTTTTGGTTGTTTTCCTTGTAGAGGTTGTTGCAGGAACTGTTGGCGCGGGAATTCCAGCTTAGAAATGATCGCTATGAATCTATAGTGATTTTGGCATTTTGTTGAAATTACTGGACAACATTGAACATTCAGGGCTCCAGATAATTTTTCAACATCAGGAGTACGTACTCCTTACTTTTTCAATACAGGAGTACTGGAAAACCTTAAGAGTACATTTAGAGTACTGAATGGAATTTAATAGAGTATCAGTAATCTTGTGTTTAGTTTCATATATGCACCACAACATTGCTACGCTTAAGTAAAAAGGTAAAAAAACAATAATGTTTCAGAAAAATACGTCTGTAAATGATTCAAAGACCGTACACCATTGCCGTGGTGCGTATCTTCTACGTTTTCGAAATTATTTCCTACCGTATCATGCATATTTTTTATCCGTACATACATACGCCGATATGGCCCTTATCTGGAGCCCTGAACATTGCTCATGTCAATCACTAGATTGTCTGGTCCAGACTGAGTCTGATCCATTTGCCTGGGATATGTACTTAGTGCGGGGCTGAACAGTCAGACAAAACTTGATCGATTATGTTATCTGTTTGTAGTGTTTCGATAAGAATGCTGTTGTTTTCAGTGTGGCGTAAGGTACAGAAGACCCTGCCGCGATCACACCCCGTGTTCCATCTGTACCAGTACTCTGTTCCAGAACACATTTACCAGGAACATACTAAGTAAGTGTTCAATGTCAGCCTATATTCCCCAGCAGAGCTGGACCAGTTGCTCATTGCACAGGCCCTATTGTCTTTGTGAGGATTAAAGATTTGAAAAAATAATAATTTTGAGATGACCCCCTGACTCGAAATGCTTCACAGTAGAATATATCATTACTAGGGCTGGGACGGGTCCAAATTTTCTACCCGGGTACCCCACCCCCTATTACCGGATACCTGTTATATTAATTCCTGACATCAAATTTGTAAGAAATGGCAATATATTCTTCAGCTGTGAGGCTACAACAACCACATCTATTCCAGGATTGACAGGAAGACCTTGTTTTATTTTTGCATTTGTTGTCAGACTTTTCATTTTCTAAATTGAACATAAAACTGTTGTTCAGAATGAACTGATCTAATCTATCATTTGGGATAACTTCAGTCAGTAGATCCCAAAATCCAACAGTGAGTGAGTTTTCAATATCTTAACCATGTATTATATTCAAAACAGGTGACTGCACAATTATGTCTAAATCTTAAAAGACAATAAAACCTTTTATCATCAAGAATAACATGTTACACTGTTTAATCTATTAGTCACATGATCACAACGGGTCTGGGTATTGAGACGGGTACACCGGGTCCAACTCATTACCCACCCGTGCCGGTTACCCGTCCCAGCCCTAATCATGACAAGGCCAGACACTTCGGTGTACCCCACCCGCATGTTTTGCCGAACGCTAAGCTACCACCACATGTAATCAATTAAAAGTTAATGTAAATATAACCTTGGATGTTTGGCCTATCGATCACCACTCATGTCACCTCCCAATTCTTTATTGTTATTTCGGCAAGTCGATTAAAACCCGATTTTGACAATTATAGGTAATGATATTCGAAATTCCCACGAATTTATAAAGAATGTGCAGATTTACAAAAGTTGACCAATCAGAGGTCTTGTTTTGGCCACATACCCGTTTTGTGTGGACCTATCGTTTCTGTGTTTATTGTTGTACACCCAATAATATCCTTGATATCCTTGCTCCAGTGATATGAACGCTGACCTGTCGTCCCCCGACATTGAAGGTGTGTACGAGACACAGGTTCCCCTTCTCTTCCGTGCCCTGGTCCGACTCGGCTGTGTTGTGACTGTCAACAGAGACTTCTCCAAGGTCATGGCTGGCAGGGTGAGTGAAACAGGAGCTACTTGAGAATGAGAGGGTGGGTGGGCTCGTTGAGCTAGAGTATTGGCATAAAGGACCATCCATTTCATGTCCTTGTTGTAACTCAGGCATTTTGGCGAATTTAGTTACAGGGTGTGCACAAGGCTTGAAAAGGCCTTGAATGTTGGAGATTATGTTGAAAATGGCCTTGGAAGTTGGATTTTGTGTTGACATAGTCATGAATGTTGGAGATTGGTTTGAAAATGGTTTTGAATATTGAAGTTTGTGTTGAAAATGCTGTGGATGTTGGATTTGGTGTTGAAATGGCCTTGAATGTTGGATTTGGTGTTGAAATGGCCTTGAATATTGGAGTTAACATGTTGAAAATGCATTGAATGTTGGATTTTGTGTTGAAATGGACTTGAATATTGGAGTTTGTGTTGAAATGGCCTTGAATGTTGGAGATTGTTGTGAAATTGCCTTGAATGTAAGAGTTTGTCTTGAAATGGTCTTGAATATTTGAGATTGAGTAAACATTGCCTTGAATGTTGGAGTTTGTCTTGAAATTGCCTTGAATGTTGGAAATGGTCTTGAAAAGATTGGCCATGGCCTTGAATGTTGGAGAAATGGCCTTGAATGTTGAATTATGTTGAAAATGGCCTTGAATGTTGGAGTTTGCCTTGAATGTTGGAGATTGTTTTGAAATTGCCTTGAATATTTGAGATTGAGTAAACATGGCCTTGAATGTTGGAGTTTGTCTTGAAATTGCCTTGAATGTTGGAGTATGTCTTGAAATGGTCTTGAATGCCCATCTAAGCCACCAAATGTGTATGACCATGTGTGTGTGATGCTGTTTGGTACCTTTAAAGATATGTATTCTATCAACAGGAAACTGACACATTTGACCTGGACAACTTGGAGTTCCGGACATTGGCCCAGTTCTCCTACCTGGATCCAGGCACCATCAAACACCTGTACATCTACCACCATGTGTGGTGAGTGAACAGCTCACCTGAGTCATCAGGAATCATTTTGATGGATAGACAGCTTCTTTATTGCAATGACCGCCTCCATGGTGAGGTGGTTAGAGCGTCCGCCTGGACGTCATACCAAAAGACATTAAAATGTGGTACTTGTTGGTCCCTGCCTGGCGCTCGGCATTAATGGGTACAAGGACTGGTCGATTCGGAGTCAGTATAATGTGTCTGAGTGGGGTATCCATGCTTAACTGTGGCATGGTATCTCAGTGAGCTAGCACTATAAAACCAGCTTCAGTCTGGGCTAGTACAAGCAGCCGCACATACACATACACACGCATGCACGTCGTCATATGAGCGAAATATTCTCAAGTACGACGTTAAACCCCATTTCACCTCACCTCTTTATTGCAGTGGACTTTTCGGTGTAGATGGTAACACTGTTATCAAGCAACTGAACTACATGAATCAAATCAAAGTAGTTTGCAGATGCTCAGCTGAGAGATACTTGTCAAGACTGAGTGAGAAAATATGTGCCTTATTATTTTTCCCATAGTTATGTCAGTTGCTGTTTTACTTTGTGCTGCTCAGAAGCTACTGAAGCTCTGGGAATGAAGTTGCCATTCTTCTATAAAAGATACTTGTCAGGAACTAGCTCATGTATGCCATCGCTTTCGGATTACCCAAGGGGTTACACACTTCTTCTCCATAATGTCAGGGGTGGAAATAACTTTAAAATTGCTAGTGTACTCCGAAAAGTGGCCCATGTAAAATCACTTGCCTTGATAAAATTTCCACTATGCCGGCCGTTTTTTGTTGATTTTTTAAATAAACAACATAATTAACATTGGAATATCAACTGGACACCGGTACAGTGTGATATACAAATTTGCTTGCCCGACAGAAAAAAACACTGGACTCGGGCGTCGGGCAATGGGTTATTTCCACCCCTGAATGTATATTCCCAACTATATGAACAAACCCATTTTTAATGTACCCTGTTCCGGGGGATAGTAATAATTCTGTTGTCTTGTGTATTTGCAATGGGTTATGTATAAAATATAGACTTATGGGCAAGGTGTCAGTATACAAATTGTGAGTGGTTTCTGTAGATCTGTGGCGTGGTATTACAGTGGGTCAGCCATATGAAACTGACACATGTCTTTTGTTGGTTGTTGCGGTCCGGAAATAACTGGGTTGACATCAACAGCATGAACATCGTTCTACGCAATTGGGATACGATGACGTGTGTCACCCAAATCAGCAAGCCCGACCACCTGATCCCGTTAGTCAGATCTTACGACAAGCATGGGCTGCTGAAAACCAGTTCTATCCCGGATCTTCACATGCTCAAGCAACATACACATACACTTTTATGCTTGTCATTATATCTGTTCAGTAATCTTGATTGCCACATTAACCACCATTTCACCTAACCCTGCTGACTTTGTCTTGTTGACAGTGGGAACAAGATGATGTTTGGCTTGTTCTTACCGGGGTCGAAGAAGGGGACGATCTTCGTGGTGGACACGGTGCGTAGTGACCAGATGCCAAACGTAGGAGCGCTCTACAACGCTGAGAGAAACACCAAGTGAGCCCATACCTTTATCAACCATGCACTGCAATTTCTTATGATCAGGCACAGGTGACCTGTCATGTAAAGCATCAAATTTTGCTCTACAGCGTTGCATCCCTTGGACTCAACAGGAACCTGTGGTCTTTGATTCAAATCCTGGATCGTCTCCTTTGTTTCTCGGCACCATACCTCAGGATTCTCAGCTCCATGCTTTACTCTACCCCTCTCCAGTCCCCCCTCACATTTCCCCTTCTCCATGCCCCTTCCCTAGTCATGCTGAAACACCCTGATATGACGGGAATATTCAGTGTTAAACCCAACTCCCTCACTCAGCCATAAAACCCATTCAATAAGAATTAAATCACTCAGACAAATTACCACCCACTCTCTCATTCATCCCACTCCTTTTTTCACTCACTCATAAACACACTCATACGTACTCTTTCACTTGGTCACTCATAAGCCCCCCCTCTCTCTCTCTCTCTCTCTCTCTCTCTCTCTCTCACACACACACACACCCTCTCTCTCTTCTCTCTAATCTAACACTTGTTTAAACAGAATTAGTCTCTCTCTCTCTCTCTCTCATTAACTCACTCAACCGTTATCTCATCTCCCTACCCAACTCGGCCACTCATCCCGTTTCAGAGTGACAAAAGGTGCTGATGAGACAGCACTACCTGAAGCTGGCTACACATTCGAGGTGAAGCTGGAGAAAGATGTCCGCCAGGCCCACAGAGCCATCCAGAGGATGTTGTCCGCATACAAGGATGAGAAAAGGGGGCCAACATTCATCGCCGTCCAGTCTCCTCAAGGTTAGTCAATCACTGAGATGGGGATAAGTTATTTTGGGGTGTTACAGACCTTACCTCCCCCATCCTAATTCACACCCAAACCCACGAAGATCCTCCCCCATCCTAATTCACACCCAAACCCACCAAGATCCTCCCCCATCCTAATTCACACCCAAACCCACGAAGATCCTCCCCCATCCTAATTCACACCCAAACCCACCAAGATCCTCCCCCATCCTAATTCACACCCAAACCCACCAAGATCCTCCCCATCCTAATTCACACCCAAACCCACCAAGATCCTCCCCATCCTAATTCACACCCAAACCCACTTAAGATCCCCCATCCTAATTCACACCCAAACCCACTTAAGATCCTCCCCATCCTAATTCACACCCAAACCCACTTAAGATCCTCCCCATCCTAATTCACACCCAAACCCACCAAGATTCTCCCCATCCTAATTCACACCCAAACCCATGAAGATCCTCCCTCCCCATCCTAATTCACACCCAAACCCACCAAGATCCTCCCCCATCCTAATTCACACCCAAACCCACCAAGATCCTCCCCCCATCCTAATTCACACCCAAACCCACCAAGATCCTCCCCCATCCTAATTCACACCCAAACCCACCAAGATCCTCCCCCATCCTAATTCACACCCAAACCCACCAAGATCCTCCCCCATCCTAATTCACACCCAAACCCACCAAGATCCTCCCCCATCCTAATTCACACCCAAACCCACGAAGATCCCCCATCCTAATTCACACCCCAAACCCAAAGATCCTCCCCCATCCTAATTCACACCCAAACCCACCAAGATCCTCCCCCATCCTAATTCACACCCAAACCCACCAAGATCCTCCCCCATCCTAATTCACACCATAACCCACTTAAGATCCCCCATCCTAATTCACACCCAAACCCACGAAGATCCTCCCCCCATCCTAATTCACACCCAAACCCACTTTAAGATCCTCCCCCATCCTAATTCACACCCAAACCCACGAAGATCCCCCCATCCTAATTCACACCCAAACCCACTGAAGATTCTCCCCCATCCTAATTCACACCCAAACCCATGAAGATCCTCCCCCATCCTAATTCACACCCAAACCCATGAAGATCCAGGCTGGAAATGAAATTCAATTACCCATGCCTGTCCTAAGAGGCAACTGATGGGATCAAGTGGTCAGTCTGGTAGACTTTGTTGATGTCATTGTATCCAAACTGCACAGATCAATGCTCATGTTGTCAATTTCTCTATTATCTGGTCAAGACTCAATTATTTACAGACACCCTTTTATGGCAAGCTTGCTGGCAGATCAACTCCGACCCAGATCTTCATGGGGCGAATCCAAATGTGTACCAATGCGTCATCACATGCTGACCTATTTCAGCTACAGAACAAGTTCCTGATAAGCTTGAATGACATACAGTGTACTCTGTCAATACCGGCATCACAGGCCGGTTGCAAGTTCGCTTATGACGCTGGCGCACACGGGAAATCAAGAAACTGATTAACACTCCCGTATCTGAATAATCTCGGGAGTAACCTCGAATTGTGTTGTTACAGCATTTGGACCTAATTGCATCAAAGGGTTGCACCGTCCTTCATGTGCTGTTTTTTACCGATTCGTTTTCATAACAACTTGTTCGTTGGGACTGAAAAACAATGCCGATATCCTTAGTAGACAGATGCCGATGTTTATAGATGTTTCTAAATGATAATTAAGTGCATTTCTGCCGGGACTGAAACTTTGTGCTGATGTAGACAGAGTGCCGGTGTTTACAGAGGCCGATATTGCCCGAGTGCATTGTACATAGAGACAGCAACCAGGTTAAAGCGTTTGTTTGTCACGCTGAAGACCCGGGTTCGTTTCCCACATGGGTGCAATGTGTGAAGCCTATTTCTGGTGCCCCGCCTAATATTGCTGAAATACTTCTAAAAGCAGCGTAAAACTCACTCACTCACTCACTCACTCACTCACTCACTCACTCACTCACTCACTCACTCACTCACTCACTCACTCACTCACTCACACTAAATAGAGCTCAAAGAAATTCTTCATATTTGGTTCAGTCAATAATGTGAAAAATCAAGGAACTTTTCTTTTCCTTCAGATTTTGCCCATTCATAAATAAAAGGCAAAATAATTCTTCTTATTTGCTTTGATTGATCATCTGATGAATCCATGATCTGTTGTTTTTCCTCCAGACTTCTCCCACCTGACCTCCGTGATGCCAGGCTTGTGTGACTTCCCCTTGGTGCCGATCCACATCACAGACAGGTCGGTCTCATGACTTCCTCCTTATTGAGGGGTGGTGGGGTAGCCTGGTGGTTTAAGTGTTTGCTCATCACACCAAAGACATGGATTTGATTCCCACATGGGGACAAAGCGTGATGCCCATTTCTGGTGTGCCCCGCCCTGATATTGCAGGAATATTGCTAAAAGCAGCTTAAAATAGTACTCGCTCACTCTTCTATGTTGACACTTACCAACCCTACAGTAATGGGTAGAAACTGAGCAATTTTTTATTCCACTGTAAGCAAACTTACATGTCTTATTAGTTATATAAAGAGATTGATAAGCAAAGTTTGTACTGTTAAACTGCATCTACATTTTTGGAAGAACAAACATACGAAGAAATCTGAAATGACATGTTTGTCTTTTTCCTATCCAGCATCGCGGATGTTTCATGAAACATGTTCTTTGGCCATGTATCTGAATGCAACCTGCATGAATACATCACACATTTTATGGATAACAACTTCTTTTATTCATATATATAACATTGTTTCAGATCAAATTCCTGCTCCTTCATGTCCTTAAAGATAACAATAAAAAGAACTTGTTATCCATAAAACATGTCAGGTATTCATATTGTCCAAATTCTAAATGCCTTTTCAGGGCTCGATTAAAGAGATGTTATACTACTTGCACCAGGTGCGACCTGAGATATAGAAACCTAATTGCACCAGCCAAATTCCAGCTGCACTGCTCTTATTGCAGTATGTAATGAAAGAAATATGATATCAGCGATAGAAATACATTTTGTTTTAAGTGTGCCTTTGGGCACCATGAAAATATTTAAAATGTGCCTTTCAGAAATCAAGTGTGCCCACATGTTTTTAGAATAAACGACTGTAGCAATGATGATGATCTCTTGAAATGTATTGTTAGTACACAACAAATGTAACCAGTTTTCTGTTATCACTGATATGTCTTCTGTCTAAGATGGCTTTCTTGTGTTACATTTGTTCTGCTTCCCCAACACTTTCAAAAGCTAAGAAGTTGTGAAAGGTTCACATGTTAAATATGTCTAACATGCTTAATTTCCTTTTCAATAACCAAACTATCAGTACTCCCAACACTCTAAATGGAAAAAGAACCAGATTTCTTTACATCATTAGTCATAATTCCAGTGATTTCCTGGGTGATAAAGTCAATAAATGTTTTGTTTGTTTGTCATTTGCACAAGTGTTTTGTTTGGGGGATTAAATGACTAAAGGTCAGTTATGTCTAAAAAATCAGGCGTGCATAAGGGCACCGGGAACATATTTACCCGTGCCATTGCAATATTTATCGTGCCATGGCACGCTTATATATGGGGTATTTCGAACCCGGGATATTGAATTATTCAACGTTTAGAAGAAAAATGAACTAACATAGTTATGCTTATAGTGTTAAATTCATTGTGGATTTATTTCTCAAAAGTTGACTTGCACCTGGTGCAAGTTAGACAAATAACTAGGTTGCACTTTGTAATATTAGGTTGCACCAGTGCAAGTAACAAAGCACTAATCGAGCCCTGCTTTTGAACTTGTTTCTCCTGTGAGAACCTGTACAATGTCTTGTTTCTCCAGTGAGAACCTGTACAATGTCTTGGACTGGCAGAGAGTTGGAAGTCGTCGGATGCTGCAGCACTACATGAATTGTGAGATCATCCTCCAGGTACAGATAGAGCTTGTCTGGTGTCTATGGTATTTCAGATATGTGATGGTGGCAGTGTTCGCGTTAACCCCAAACATGCTTGTTTCGCGCAAAAATATTTACGTTTCACGCACAATATTTTCTACCTGCGTGTTCTGCACGCATAGCATTTTGTGTTCTGGGTAGTTACATTTCTAAATACCATCCTTGATTCTCATGATACTGAAATGTAACATCGTCCGATTTGACATTGTGATGTTACCGAAACTTGGAATTCTCCATGTAATACACAGCAACCTCGCCAGATGGCGTGCAAAACTCTGAACTGTGAATGACTGTATATGACCACACTTCCTCAAATTCTTTATGAAGCTGTAAAACTCGTTGAATGTGTGAAAGTTAAGTTGATCCTACTTTAAAATAATGACGTTGACTTGTGGACATGTGAACCAATGGTTCGTGACAGGTAACTGAAAAACATATTTTCCCCAAGGAAACAACAAAATATGATAAAAATTTCTCTCAGCTAATTTGCCTTGCGAATGATGATAAAATACTCTGAAATGCAAGTAAAATTTCAAAATTTTACGGGGGGCTATGTCCCAGAAACATGTGAGACCTCACGTTGTACCTCGGGCATGCACCTGGGATGCATGCACATGAAAGATTCCAAAGGTTATGCGTTTTAGGAACGCAAAGCTTTTTTTCTTACACTGGGTGGTCTGCAGAATGTTCTGTCTGGACCAGACAATCCACTGCTTGACTCAATCAATTAGAACACCACCAGTATACATGCCCTTGCAATCTACACAGAGTTCGTGTAATCTTCCTGAACTCTGGTTAACTTGCAGCATTTTTTAACATTCCTGTTTACAGACTGTTGTCACGCAGCAGGAATATTAATGACTCTTGAGTTAAACAACAAACCAAACTAACCTAATGTATTGAAATGTATTTCCTGAACTGAACACAAATCCTTGATCACATAAGAATCATTTTCAGGCAACAGAGCATGTAAAATGGATGGCTGTCATAGTGAACAAGATCGATCTAACCATGCAGCCACTCAGTTATCCACCCAATCACCCATACGATCATCCACCCAATCACCTACCCAATCATCCACCCAATCACCCACCCAATCACCTACCCAATCACTACCCAATCATCCACCCAATCACCCACCCAATCATCCACCCAATCACCTACCCAATCATCCAACCAATCACCCACCCAATCATCCACCCAATCACCCACCCAATCACCTACCCAATCATCCACCCAATCACCCACCCAATCAGCTTCTCAGGCATGCAACTACTCCCTTGCTAGCCCACTCACCAAGATTCTCATTGCCTGTAACCACCACCCAATCATCCACCCAATCAGCTATTACATGCAATCAAACACTCACATGGAATCACCCACCCAATCACACACCTATCAAACACCTACCCACACTTTCAGAGACTTAAATGGTGATGCATCTCATAGCTTGTAAATACAGATCTAGGAAATGAGGATGTTCATATTCTTAACAGTGGAACATGATCAATTTGTAAGACCCCAGTATTGTTCACACAGGCAATGATGGAACAGTGCCGCTACCTCCATATCCCTATAGGAAACATGCCAAGGGACATAACTCTGTTTGGCTGTGATCTGTTCTTCGCCCGGCATCTCCACAAACACAATCATCTGCTGTGGTGCTCGCCGACCGAGAGGCCCGACCTTGGCGGCAAGGAAGCAGACGACAACAGGTGAACACAGAGAATCACTATTGATTTCCTTTTGAGGTCAAATATATCATCGCGATTTAAAAGAAATATTAGAATTTTGTTGCTTGAATGTTGATTTATTTGATGTTAATGGACTCAAGGATGAGATTTTATTTTTATTTTCAACTTCATTTTGAAACCAATGAGCAGTGTATAATGTGTAAAATGCTCAGTGTATTGTATTTTCTTTAGAACAATTTAAATTTTCATAGACACAGCTGTATCTATGTGGGTACATGCTATAATATTTTCTTCCACAATACACAGACATTTCCTGTTAACTTGAAACGGCAATATCATTTTATATCTGAAATGAAATTCGAAGTTTATCATGTAATACACTATCTGGTTATAGAAAGTGTTCATTTACGTTCACGAACCACATATAATCTAAATGACTGCTGCATTAGAGTAACCTCCCTTTAATTTATTTGTGTAGACTCTGTATGGAGCTTGAGGAGAGCTCTTCTGTGGAAGTTAACAACATCGGTTGCTACCCCACGGTGTGTGTGGAGCTTGACATAGCCAGTCTTGCCGTCAACACTATCATTGAGGTGAGCTTACAAAATTCAGTGCTATTTATGTTCTTAAAGAACTTAACCTGATGATACATTCTGCAACCCATGAAGATCTGATTGGTCTTCAGTAACCCATGTTTGTTGAAAAAGGCGACTAATGGGTATCGGGTGTTCAGACTCACTGACTTGGTTGACACACGTCATCGTATCCCAATTGTGCAGATTGATGCTCATGCTGTTGATCACTGGATTGTCTTGTCCAGACTTGATTATTTACAGACTGCCGCCATATAGCTGATTGCGCATGCTCAACGGGAGGTAACTCCGTGAGGTAGGGGTCGTATAATAAATAAAAGAGTTTATTTATTGTTCAATTTTTTTATTCAAAAAACATTGATACAACTGTCACAGGACATTTTTCAGCCGGAAAATGCATAATATATACCCCAAGGACGATCTCTATGAAGAAGAATAAGGATGATACAAGCATCTTAATGAGTTTTGTTGTTGACAGAAGTGCATTGATAATCATGTAACCACTAAGCAAAGCCATCTAAATATTTGAGTCAAAATGTCAAATGAGAGATAGATTATGCATGATCAAATGAATCAGAAACTAGCAGACACCACCTATGAAAGAATTAGTTACATTTACATCAACATTATTTATACTGAAACAGGCCCGTGAAGGTCTAGGTTAGAATGTTGGCCTTCAGTAATCAATGCTTGTCGTAAGAGGCGACTAATGGGATCGGGTGGTCAGGCTCGCTGACTTGGTTGACACAGGTCATCGGTTCCCAATCACACAGATCGATGCTCATGCTGTTGATTACTGGATTGTCTGGTCCAGACTTGATTATTTACAGACTGCCGCCATATAGGTGGAATATTGCTGAGTGTGGCGTTAAACAACAAACAAACACAATATTCAGTGTTCTTTACGTTCTTAGAGCTATGAACCTGATAATGCAATAAGAATAGTGGGTTGGTTGTAGAAAAAATTAAATGATAGGACAACAATTATAACAATGAAAAACTTCAGGATTATTGAATCAAGATAAACATGACAGAATGATGACTTGAATGATAGGCCAGTAACTCAATGAGAGGTCCTTATCTTTGAGAATTTCTTCACAATGAGAGGCCCTTGTCTGTGAGAGATTCTTAACAATGAGAGGTCATTGTCAGTGAGAGATTTTTCATAACATTGAAAGATTCCTATCAAGGAGATATTCCTAATGTTGAGAGATTCTTAACTTTGAAAGATCCTTATCATTGAAATAGCCTTCACAGAGAGATTCTTAAAAATGAGTGATTCTTGGCAATGAGCAATCATTAACCCTTATCCCACCAAGCTTTCTTCCTATCCATTACGACCAAGTGGGCCTGTGAGGCCCGGTCACCCCCTTTTGATTTATATCAAAGGACCTGACAGGATATTACGTTCTTCTTCACTATTAGAACAGTCACTGCTGTCTCTAACACTTTCTTCAAAGGGAGGTTCGAACTCAGAATCTGATCCACTGTCAGAAGGTTCTGCATGAGCACCACTACCATCATCTGCAGCTGCAGGTTGGAGCAAAACGTCGCAAAATTTGGTTCTCAAACTTCCTTAAGTGGTATTTAGAAGCTGGTATGATGAAGAGGAACACTTTTTGTGGATAGACAGCTTCTCTATTGCAGTGGATGCGATGTTTCGGTGTAGATCCTAACACCATTATCAAGCAAATGATACACAACATATGTACAAGGAGAAATATATACATGGCGGGTATTTGAGTTTAGAAGAGGTTGAAGAGTTACAATAGAAGAGGTTGATGTACAGTGTATTGACATGAGGCTTGTTGTGATACAGAAATGATTGAAGCCAGATAGACAAAGGGTGGGTTATTTTTTATTAACCTTGATTAGTTGATCGTAAGCTGTAGGGATGTAATAACGTTGATCTCTGTTGATTTCGGGTTGAGTCGTTTGATGTTGATCGCCTCTTAGAGTTTTCTAATCCCATGGCCTACCTATGGGATCACATCTCTCCCCCATCATCAGCGAGATCTACATGACAGAACTCGAAGACAAGGCCCTCCTCACCTCACCCGTCAACACAACTGTTGATATGAGTTCAGTAACAACATTTCCTGTTTCCAGTCTGCCCATGTCAACGACCAGGAAGGAGCAAGTGCGGTCAGTTTCGACACAATGCCGCAGACTTCTCTGGAGGACATGATGCAGGGCCAGGGTGCAGCCACCATGCTGGCTAGCTATGACGAGACAGCTCTGTGCTCCTCAACGTTCAGGTAAACACACATACTCAATTCTTTCTAGGTACAATGCGACAATGCCTTGTGATTCCCTTTGTTTTCACAGTAAATGCTGTTCAGGTATAACAATGATGAGAATATTTATAACATGCCTTTTCCAGGATAGATATCCTGTTCAAAGTGCACAATCTGATCATTATTACCCTGGATAATCCAAGCTGCCTGTTAGACACTAGAAGGTTAATAGTTTCACGACTTATTTCACCTGGTACCCATTTTCTGCTGGGTGAACAGAGGCAAGTTTGAACAAACTCACTTGCCTAAGGTGAGACCACAAACCTCCATGATACAAACTAAGGCGAGACCACACACCTCCATGATACAAACTAAGGTGAGACCACACACCTCCATGATACAAACTAAGGCGAGACCACACACCTCCATGATACACACTAAGGCGAGACCACACACCTCCATGATACACACTAAGGGGTTTGTTGACTGTTGTAGGATTCTTAAGAGCATGGTCCACAGCTGGGTGAGGGAAGTGACAGCTTATGGCAACGTGTTTGCAGACAACCAGATCATTCACTTCTACAGGTGAGTGGTTAAATAATGCGTACTTGCTGTTAGAGCCTTGAAGATCTCAATCTCACTATGGAACTGATAATTTTTGGCTGTAAGAAAAATATTTTTACTGACTGTTTTTGACTTGTTCATATTATTGGGAAAATATTATTGGTACAAATGCAAGCTCAATTCTGTTTTACCAAATATTGCTCAGTTCAGAAGTGAGTTGAGTTTGAGATATAGTATTGAAAAATGTATTTTCTTTAACAAAATCTGTAAAGTCGAATTTTATTGGAAATGGCTCTTATATAATGGCTTATTCAAAGACGACTGAATTAATTATGTTATTAATATGTTTGACAGTTAAAAATAATCTTGTACTTGTGTGAATGGTGAGTGAATGGATTGTCTTTTCTCGTAAAAAATTCCACCTGTATCCCATTAAATTACTGTATATCTTCGGAGATGTCCCCTGCCTGCTTAGTTTTGACTGTAACAGGGATTCAGAAATAGAATTTAAATTACAAAAAAAGGTCAGGGTTTGCATGTGTCCTCAGCAATCCATGTTTGTTGATGAAAGGCAACTTCCAAGATCAGATGGTAAGGCTGACAGATTTGATGTATGTCATGGGGTACCACTTGCATAAATCGATGCTCTCAATATCGATCACTTGATTGGTCATCAAGACTGCATTATATACAGGCTTCTGTAAATTGGTTGAATATTGTAAAGTGTGGTTTAAACAACAAAGAAACAGAATAATTTACTTATTAGTAGGGGTGGGTATTGCAGAGAATTTTCATATTGCGATGCGAAAGTATATATTGCGATATGTATTGCAATATATTGCATGAAGTATTTTTAAACAAAAAACTACTTATAATCGAGTTAATGCTTGATTTATAGAGAAAAACACAACAAAATCACTATGCTTGATTAAGCTTTAATACCAACTCTTAATCATGATAAAATAAAAATGGGAATAATATTTGGCACATATGAAACAAGGAAATATCCGAAGATTTCCGAGTGTTACGTGTTTTCCGATTGCAAGTCAAAATACCGGTTTTCTATCAGCGAATAGCAATACGTATCGTTTTCATGTCTGAACCGGTAAATACCGATACGCCTGTTATATTACGCAGCCCTTCTTATTAGTAGTGGTGTTCCGATTAGTTGAAATAATCAAAGATCGGTCGAAGTGACCAAACCACCAAGCAATCGATCACATTTTCTCATAATTGAACACAAACAATTTTGGAACTGCTGTTTTAGTCTTTGAAACACTTGACGATGGAACATATCTTCAAAGTTGTCAGGGCCTGAAAACTTGTTTAATTCTGAGAAAACTCGCTCACTAACTGAAAAGTCATGACTGAATATTTCTTGAAAACTCCAAGAAGTTTATGTTCATGATATATTAGTCATCACTTTAAAGTAACAAGTTGCATCATGTAATACATATCTACTATAATAACCTGGATAGGAAAATCTGAAAAATGACGCTAACCAATTTTTTCGATGATTGTGCGTTCGTAATGAAGCAATCATCAATTGTGAGATTTCAACCAATTCCCAACACTACTTATTAGTGGGATTCATTTTTGTGTTCCATGCTCGCAGTAACTTTAACTGATGACATCCTGACAGTGTGGACTGATGCCCAGAATATCAATCACTGGATTGTGTGGTTCAGATTTAACCATCTACAGGCCTTTGTCGTAAAACTGGATTGTTCTGAGTATGATGTTAAACAATATACAAACATCAGTGTTGTAACGGCAAGTTTCTTAGCGGTTGACAGTTTGATACATGGGAGTTAGCTCCCTTGTGTACGGATGCTTGAAGCAAGCGGAAAATATGAGTGCGAAATACAAATTGACTGGAATCTGGCCTCTCCTGTTGTTCTTCGATCTTGGAAACATTACAAGTGTTTTTAATATGTATCTTCCACGTAGATGGTTACGATCCCCGAACGGTTTGCTGTACGACCCTGCACTGAGACGAACGCTGCACAACATGATGAAGAAAGTCTTCATGCAGGTAATATGTCTGGCTATTTGTGTGGCTCCAATCTTTGCAATATTTCATATTTTGCCATATTACAAAACAATTATACTATCCGGCCAAAAGTATAACAACAAACGTTAGTTATGTGGGAAGTATGTTTAATTAAAGAATAACTAGACTATGCACCAAAGTATAAATCATGAAATTTGTTCATTCATATCTCAGAACTGTCGCATTTAAGAGTGTGTCATGTTATTGTCTTCTGTTCAGCTGATCGCAGAGTTCAAGCGACTGGGGTCACAGATCGTCTACGCCAACTTCAATCGCCTGCTACTATGTACAAAGAAGCGCCGCCTGGTGGATGCTTTGGCGTACGTTGAGTACATCACAAACAGCATCAAGTCTCGCGAGCTCTTCCACCTTGTTGATATCACTTATGAACAGTGTTGGGAATTTCTCATGTGGCTTGATCCGGTAAGGAGGATTACTGATCGTTTTTTTCTGTCTGCCTCTCACAGGGACAGGTAGGATAAGACTGTGCTTGCCTTTACTAAATTACTAAATTTAGTTTCAAGTGACCTTTCATGTTTTCATGGCAGTGTTTGACAATGAAAGGGATTCCTGGTGTTTTTTGGATTTTCTGGGTTCCCTGTATCTTTAACTTGTATTGTGAAAGTAGTCAAAATATGTTTATTTGTATGTAAGGCCACCGGCCCATATACAGCGGTTACAAAGAAGGTTCTCATTTAGGAGGATAACAATTGTTTTCTTAACATAATAGCATGATGGATATACAGTGATAATCTTTTTAAAATGGAGACATTGCATGAGGAAACAATTTTGTAAAATGCTGCATTATTACTTCTGATTGTAATACAGTTACGGAGATAATCAGAATGGATTTTATCATAGGCTGGACATTCAACAAGAAAATGTAATTCGTCTTCAATGCCTTTTTTACAAAATGGACATGATCTATAATTTCTATCAATGGATAGTCTTCTTCCTTCATTTACTTTTAAATCTAATAGCCCCAATCTAAACTTTACAAGTAGCAGTCTCAGATTCTTTGTAGTCACGAGGGATAAATATCTTCCGGGTTCTAAAAGGGACTTAAACTGTCTGTAACAATCAAAACGGGAGCTTTCTTCTAACCTCGAGTGCCATTCTTGTTGAAAAATACATATACAGCGATCTCTAAACTGGTTCAGGAAAACATTGACATTACCTACGCCTTGGAGAAGATCTTATATGTTTTTGGGAATTCGTGGGTTCCCTGTATCTTTAACTTGTATTGTGAAAGTAAGGAGAAGTTTTGTTTACTTTCAAACTGTTTGTGTGAGCTATGATGGGACCAACACCTATCAGGTCTGGCCCGATAAATTCTGATTTGAAGCGATGAGAACTAGCTACTATTCAGCTAGGACTATTTTCGTAGGAATTTTATTTGTCCCCAATTTTCGTGATGAGAAGTAGTTCAGAATTGTAGAGTTTGAAGGCCAGACACGGCACCTTATATTGATATTTTAGCTTCAATATGTCAAAATCGAGATGGCAACCAGTGGCAACATCACCTGGAAAAGACTCTTTATCAATTGTTAAATGTACACTTGTTGAAACTAATTAAAACTAACAAATACTTGTGAAGCATTTTGTCATTGGTTAGGTGTATCTGGCCTCAATGGTTCTAGTCAGTGAGGGCTACTTTCATAGGATTTGTACTTGTCCCTAAGTTTAGTCATGAGAACAAGCACAGAATTATAACCCTTTCATGCTTCTAGCCAGTGAGGACTTCCATCATAGGATTTCCACTTGTCCTCAGCAAATTTAGTAGTCGCAGGGCAGCAGGCTAGCGTGAATTTCAAAGGATGGTTTGTCTTGTAGGCCAATCATGGGGGAGTGCGAGGCAAGCTGCCATCCCTCCCAGGGGGCAACAAGACACAGAAGGCTGGGGGAGAGGAGCGACAGTGATGAGGACGTGGCTGTTGAGGACGACGATGGAGAGGAGCTAAACAAGTCTGACACTGAGGACGAGGTACAGATATGGGAGTATTATAATGGATACATTTACTACTCTGTTACGTTGAACTCGTCTGGCTCTGATTTCTCGAAAAAACTTAAGATTTTACTCAAATTTCAAACTGAGTTTGACAATTTGAAACAGCTGATTTTTTAACTCAACTGCATTTTTATAAATAAAAAAGTCCAAACAACTTAAGTAGCCTATCTACCCAACTCAAACTGTCAACTATGTTTGAGTGTAATATCGATTTCAGTTCATTCTGGGAAATGCATTTTCCTGCTTTTTCTCAAATTTGAGTAAAAACTCTTACTTAAGTCAAAACTCAGACTTAAGTTTGTTTCGAGAAATCGGGGCCAGGTGAATCAAACCATATCCCATCATGAATTTAGTTCATTATTCACGGTTACCAGAAGCAAATATTTATAAATATTGTTCACCTCACAGGGGATATGTTGCAGCACTATTTACTATCATAATGAAATCAGTTCGCGGTTAACTTACATGGGTTCCTTGAACAGGTTGGGCGGTGGGGTAGCCTAGTGGTTAAAGCGTTCGCTCGTCAAGCCGAAGACCCGGGTTCGATTCCCCACATGGGTACAATGTGTGAAGCCCATTTCTGGTGTCCCCCGCCGTTATATTGCTGGAATATTGCTAAACGTGGCGTAAAGCCATACTCACTCACTCACTTGAACAGGTTATTATGTAATTAAAAAAATTAAAGCCTGCCACCAACATTCACCCAACCGTAGATTTGAATGGAATTAATTTATGAACCCTGTTTTGTAAGCCATGTCCTAATATGTCAGACTTGTTGGTGGCATTGCAGGGCTCGATTTAGTGCTTTGTTACTTGCACTGGTGCAACCCAATGTTACAAAATACAACCTAGCTATGAGTCTATCTTGCACAAGGTGCAAGTGAATTGTTGAGAAATAAATCAACAATAAATCTAACATATGCATAAATATGCCAGCCCATTTTTCTTCTAAACTTTGAATAGCTATGGCAATGAAACATTGCTATTCATAAACACGTCTCGGCTATGACAGCTCTTGTACACAGGGATCAGCTGTGTCTCAGTGTTGCTATGGTTTCATGGGTACTACATCACTGATTAAGGTTTATGTGCACCGAAACATTTTAACACACTACGTTGCAACTGGAATTTGTCTGGTGCAACTAGGTCTTTATCTTAGGTTGCACCTGGTGCAAGTAGGTTAACATCTCTTAAATCGAGCCCTGCATTGGTTCTAGTCAGGTCTTTGAATGGCATTTAGAAGTGATACAGATAAGGGCGAGAGTTTTATGGTTTTCAACTTCAAGGATTTACACCGAAACGTTGTTCCTCATAATAAAGAGTGAGTGAGTGAGTTTAGTTGTATGCCGCTTGTAGCAATATTCCAGCAATGTCACGGCATTGGACCAGGGCTCCAGATAAGGGCCGTATCTGCGTATGTATGGATAAATGATATGCACGATATGGTAGGAAACAATTTATGAAACGTAGCAGATGCGCACCACAGCAATGGTGTACGGTCTTAGAATCATTTACAGACGTATTTATCTGAAAAAAGTATTGTTTTATTGTTTATTGACCTGTTTACACAAGAGTAGCGATGTTGTGGTGCATATATGAAACGAAACACAAGACTACTGATACTCCATTAAATTCCATTCAGTACCCTAAATGTACTCTTAAGATTTTCCAGTACTCCCATATTGAACAAATAAGCAGTACATACTCCTGATGTTGAAAAATTATCTGGAGCCCTGTTGGACATTGTACCCATGTGCCTCATAATGAAGAAGTTGACATCCATAAAACTCTCTTCGTTATAGGTTACGATGTTCACACAAAGGCATGAAAAAGAAGGTTGCACAAATAACTGTTTGGAAATTTAGCATCACTGGCTTGTGTGATATAAATACATATCACCTGTGTCATGGTTGTGTTTGTGGGGGCTTCTGACCTTTATAATATCGCATTGAGGTAGTGATTTCTAAAGCTCAACTGATATCAGAGGTCAGTGAAGGCGATAATATTCAGTAGTCAGACAGATTTGAGACACTCTGGACTCACACACGCACTTCGTCTTTTGAAGCACTGTACATGATGATTTATTGGATTTCAGCCAGAAATAGAGATGAACTGGAATATTGTCCACTTCCTCCCTGAAGCTGCAGCATGTCAGACAAATTTCAGCGTGAGTACTACAACCCATCCTCCAGCTTCAGCCCATGTTTGTAGGCTAGATCAACAGAAGACACAGTACCAGAAGCACATCCAGCAGTCTTTGATAACTTGTGCACACTTCCCCAGGATTTTCAACAGATTTGAATCCAATTTTCAAGATGGCCGTCATGGCAGACATATTGAGAAATTTATTGATGTTTGTTATTTTTGCAGTTGTTTTCACCATTTTGCCGTATTTTCATTTCAGAGAAAGGAAAATGCAAGTTATTATATGTAACAAAAACAGTTATTGAAGTCAATGACGCACACGACTTCATGGATAACAACTTCTTGTTTATTGCATAGAGTGACATTTCAGTGTAGGTTCTTACACCGTTGTTAAGCTAAGAACCTACACCAAAACATCACTCTATGCACTGAACAAGCTGTTGTTATCCATAGCGTCATATGCTTTATTATTGACCCACCAACTTCTAGAAAACTGATCAAACAATTAGTTATTGAAGTCTTTCTCAATACAAGCCGTGAAGATCCGGGTTAGAATATTGATCTTCAGTAACCCATGCTTATCGTAAGAGGCGACTAACGAGACCGGGTGGTCAGGCTCGCCGACTTGGTTGACACATGTCATCGGTTCCGAAATTGCGCAGATCGATGCTCATGCTGTTGATCACTGGATTTTCTGGTCCAGACTCGATTATTTACAGACCACCACCATATAGCTGGAATATTGCTGAGTGTGGCGTAAAACTAAACCCTCTTACTCACTTTCTCACTACAAGCATATTTTTAAGATGCAATACATGTCAAGCAGAGGGTCTTCGCTAAACTTCCTATTTGGATGAGACCCACGAAGATCGGGGGAAGAATTGGCCTTCAGCACTCAATGCTTGTCCTAAGAGGCAATTAACAGTTTTGGATGGTCACACCAGCTGACTTATATTTCCATTCTTGTTGTAATTTGGTATTGATTATTATCAATCATTACACATTGTTGAGACATGCTGATTTGACTAATTCATGTTGTCATATCCAAACTGTGTAGATTGATCAGAGCTCCAGATAAGATTTAGCTAATGTGGGTACTGTACCCACTGTATTTTTTTTGAGTGGGTATTATGAATGTTGAGTAGGTATTTCATTTTCCGTTAACCACTGCTTTCAAATATGTACGTATTTCAGTCATTTTACACACCTAAGTATTGTGTCATTGAGTAAGTTTACTAAGCAGGTATGTTCTGCCTTATGTCATACCTAATCAAAACCAACTTAAATAAAAGGGAAATGATTTCATAAAAAATAACTCATCCTATACTGACAGTACAACACTTGTCCTATACTAACAGTACAGCTTGATAGCAATCGATGTCTTTTTCATTACGCGAGCGATTTTTATAAATATATTCCGTACGCATTTGTTTTAAACTCTTTGCGTATCTAACATTTTAAATGTGTAATTGGTACGCAACAATTATTTTTCAATGCGTAATTGGAAATGTTCTATGCGTATTTTACCTGGATACGCAGCTTATCTGGGCCTCTGTTGATCCTCATATTGTCAATGGCTGGTTTGTCCGGTTGAGACACCATTCTTTACAGGACACTGTCAGATGCCTGTATTGTTTCTGAGTGCGGTATTAAACAAACAACCAACTCTGTTACAGATGATAGTGGCTGGCTACATCCTATCCGTGTACAACCAGATCGATGAGGAACAGCGTCGCCTCACGCCGGGAAAACACACCTGTCAGACGACGAGGCAGCAGCCAGACACAGGTATCTTCAGTTGGCCCTCGATATTGTTGTTTTCAGGAACCTTTTCAGGGATCACCCGCGACCTTCCGCTCTCCGGTGGGGGATATTGCTGACCATGTCTTCTTGTTACTATTATTAATAATATATTCATTACCTGACAGAAACACCTGGATCCTTCAGCCATGCCCTCAACTGTGTCGTTTGCTCAGGATCTTGTCCAGGGGGAACTTGCACAGCAGATGTTTGCGTACGTATATGCTCAAGGCAATACTGATTACCATTTAAAGGTTCTGTCCCTTTATATCAATTAAAAGGTACTACAAAATCATGACATTTTCAGTGTTTTTTTTTATGCCTGCATATTGACTCGATAAATGTGAATATGAGGAGACATTGATTTTTAGACTCGGAGAAATTTCAAGAACACCCAATTCTCATAACTTGCATTAAGACAATAAACAGTGTTTTGGTAGAGGTCTGAGATTTTTATTAGATTCATATAGTGTTTTTCATACTACTCAAAAGTGTTTCATGAACACCAAACTCTCATGCCATGCATGATTAGCTAGAATACTGTCGAGCACTGTTGTGTCAAACTCTGATAGCTCGATATCTCGGTTGTCTCGATATAACATCTCGGTCCCGGCAAAATCCTTCACAATTTATCATTATTCAAGCTCTTTTTAACTCGATACAGATGTCTTGATATTTCGGATATTTCGATATGATTTCATCGTCCCAAGAAGCAAAATTACCCTTTTTACTCGATATTTGCAAAGAAACTTGATGTTCACCTACCTTTCATGGGCAAGTATCCATCTGAACTGAGGTTGTTTACACATGGTGCGGCATGAATCAAAGGGATGCAGTAGTGTAAACTAATTAGGGCTAATTGAGTTGAAGGTGTCACTTGTTTGTTATTTAGTTAGGATTAATTAAGAAGGAATTAAGTAGGAAGTACTCACTGTTACGACAAAACACTACTGATAACGGATTATAGGTTTCAAATCAAAACATACTGAGAACCACTTTGTTTTCTTTCATAGTGACATGTAATGATATGCCCTGGTCAGATGTCTCGAAGTTCGGATAACTCGATATTTTTTCTTGGTCCCATGAATATCGAGACAACGGTGCTCGACTGTATTATGATAGACTAACACATTCTTTACAAGGACATCCTACATGTCAAGTATAATGCAATTAGATTATATTTGTCTACAGAATTACCCAAAAGATTCAGAAAAAGCTTGCAGGAAGTAAGAGTAACCAAGGCAACCTAGCTGCCGAGTTCCCCCAGCTGCCTGGCTCCCATCTCCCCCTCAACAACCCTTCCCTGGAATTTGTCAAGGCCGTTTGCAAGGTGAGTTGTGATCTGTTACTCTGAGGATGTCCAACAGAAGGTCACTTACGTTCGTGAACTTTCTGACGAACCAATCAGGTTTAGGATTATATTCCAGTCTTGACTGCCACTATTCTGCCATGCTGAACAGAAACTGATCTGGAAAAACTTGATGAGATATGGCTGCTTCTTGGACAAATATTTGCCCCTGAGGATAAGTCAGTGCAGATCAACTGATTTAGACTAGGTTTTTGTTATCTCCCTTTTTCCTTTCGTTTGGGCAGCATGAAGAAGATTGTTGCCTCCCTTTATTCCAAGTGTTGGCCTTTAACAAGAGCATGATGATCCTGATAACACCTGTAGAAGAGCCATCACATTCATTTTAGTTATCACCCATCTTTTTTGTATTGCCCAGATGTAGAGTTATCTCCCTTGTATTGTCATCCAGATTTAGAGTTCTCTCCCCTTGGTTTATTGTCCAGTAGTAGGGCTGCGCAATATAACCGGTTTACCGGTATGTACCGGTTCAGACATGAAAACGATACGTATTGCGATACGCTGATCGAAAACCGGTATTTTGACTTGCATTCGGAAAACTTCGTAACACTCGGAAATCTTCGGATATTTCCTTTTTTCATTTGTGCCAAATATTATTCACATTTTTATTTTTAATCATGAATAAAAGTTGTTATTAAAGCTTAATCAAGCATAGTGATTTTGCTGTGTATTTGCTCTATAAATCAAGCATTACCTCGACTATAAGTAGTTTTTTTGTGTAAAAATTCTTCACGCAATATATTGCAATACATATCGCAATACATGCTTTCGCATCGCAATATATCGCAATATGAAAATTCTCTGCAATACCCACCCCCTATCCAGTAGTAGTGTTATCTCCTCTTGCTTGTCGTCCAGATTAAGAGTGACCTCCACTTATAGAGTTATCTGCCCTTGTTTGCCATCCAGATTTAGAGTTATCTTCCCCTGTTTGTGTTTCAGGTGTTGGCCCTGGACAGCAATGTGACAATCCAGGTGACGAAGCTGAAGCGGGACCTGCTAAAGCTGATCGGGGTCGGGGAGTTTTCTCCGGCAGCTCAGTTTGCCGACCCGTGTCTCTCATACGTGCTACCAGAGGTGAGTCAGAAAATCATCGTTAGTCCGGTCTGGACCATTTTTTACATTACAGTTTTAGGAGTCTGTAAACTGCATGAGTTGTTTAGGTTTCGATTTGGGGCAGTCTGATGGTTAAAGAGTGCACTCATCACGCCGCAGACCTGGCTTTGATTCCCCTTATGTATGTAATGAGTGAAGCCTATTCTGGTGTCCCCCGCCATCATATTACTGGAATATAAAACTAAACTGACTCACTCAGTTATTTTGAGGCCAAAAAACACTCACACACTTCACTGCTTATTGTCAATGAAGTAATTATTCGTTCTTATTTTTCAGGTGATTTGTAAATCATGCAACCACATCCGTGACCTTGACCTATGTCGTGACCCATACCTCAGTCAAGATGGTTCAGGGTAGGCATTGATATTGAAAGAGAACTAACGCAAACTTTTGTTTTCAGATAAAACACGGAGTCGATTTGACATATTTCTTGTATTGGTATCCTCAAATATGTAAGGCAGACAATGTTCCACAAACAGGGAGTCCGTTGCGACAAGTGATCCGGGGTGGTGGGGTAGCCTAGTGGTTCGTCTCGCAGAAGACCCAGGTTCGATTCCCCACATGGGCATTATGTGTGAAGCCCATTTCTGGTGTTCCTGGGGCGGTGGGGTAGCCTAGTGGTTAAAGCGTTCGTTCGTCCCGCCGAAGGCACGGGTTCGATTCCCCACATGGGTACAATTTGTGAAGCCTATTTCTGGTGTCCCCCGCCGTGATATTGCTGGAATATTGCTAAAAGTGGCATAAAACAATACTCACGAACAAACGAATGACAATCATATGCTTGACTTGCTCACACCCAGAATTTAGAGATTTAATGTTGGTTGGTTCAATGATTGTATGTAACCTATGACAGATTTTGTTGGTTCAAAGCAAAAAATGCAACTGTTAAATATACACATCATATCTTTTCTCTTTATAGCGCCATTGAGCAATATCTTTTGGAAATAGGCGCTCTATAAATCAATTATTATTATTATTATTATTTAGTATGCCATTATTTGTTACCATTAGGGGGGCGGTGGGGTAGCCTAATGGTTAAAGCGTTCGCTCGTCGTCCCGAAGACTCGGATTCTCACAATGTGTGAAGCACATTTCTGGTGTCCCCCGCCGTAATATTGTTGGAATATTGCTAAAAGTGGTGCAAAACCATACTCACTCACTGTTACCATTAGGAACTGCCTGCTTAGATTCATTTTGTTGATACCTACGTATGATATGCTTGACTTGCTCACACACAGAATTTAGAGATTTCATGCTGGCTGGTTGTTAAGAAATTTGCGTAACCTCCGATGGATTTTATTGGTTTACAACTGTAAAATATAAACACATCATTTATCACCATTAGGAACTGCCTGGTTACATTCGGTTTACAGATACATATGCATGATGGACTCACACTGACAAATTGTTGGATTTTGGCAGTTTTGTTTTAACAATCTCATGAAAATGAAGTTGATAATGTATACTGGACTAAAATAGTTAGGGATATATGTAAATTTTGAAATTATGAATAATGATCTATGTACTAATATCCCTAACTTATTTTGTCCAGTATGTAAGATTTTAGCTAATTTTACCGGTGTTTGTGTGTCAGGAGTGTCTGGTCCTGTGTGCAGTGCCGGGCTGAGTACGATGTGGACGAGATTGAGCAGAGCCTAGTAGACGCGGTACATCGGAAGTCCATGGCCTATATTCTACAGGACCTCAAATGCACCAAGTGTAAAGGGGTGAGCTTGTAGGAGTACCATCATAAAACATATTGATTGATGTGGGGTTTTTATACAAACTTATGCATATTGACACTAAATTAATAATTCACAGGAATTCAGTCGTAAATATTGTGATGCTGATCAAAATGTTTCTGGTTTAATAATGCAGTGTTTTATTTGTTAAATCCTCAAAACGCTTTGCTATTGACATGTCATTGTTTAAGGAAATGACATTTGTGTTTGTGATATATCTGTTAATGTGAAGTGTGACACTCGTGTGACATCTGTGATCCGGTGACACTGTGACATGTGGTCGTGCGACACTTGTGTGGCCATGTGACATCAGTGACACTGTGACTTGTGGTCGTGCGACACTTGTGTGGCCATGTGACGTCAGTGACACTGTGACTTGGGGTCGTGCGACACTTGTGTGACCATGTGACATCAGTGACACTGTGACTTGTGGTCGTGCGACACTTGTGTGGCCATGTGACGTCAGTGACACTGTGACTTGGGGTCGTGCGACACTTGTGTGACCATGTGACATGTGGTCGTGCGACACTTGTGTGACATCAGTGATCCAGTGACACTATGACATGTGGTCGTGCGACACTTGTGTGACCATGTGACATGTGGTCGTGCGACACTTGTGTGACATCAGTGATCCAGTGACACTATGACGTGGTTGTGCGACACTTGTGTGACATCAGTGATCCAGTGACACTATGACATGTAGTCGTGCGACACTTGTGTGACCATGTGACATCTGTGATCCGGTGACATGTGTTTGTGTGACTATGTGACATCTATGATCTGGTGACATGTGTTTGTGACATTTTGTGTGACCATGTGTGACATTTGAGTTCTGTGGCATGTGTTTTGTGTGACCATGTGTGATATCAGTGGTCCAGTGACATTGTGACATGTTTTTGTGACATCTGTGATCCTTGTACTTGTGTTTGTGTGACACTGTGACGTGTTTGTGTGGCCATATGTGACATGTTTTGTGTGATACTTGTGTGTGACTATGCGACCTGTGCTCAGGTGACACTGAGACATCTGTTCATGTGACGTGTTCATGTGATACATGGTCGTGTGACTGTGTGACCGAATATCCGTGTTTGTGTGTTACTGTGACATCTGTTCATGTGACCATGTCTGACATCTGTGTTCGTGTTTTATTGCGATACCTGTTCAGGTGACAAAATGTTCATGTGATATCTGTTCATGTGACCATGTGTGACGGATGTGATATCTGTGTTCATGTGTTACTGCGACATGTGGCAGTGTGACATGTTCGTGTGACACATGTGTGACAAATATGTGACATCTGTTCAGGTGAAGGAGAACAACATGAAGCGGTACTGCTCCTGTGCTGGGGACTACACAAACACTGTGTCCCTGTCCGACTTTGGCAAACAGCTCAAGACTTTCTCAGGAATAGCCAGGTATTGCCAAACCCACAATAGTAAACATTTCATATCAACAGACCAGTAGTTCTTGTATTAAGTTATATTGAATTAATTATTTGGTATCTTATTTTCAGAACTGTGTAGTAGAGCCATTAGAATATCATGTGTTTCCTATTCTAATTTTTCAAATTTGCATGAAAGAAGATTGCTTGATAGAACTGTGCTCAAGTTAATTATTCAAACAGATGAGCACAGTACTATCAGAACAAAAGACTACCAGCTGTACTGTACACAACAATAAGTTGAGGTTTGTGGTCTTGTGCACAGAACCCATGGCTTAGATTTTTGAAACTTTTGTAGCCCTAAGAATTCTTAACATAGATGGTAGCCAATATGTTAAGAATGGGCTTAAAAAGTTTGTAAGGCTACGAACATTTCGAAAATCTAGGCCCGGTCACAAATCAGTTGAAATTTAGCAATGTTGGTCACGGAGAGTCCTTGAATGGGTGATTGTGTTTGGCCCCTTTGCTCCTGAGAGTTTCAAAGACTTCAGTCCTGCCCCACAACGAAGCACACGTGACACATGTGGCCTCACTTCAGGCAAGTGAGTTTGTTCCAACTTGTCTCTGTTCACCCAGCACAAAATGGGTACCCGGTGGGATAAGTCATATGACCATTCACCTTCTAGCGCCTCACAGGCAGCTTGGGTTACCCATGGTAATAATGTCCATTAAGCGGTATGTTCATAGAGCATGCCGTTGCGAGTTCAACGCTATATAAGTGGCCTTATTATTAATAAGTACCGTACTGTTCACTTGTAGAATCGTCCGGTCCTGGTATAATATTGCGTCATCATCATTAAAACACGTGTGTGGATTTTGGTGCCAAACTCACTCAACCGTAACTGAGACGAGGGCTGTTGCGTGCAGTGTAAGCCAAAGTCAGTTCAGAAATGGGATTATGTCTGTTTGCTACTGACTCAGTAGTTTTATGCCACTTTTAGCAATATTCCAGCAATATCACTGCGGGGGACACCAAAAATGGGCTTCACACATTGTACCCATGTGGGAAATCGAACCTGAATCTTCGGCATGACGGGCGAACGCTTTAACCACAAGGCTACCCCACCGCCTCTATGTTCAAATGAATTCTTGTCCACTCATTGACCCATCCATCATCTGTTGCAGCCACTACAAGATGACATTGCTGACCGAAACGGTGGAGTGGCTGCTGTCCATGAATCCAAAATTATCAGTCTCTCAAGTCACCAGCTAGTTGCCAGGCAACAAAACATAACCTGTGCCTTTTCAAGATGTGAATGTGATGTCTCTCAAGTCACCAGCTAGTTGCCAGGCAACAAAACATAACCTGTGCCTTTTCAAGATGTGAATGTGATGTCTCTCAAGTCACCAGCTAGTTGCCAGGCAACAAAACATAACCTGTGCCTTTTCAAGATGTGAATGTGATGTCTCTCAAGTCACCAGCTAGTTGCCAGGCAACAAAACATAACCTGTGCCTTTTTAAGATGTGAATGTAATAGCTACCGCTGATTTCAAACTTTTTCTTCAATTTGTGAAATGAAATTCAGTTATTCAACGTTCTATATCTTTGGCAGGTAACAGATGCAGGCAAACCATATTTATTGAAAATGAAAATTACAACTTTATGGATGACAATTTCATGTTTATTGCATAGAGCGACATTTCGATGTTGATTCTTATCCCGTTATCAAGCCTCCTTCATTGTTGGCCATTCAAGAAAGTCAGATAGCAGTTTGTCTATATTTGGGGCCTGACTTCACTGAAAGATTTTGTCCCAGGTTAAAATATGGGTGTTCCAAACTTCAAAATTTCCATCATTAAATAGGGCTGGCTAGATAGGGCTGATTGATTATCAGAAATATCCTTGATGGGAAGAATTATAAATAATTATGGATATGCAAATTGTGTCATCGATATTACCGTACATAAACAATTGTAATGAAATATAGTGCAAATTCACTGACACAATACCTTTGGGGTGATAATTGAGGGGGAATCAACTATTGCCATAGCGATACTATAGTCTATTGCAACATACTGGGGCGGTGGGGTAGCCTAATGGTTAAAGCGTTATTCGTCACACCGAAGACCCGGGTTCGAATCCCCACATGGGTACAATGTGTGAAGCCCATTTCTGGTGTCCCCCGCCGTGATGTTGCTGGAATATTGCTAAAAGCGGCGTAAAATCAAACTCAGTCAGTGCAACATACTCTTGCGATAGTGATAGTCTATTGAGACCAACATTTGCAATAGTTTTTTTCTCCTTGAATTGTCTCATTTGAAATCTTTTCCCAAATGAATGTATCGTTTATATGAAATGAAAACAAGAACCAAGGTTGTTTTTTCGTGTAAGCCCGATAGGTTGCAAAGCTTTACATTTAGATCGTATTGAGGATTATCCCAACCATTTTAGCATCAATCCTGTTTAAGCCCGGGCTTTCTTTCATAATGGTAGCTACACCCTTGCATACAGACATTATAATTCTGTGGCACTAATTATGAAGAATGAAAAGAGTATTTATTTCTTAACATGCAGAAGAATTTCTGCCTATCAGTGAATGGATTCTGTATTTATGTTTGCATCACACTTCAATTTGATACATATGGGTTGCAGGACAACATACATTGCTGGAGTGTTTATTCTTCTATATGTCAGAGAGAAAAGTTGATTCTGTGGTCAAAATGTCTGTGTGTTGATGAGTCAGACTTTGTATGTGCACCATCTCTTCAACATTTGTCTACTTTTAGTGAGTGAGTGAGTTTAGTTTTACACCGCACTGAGCAATATTCCAGCTATATGGCATCGGTCAGTAAATAATCCAGTCTGGACCAGACAATCCAGTGATCAACAGCATGAGCATCGATCTACGCAATTGGGACACGATGACATGTGTCCGCCAAGTTAGCGGGCCTGACCACCCGATCCCGTTAGTCGGCTTTTTTACGACAAGTAAAGGTTGCTGAAGATCAGTTCTAACCTGGATCTTCACGGGTGACAACAGGAATGTATTTCTGTGTGGTGTTCGGTCATTGAACACTGTTGTGTGAGGTCAAGAACTCAGTGCCTGTCTGGTCAGCCAGATTAACACCAGTTAATTGTCGTGCAGTATGAAATGCATGTAAAACTTAGTTGCTTATTTCAGAATTGTTTTCTGCCAGAAGTATGTTTTGGCGAAACACCTAATAACTTAATTCTGTTGTCCCTGTCAGAGCCTTCATCCAAGTTACTTTGATATTAAGTGCTACTGATATCCAACCTGTAAAGAAATTTTGTACATTATGAAATGCAATATGTCCTTATACATATGCTGTACAGTATGATGTGTAAATAAATCTTCAAAGGAATTTGGCTGATTGTGTTGTGGTTCTTATGAGGGGGACATACGCTGGTATACATAAAGCCCAGTTGATTAGGGCACTGTAATTTGTTGTGGAAAGTTAAGTTTGTTTGTTGTCTAAAGCTGCACTCAGCAATGGAGGAGTATGACAGTCTAATAATGAGTGAGTTTAGTTTTACGCCGCACTCATTAATATTCCAGCTATATGGCGCTGTCTGTAAATAATCGAGTCTGGATCAGAAAATCCAGTGATCAATATCATGAGGATCAATCTATGCAAATGGGAACCGATGACGTGTCAACCAAGTCAGCGAGCGTGACTACCTGATCCCGTTAGTCACATCTTTCGACAAGCATGGGTTGCTGAAGACCACTTCTAACCCGGATCTTCTCTGGTCGGAAACTCTTTGGCCACTCCTAAAAACTTTGGAGTTCGGATTCGATTCACTCATGATGACTCCTGGTTTGGCAATAGGGACAAAGTTGTAGACATCTATGTCCTGCATCATTCTGGTCTATAATCTCGCTCAAGGGGTCAGAGCAAACCAAAACATGACTGACTGAGTGAGTTTGGTTTTACGCCGCTTTTAGCAATATTCCAGCAACATCACGGCAGGGGACACCAGAAATGGGCTTCACACATTGTACCCATGTGGGGATTCGAACCCCGGGTCTTCGGCGTGACGAGCCAACGCTTTAACCACAAGGCTACCCCACCACCCCACCAAAACATGATGCTTAAGGAGGGTAGTAATATATAATGCATGTATTTCAGGGAGGGTTGTGGTTTAATAGGCATTTTATAATATTTGTGCAATTTGTAAACTTACTCTATCTCTCATTCCTGCGGTGGGTAGCCTAGTGGCTAGTGCCAAATACCCGGTTCGATTCCCCACATGGGTACAATGTGTGAAGCCCATTTCTGGTGTCCCCAGTCGTGATATTGCTGGATTATTGCTAAAAGCGGCGTAAAACCATACTCACTCACTCCTTCAGCACTTTCCCTTGATCTTCGACCATGGAGTGGAAATTTAACAAAAGCTTCCAGCCTCCGGTGCCGGTGAAGGGGTTGTCGCCACGGTTATGTACCCCAGTTCTCTATACAAAAAACGTACCTTAGCCAAAACCAGAGTGCAGAAAAGTAGTCCATTCCGCACCGTTTTCTTGATCGGAACAGTCATATTATTGCACTTCATTCTTTCTGTTAAGACTCAGTGGAGGGCATTTGGAAATTTGCTAGTAAGTCTTTTAAGACTTGGAGTCAAAACTGTTTAGGAGGCTTATTGAGCAGCAAGAATAGCCCTGGCTAACCAGCATGGTACGTAATGTTCCCGAATAGGAATTCATTTGACTACCACGCATGCGCATTAATCAAGCGCCAAGCACTCACTCTATCAACAAAACATGACTTGAAACGGTAACAAAACTTGAGTTAAACAAAAATCCAAAATTGAGTTACCGGGTTTGACAACGCTCAATGGACGTATCACACACGCACAGATATATATGAGATTGCATCCACCTGCCTGACGTTATCAATCAAACACCACTATTTGTACAAGAATATCATATATATAACCCAAAAACGTTCATTTAATTATTATAATGTTTCAAAGATATCATTTGTGGCACTCTTTTAGAGATCATTGGATGCCCATCACAACGTACATCGTATTTTCAATCTTAACTCCCTGGGGATCATACAACTCTTGCTGCCTACTAGGCGCACCGAGTTAATGTGGCTTTCCCATCCTTACGAGGTATTCATACAAACCGGAAGTCAGAGCGCAATACGGAATCTAACTTAGTTTGTCATATTGCATCGATGTATTGCTATCGTAAGATTAAAAGGTGAGTGAGTGAGTTTGGTTTTACGCCGGTTTTAGCAATATTCCAGCAATATCACGGCGGAGGACGCCAGAAAAAATGGTCTTCACACATTTTACCCATGTGGGTATCGAACCCGGAGCTTCGGCGTGACGAGCGAACGTTTAACCACTAGGCTACCCCACCGCCCCGTAAGATTAAATGGGTATATATATAATAACACCCAAACAAACAAAGAATGTAATTGTTATACCCTCAATATGTCGAGAGCCAGATGTTCTTCCAGAAGCCTGTTGAACCTTGCATGGCAGTCGAAACTTTAGGGATGAGATCTGTGGGTCGATTCACAAAGCACTATGGTGATCGTAAGTCAGTAAGGTAACCTTAGTGCAATGTTATAGAATGGGAGTTAACCTAAGTAAAGGTTGCTTCGAGAAGGAGCAGGACTTTACTGATGCCTTCTGAAACTAAGATGTTGTCTTCATCACGCTGCTCGTGTATGACGGTGACGTGGTCTCAAGATTGGGACACTGTGTGAGTTTAGTCTTACGCCGCTTTAAGCAATATTCCAGCAATATCACGGCGGGGGACACCAGAAATGGGCTTCACACATTGTACCCATGTGGGGAATGGAACTGGGCCTTCGGCGTGACGAGCAAACACTTTGACCACTAGGCTACTCCACCGCCTCAATGCCCCAATGCGACTGTAAGAATTCCTTGTTTTCGTAAGTACACAGTGTATGTTGATAACTACGAATGGAAATTAATGTAGAATAGTGATGTTAAAATTGCTGGTGGGCGAGCTGTCTACGACGCCAGGCTAGTGATCCAGCGAGTTTAAGGTGCCGGGATCGAACCCACCCGTGACCGGGTGTAAAAACCTTGGAGTGAACGTTGTGTGCAGACTCTTTCAGTGTTCGTGTACAGTACACAACCCTGTGCACTTTAAAAAGAACCCACGAATCCGTTGGTAAATGACCACATGGTGGCCACACGAATACGTGCTAACACCTAGTTGCAGGTACAGCAACGTGCAGTAAACTTGGACAAAGTACTGTGACTACGTGTCCCAGTCCACCCAGCTGTGAACGAGTAAGGTTGGGAAAGTCACATTAACTTGGTGTGCCTCGTGGCTGCAAGGGGGGTATAATCCCAAAGGGAGTTGATATTGAAAATACGATGTGCCGTTGAGATTGACATCCAATGATCGATGTAAAAAAACACAAATCGATTTGAGCATGCACGTGGGATGGACTATATATAGTTCTATATAAATACCCATATAAAAATA